AATGTGGAAATTGCGAAGGAAAATAAAATTAAAGTAACTTAATCTAGTTCACAACGGTTCAGTTTTTTTTATTGGTATTTGTTTTAGTATTGTGCTTAGAGTAAAACGTATTAAACCTAAATATTATTTTTGGTATGCAAGATTGCAAAACTGAAAACTAAATGAGATCGCTTGTCTGACTTGTTCTTTCAATATCAACAACAAAATCAGGTAAAAATAAAAATGAAATGTTTAAAAATAACTCGAGATACGCTGAAGGTCTAAAAATAAAATTTCGCAGGAAACCGCGAACCGGCTTCGCATTTCGTGCACTTACGCGTATAATGCTGTATTAATTCATTAATTCATGTGTAATCGATCATTAAGTCGCGCTGTAAAACGAAAGGCGCCTACTGTCAAATAGAGCGTCAATTATAATTAGAACAGTAACATGATTGTCGGTCGGCTGTCATCAATTAAAATAATTGCAACGTTTTGCATGTTTACAGCGAACGCTCCGAAACGATTCAATAGTGAGTAAACAGTTTTTACTGGTGGTAGGACCTCTGTGAGTCCGCGCGGGTAGGTACCACCGCCCTGCTTATTTCTGCCGTGAAGCAGTAATGTGTTTCGGTTTGAAGGGTGGGGCAGCCGTTGTAACTATACTTGAGACCTTACAACTCATATGTCAAGGTGGCTGGCGCATTTACGTTATAGATGTCTATGGGCTCCAGTAACCACTTGACACCAGGTGGGCTGTGAGCTAGTCCACCCATATAAGCAATAAAAAAAAAAAAAAAAAAAAAACAATAGAACTATATCATCGTTATGTTCGTTTAAAAAAAACTATCATACATACGACTATGTCCACGAAAACTGTAAGATATTCGAGACGTCGAGAACAAAATATGTAATGACAAATAAAATACGAGATTGACCCGTAAATATATTTTTAAAAACCTAATGTTCACATTTTCTATCTTATACCATTTTGAAATTCACTGAGAGGAGTTGAAACGCTTATTGTGATTAATCTATATATTAATACGTGAAGCAAAAACTTTGTATCCCTTTTTACGAAAATTGCGCGGACGGAGGAGTATGAAATTTTCCACTCTTATAGAGATTATAGAGAAGAAGTGCACAATGCTAATATTTTTTTAAAATAATGCATAAAAGATACATTAAAGCAATAAACAAAACATTACACACACTACATACAATGTATTTGACGCACACACGCATGCATACTATTTATTGTCAAACTTTTGTTCTTGACGTTTATTGTCAAATTGAGAATAGATTAAATATTGTTTGTCTTTGTTAATATTTTTATAGTGTAGTCTTGACGAAATTTGTGATTATAGAAGTATAAAATACAGTCATAATAGTGTACAAACTTACAATTCCAATTAATTATAGTCGAATTTCGACTACTGCGGGACCTCTAGTTTTTTTAAATGGACAAATGAGGTCATATAATATCGTTTACCGGATAGACGTCGCCGCTTAAATTCCGCTATCCACTTCAAATATGCGGTCGAAAACTCATTTGTATCATATAAGGGCTTTCACGCCCTTCGAATTGGAACGCATGACTGCTTCAAGGTAGAAATAGACAAGACTTTACGTTTACCCGTGTTTGCTCACAATATGCATAATAATATTTATTAAGTAAAAATTTGCGAGCCCGATTTTTATTCTTTCCTTCTACTCCTTTAGTCGTGAAAGCCGCTTGTTACATTTTTTTTGGAACGAAGTTCCTTATGGGACGATGCGGAGGGGTACCCTAATCGGGAAAAAAACGTCCGTAACGTAAGATTTTTATTAGTAATGCACACAGTGTACGACTTAACTTTGTAATAACGTAGAAAAAATAATAAAATATATTTTTATTATATATTTTTTATAAATCATTGTGAATAAAATAAAGTTGATAACTTTGTAAATTAGTTTTTATTTATTTTTATCAATAAAAAACTTGTAATAAAAAATGTATACGTGAATAATTATTTTCTATATACCTCAAATAGAAATTAAAATTAATATTTTTATAATAAGGAACTTCGTTCCTATCCGGTGTCCCACGTCACCACACATCTTTTTTTTAATTAATGAATGGCAACTTGAATTTTTGTGTATTAAAAAAACATAAACCTGCCCCGAGACTTAGAATTCTAGCCTAATCGACTTCGTTACTCGATACAAGCACACCGAGCATCTTACACATCAGGATACGGACGCTTACAAAATAAATTTGTGCAAAACATGTCAATAAAAATAACTTGATATATAAGTGTACAAGTTTATTACAAGCAAGTGTAACATAGAACGCGACTAATAGAATTTGACAGATGACCGATTAAAACACACACGACCGCCCATAAGTGCCTAATACAATACATATTTTATGGATACAACGTAATTCACAGGGGCAACATTCCTTTAAAATACACGTTCAGTTGTGAATTACTGTTTGTGTCACGCGATTTGTTGTTATAAAACAATGAAATTTGTGTCATTTCTCGAGTACGTAAATTGTATTTTTACTCGAAGGCTTAATATTTCTTTAAAATAAATCATGATACTGCATGAACAAATATGCCAGAAACCTCGTTTAAGATCAGATATCAACTAGGCTAAGATCTAGCTCCACTATGTAAGCAAGTCCGTGTACTGCTGCTCTGTCTGTTTTGCGATGTTCTATCGCTTGTAAGCTTATCGATGAACTTATAGAACAATGCGCTCCCAAAGTTGTAAAATCAAGGTAACCATATTGACATTTAATTTATGTCTTCATGAAAACAAAATTTATAAGCATTAATTTAATAACTATAAAATAATAGATACCCGTTGCATTTGTATTGAGCGATACGAATGTATGTGTGTGTGTGTGTGTGTGTGTTTTTGTTACAACAACGCCTGCCCTGCTCTTCAAACCGAAACGCATTACTACTTCACGGCAGAAATAGGCGGGGTGGTGGTATCTACCCGTGCGGACTCACAAGACGTGCTACCACTAGTAATTACGCAAACTATAATTTTGCGGGTTTGGTTTTTACGAGTATTACACGATATTATTATTTCACCGTGAAAGTCAATCGTGAACATTTCTTAAGTACGTATTTCATTGGAAAAATTGGTACGTGCCGACGGGATTCGAACACCGATGCATCGCTACATACGAATGCACCGGACGTCTTATCCTTTAGGCCACGACGACTTGTGTCGTTGTGTCAGTATTCGAATCACGCAAGCAAGTACCAATTTCCGAGTAACATATAATATGTACTTCCTCTGTTGGTGCTACTATAACAGTAATCATAGGCAGATGAATTGGTTAGGAATAAATAAATGTACATACAAACAAACATTGATCTTTATTATAAATAAATTTCGATCATAATAAACCGATAAAGAATATTTTAGATTTTAATCTAACCACCCAATTAAAATCTAACCAATTTAAAAACTCAATGTTGTCTAAAATTAATAATATCATGAATTATGATGTTACTTATATATCTAATAAAACCCTATGTAAAACCGTGCTCAGTATTAGGGTTCCGTGGTAAATTAATGACATAAAATGATATATAGATACAATTTACAATGTATATTCTGTAAACTGCCATACATCAGTGATCCAAAATTACGAAAATATTATAATGTAGGGTTATTCCAAACATGAACAAAATTATGACGCTTATCTCACATAAAAGGCCGAAGGAATATAAGGTGTATGATTTTTTTATGAATCTAAATTATATTCTGTAAGTTTCTAAACGAGTTCATTTATATATTTAAAATGATAAATATATTGAATAGATCAAAGAATGTTGTAGAATATGTTTTGTTAACAATAGTAAAAAATAAACCTGCATCTTTCTGCATAACTTTGAATATATTGAGCTTAACTGTAAATTGGTTCGAATCGGATAAATTCAAAAGGTATACAATGAAATTATATAGAAATTTATTTTTTCGTGTTTCGTTTTTTTTCTTTGTTTTAAGTTCAATTTACAAAAGTGTCAAACTGGCCTTAGAAACATTAATAGTGTTTGTAGATACACATGCGCACTTGCCTTTATTTTATTTTAATACTTTATATATAATATTTCATTCAAATAAATATGCAAATAAATATTTTATTCGTAAATTGAATAATTGACTATAACGTGATTTATTGATGGGAAATACCAAGGCTTAGAGTTATCTTACTATTTTTATACATTAACCGCAAATGGCCTTTGCTAATTATTCCAATTATAATTAATAAAAATCCCATACATTTAGTACAAAAGTAAATTATATTTTTATTTTATTTGAAAAAAACATAAAATGGAGGCTCTTTTCCTAATCGTGTCTCAATCTTCTGTTTAAAAAACAAAATCTGAATGCGACGTGAACTTAACTTACGCAACAGTGCCTATAATTTGTATCTGGTCAAACGATTGAGTGAATGAAATGCTTCAGGCCGGCTGCGTGGTTGATCGGAAGCTTGGTAGGAGAGGGCCAGGCCAACGCTTCGTTTTATAAGTAGAGGGTGGCTCAAACACATTCAGTCGAACACAAGCTGCCGCGAACATAGGCTAGTTTTGGTGAATACCGATTATATTATTTATTCACTATAATTTATAACTTCACTGTACTACATTAAGTGCGTTATAATTATTATAAATTTATTTAGATACAGAAAAAAGTACTTTCATTTTTATCAGTGCATTTGTGATAATAGAAATATAAAAACTGCTTAATATATTAGCGATTCGATTATAATAATAAGACTCTATTGTCCTTATGGCAAGATTCATGGGTTTTTACACGCGATTATCCTCCATAATAAGTTCCGCAAACTACGACTTTTTTGTGATTAAATCTAAGATATGTTTTCCAGGCTTTATATAAATTAACTCAAACCACTTGCTATGTGTTGTATTCTCTTCTAAACAACCATTAACAAACGTAGTGTCAGAGTAGTGTTCTTTTTTTTTTTTTTTCTTTATTAGAGCCTATTAGGTTAAGTCGGCAGAGTAGTGTTTAAATACGAAATTTTCTTAAACGCAACAGAACTATATGCGTATTAAAGTAAATAATTAGATCTCTTGATGTGAATGTGCCATATTTATAAAATGTGTAAAACATTAATTTGGTAGAACACAGTTTTGTAATCTTTCAGAATAAATAAAATGGCAGCGAAGTTTTTAGTTTTCTGTGGGCTAGTCTCACTAGCGTCAGCAACGATAAAGCTCCAAGAAATATTCTCGTGGAACGTGGTCGACTGGAACTACCCGGACCAATTCTCGAAGCAGCAGGCTCTCAGGACTGGTGCTCTGATACCAGAGAACGCACTGCCCGTTGGTATCGAAAGGTGGAGGAACAAATTGTTCGTCAGCGTTCCTAGGTGGCGCTCAGGTATGTACTAGCTAGATTTTGATTAAGATGCTTACATAATTATTTCAACTATCGGTCTTAAATTGAAAGAAAACAATTGATCCATGAGTCGGCTCGCTTGAGATAAAAACAAAGCCTATTTTTAATTAAAAGAACTTTGATCATAGCTTGTTCAGAAATCGAATTGATTTATGGTTGTTAATATTTTTTCTGCTGATAATTCCCACATAACAATTGGTTCCAAAATTTAAGATTTACATTATTTTATTAAAGTATATAATTATATATGTCAGTATCTGGTACCCATAACACAGGGAAACCTAATTTGGGGACGGATGATCGCGCGTGTTTTAGTCCAAATTATCCCTGTTCAACTTTATCACATTTCTCTTTCGTTATTTTTACATCTAAAATTTCATCCAAACAGAAAACCTTACTTACAAGTTTAATGTCTTACATTAATTTCAACTTCTTGGCACTTTCGATATAACTGCTTCTTACATTATAGAAAAAAAAGTAATAAAGATTACTCGTAGTCTATCATTCCTATTTGAATTTTCATCTTATGCGCCCACCATCATCTAAGCGATCAAAATAGCACCCATCTAAATAATAATAAAAAAAAGCGCCTTGAAACTAATTGTCTCTATAAATATTTAACACGAATTTCGAAATCACTAGAATCAATGTGTTTAAAATTAAATCACCTAAACATTATTATATTGTTTTCTCTGAGTCAACAACGCAACGCAACAATCTCCTAATTGATTAATAGTTAATTCATTCTTCTTTTTTTTTCGAGCGCCCCAAAACGTGGTTAAACACATAAGCGTAGCAAAATTTGTTGTTTAAAAATGAAAATATTACCTAATATTTTTCTTTGATTATCGCGAGTTGTAAGATTTACAGTTACAGTTTAATTAAAAAAACGTTTACGGCCTGATTTCGCTTTATTAAACCGTAAAATATTTTTAATTAAAACATAAACTTGTAATGAACAGTTATAGAGAACTTAGCATACATACTCATTTTAGGATCAGCTATTTCAAAAAGTGATCAAAAAATTTCAGCAGATGCTAAAAGATAGCAAAACATTCATGTGCAATTTAAACCAAAACTATTATCCAAATTTACTATTAATAACCAAAACTATAAATCTTTTCACGCTGTTTTATATCGCTCCAAGTCTAGGCATGTTCAGTCGTAAGTTTAAAATTTGTGAATACCACAGTGCTTTCAGTTGCTTTGGATGTCGTATTATCTATTATGTGATCAAAAAGAGAACATAAGTCTCAAGCTCTATGACACGATATATGTATCTGATTGTAAGAAGAGTAAAAATTTAAACAGGCCTACAACTGGATAAAATAAAACTAAAATTACATTGATATAATTTCAGACGTTTTTTTAACGAAACTAATATTTAAAGTCTATAACAATATAGTAACAATAAAGTTTATAACAATAACAATTTTTGAACTTGGCCTGACAATACAAATTGTAAAATGAAAATGTAAACCAGTAGGGTATGCGGTATGAGTTACTTATTTTATAAATTTTATCGATATAATACCTTTATAACAATTTTATTACATATTATTCGTTTGATAACAAGGAATCTAATAACTGCGTATTTTTAATAATTATCTTCAAAACTACTGTCACAAATTTCATCGATTTTTGTATTTACAACTGACATTTAAATCTACACAATTTATTCCGAAGTAGATTTTAAAAACGACCCACATTTTAATTTATCTTATTTTAACGCACCATATTCAATGTGAATTTATTATACGCAGTAGTATAATTTAAAATGTAAACAAACCTCACTCGATTTTAACACATGAATCATTCATTGCATAATCAAAATTGACGAATAAACGTAAGAATGAAAGTGTGAAGACGGTATTTGGAACTATGAGTCCAGAATATAAACTAGATGTTTTCTAAACTCCGTGAACGAGTTAGATAATCATTTAAACTAAATTACCTTTTACGTGGTGGTGTAAGGTTTTGTGACATGATTTTAGGCGGCTCATTCGTATGTAGTTCTTCTGTGGACCGGACACATTTCGTAGAAATGCAAATTACAAATTATCGAAATGATTTTTAATTTAATTGAAATATTTTTTTATAAAATGGCGAGACCACCACTTTCGTTAATTACAGTCGTGTAATTAAAATAAAATTTTATAAATACATATAACTTCTCGACGAATTATGTATTCTACACTTTTACATTTTCAAATCTATACTTTTTTTGGTGCATTTGAAAATAGAGACTTAGAGTTTGACGAAAATATAATATCTTTTAATGTGAAAGATATGTTTCTGGATTTGATGCTTTAATAAAACATTAATAAATAAGTTTTGTGATATTTGAGTTGGTAAATGAATAAATCACCCCAAGAAAACATAATGCATACATAAGTACGCACATACGCGGCTCTTTTTGTTTGTTTTGTTTATTATGAAATATTAAGGCCTTACGTCGTTAATGTAATTCACTATCTCACCGCTTTGCACTGCACTTAGAACCGACGCACGCTTGATAGCAGTGATTAGGTTAATCAACATAATTATGATTGGATAGATATTAAGCCTGTTGTTACACTTTATCCGGTAATAATATTTTAAGAAATACAACGCTACGATTTGTTTTACCGATTACAATCTTAAAGCTTGTGTATTATAAGCAATTTTGTTGTGTGTGTTTCAAGTTTATTTCATTTGTTTTTATTTCTTCAATGCATATCGTCTAAAAGTATTAATTTCAGACCATAATCATAAAAAATAATCCTGTAAAATAGAAAAAAGTGGGCGAGTACTGTATTTACATAATTTATTTAAGGACCAAAGAAAACAAAAAACAACAGCTATTTTTGTACAATGTAATAATTTAATTGTAGGTTGGTTTGTTTTTTTTGGAACACTTCATTAAGGCAATATCTAGGCCAAAGTCAATTGTGGCTTGTCTTAAAACTGACCACACCTACTAGAGTTTTAGTTGGCGTAGTTTAAAATAACCTCAGCAGTGGATGACCTTAGTACAAAGACCACTGTGTTTTGACGTTTGAATTTCAATCAACTTGTACCAACAAATAATCCGAACCCTGAGGCGATCATCAGTTTTAACGAGCCAAAATATATTTCTAAATTCAATAACAAACGATTATTTTTACAATAGCCCACCTAATTAAGCGAGATCTTAAGATTAATTCTTTAAAGTAATTTGACCTAAAAAAATGCAGTGAATTTTAAATGGATCGGATCGAATAAGTACGTCATGAATTTCCATTTTTCTTCTTCTTCTTGCTTCGGTTTCTTTAATGCTGAGGGTCGTGACCACCTCCTCGCAACAGGAGTTTATTACGGACTACTCCACGCCATTTGCTTCTATCTGCCGCCAAGTGTAGAGCATCGTGAACTGTGGTGTCGAATTTCCATTACCTTACTTAAAATAGAACAAATAATATTCAGTAGTAGAAAAGAAATAACTAAGAGTAGAAATAGTCTGTCTGTTGAATTGTTGTAGGAGTTGTACTCCTTTATTTCAAATCAAATCAATCATCTTCTATTTTTATTTCAAATCAAAAGTAACTGGGTAGACTTTTGAAATTCCAATACCATCTACCAATGTAATGCAATGATCTAATTATTAAAATGCAATCGTCTAGATGATCGAACATACATCCAGGTATATAGACGCTATAGCCATTTCTAAAGACGATAGGCATAAAAACTAGTTTAAAAATATCTAGTCTTTTTTAATGTCAACGGGTTGGGTATTAAGTAAGTTCCATTGGGAGATTCGTGCAATTTTTTATTTTTACGAACTACTTCTAATGAGATTTAATAACATTACCATCTTATTTTCTGCTCATATTTCTTATCTCATCTTTCGAATTTGACCTTTTATTTTTGAATAATTACTTTTAGCTTCCAAGAATAAATTAGCTTTAAATTGAATAACTACAAATGTATTTTTATTGACAAATTTTAGTTTGTAAAAATTTCGAGACCTACTTTTTGGTACCGTACTGTAATAATAAAAGAAATGTTTATCAATTAATTATTCACTTTTGATAAGACTGTTTGAATTTTCTATAATATAACTAAGACATTAATTAGACACTTAATAATATTGAGACTTAGATCTTATGGGTCAATGTGAGTGGTGGCATCCATATTGTGGTGTCTATGGTTTCGGTTACCACTTAACACCAGATGGTATGGTAAGTCGTTCAGCTGTATACGAAACAGAAAACTAAGGCATGTTCATAACAATATGTTCTGCTGATAGTTGATTGAAGAATGCAATTTAAAAATGTTACGTGAACATGGAAATCGAATTTAAAATTTTCGAACCTACTCATCAACATATTACCTACATGTTTATTCATTAGATATCACATTGCGAAAGGGTGTCACCTCCTCAGAAGAGAAAATGTGTATTTCTTTGTAATTTTTTTTGTGTTTGTTTTTATATGCTTCGTTCCACAACAGAGTCTAAGAAATACGACTCAATTAAAATTAAGTGACTGTCGGAGTCCATACACATCACAACTATATGAAGTCGTGGTGGTTTAAAGGGTAAGATACCCGATGCATTCGTATCAAACGATGCTACGGTGATCGAATCCTGCAGGAAGGTACTAATTTTTCTAATGAAATACGTTCCCAACAAATGTTCACGATTACCTTCGTGATTGTCTTCCGACGGTGAGATAATAACATCGTATAATACAAATCAAACTCGCAAAAGTATAATTTGCGGGTAGGTACCACCACCCTATCTATTTCCGTGGGGCAGCCGTTGTACTGTCAAAACTAAGACCTTAGAACTCATGTCTCAAGGTGCGTTGTGGAATTTATGTTTGTGATGCCTGTGAGCTTCGTTGAACACGTAACACCAAGTAGACCATGAGAACGTTCAACCATCTATGCAATAAAAATAAATTGTGAATACTGTGATCCGCCTTGAGACATGTGGTCAATTTCATTCTATCACAGCTATTTCTTCTCTAAATCCGGAGTAGATGATTGCTTCACAACAGAAATAGACCAAGAAATAATAGCAGCAATGTCGATAGCCAAACGAATATATAACTATTGCGGATATGATTATAATGCAAAATGTTTCCTTCATCGTGGAAGATGGGCGTGAACAAATTAGGTTCCTTAGAAAAAATAAAATGTTTTTAGGCCATAGCAGATGCACTTTTTAATTTCATTTTACGGATGTTGTAGTTACTATTCGTAGATTGTTTTGCACGTATGCGTTATATAAATAACGGTTGCCGTCATTATAAAACAAAACAAAAAAATAATGAGAATAATTGAATTAGTGCCGCTAACTTGTCACTTTCTAAGATTATTAAAAATTCGGTCTGGCATTTTGCAGACTAAATAAAGGTAAACAATTTAAAAAGCCGTAATTAGTGTTTACGGTCCGAGGATTTTACATGGCTATAGTCAGAAGAAACGTGTATATTAAACGCTTTGAGCTACCAATGGGCTCTATAAACGGCTTTACGGCTTAGGTGGGCTAAGAAAGCGGTTTTATCACGACAAGGTGATAAAATCATAAGGATAATGTCATAAAATATAACACGGCCATAGGTTAACTCGTTAAATGAATTCGGTACACGCAATTATTAAACATAAGCAAATCATCGGTGATTATGAAGATGAGAAGATAAGAATTCGAATAAAATATTATGAAATAAAAATCAAAACCCTATATCAGCTAATTTGAAAACCAAATCACAGTTCTGTATAGCTTAATCGAGCACATGTTTGTGGCAAATTATTCGTAAAACTATCGCTATGAATATTTATAATAAGGATATAATAATATACAGGTTTATAACGTAACGCATATCTACATATTTACACATAACAATGTCAAGTTCATGTCTAACACTAGACAGTTAATGTTTTTATATTTTATATTGACTCCTACACAAATTAAACATGTTATAAACGGTTATACGTCCAAAATAATCAGGCACTTTATTAAATATTTTATGAAACATTATTTTAAATTTTAAGGAACCTCAAATATCTTTTGGAAAACTACGTAACCATTTAGCAAAGCACTTGAAACTGCCATCTCGTGTCGCAAGACGGATAGCGGCATTCACGTATATCATATAGTAAATAACCACTTTATACCAGATGTGCTGTAAAATCGCTCACCCGTCTATACTGTAATAAACATAAAGTAAAGACTTATAGTCTACCTGCGCTAAAAGAAACCGTAAAAATCACGGTGTAAAAGTCGCTACCCACTTTGAGACGAGGTTAAAGTCTCTAGGGAAGCGATTACCAGTTATGAGAACGTTATCCGTTCCAACTATACCAATAATTACTTTTCTAAGTACTACCTGCCCCAATATTCGACCCATCGTCAGACCTTCATCACTTGCCAGCAAGCTAACTATAAAATAAAACATATCAGTACTGGTTACGATCACAGAGAAGTTGCAAAAACCTAACAAAATACTAATTAAGTAACACTAAATTTCAGGTATTCCAGCTACTTTGAATTACATTCCACTGGACGCTCCATATGAACCATCCCCGAAATTAACGCCCTACCCGAGCTTCGAAGGCAACGAATTAGGCAATTGTCAAACAGGACTGACTACTGTATACAGGGTCAAAGCAGACCAGTGTGATCGTCTTTGGGTATTAGACGTTGGCACTTATGGATACGGTAAGAAGATGGATTTTTTTATTATTCCAATACCAATTTTCTTGACCTATGTGCCATCGGTAGGATCCTCAGCTTATTATCTCCGTAGTGGTACGGCGTATTGTAAGCTCGCATGAGACGGTATTACTGCTCTACCCATTTCTACTGCGATGAACTGTTAAAATACGACTTTGACCTGGTATCTCAAGATGATTGTCGATATTTACGTTCCCATCCATAGGCTCCGGTAAGAATTTATCAGAAGATCTACTAATGCGTATCAAAAATGTTAAAAATTACGGACTGTTAATAATGCTTCTACATATAACAATAAACAATTCATTAGCCATTTTAACATTAGTCAACGATCGTCTGGTGTAGTGGTAAGTGACATGGTCGCTACACAAGGGGGTCGCGGGTTCGAATCCCGCCAAGGGAAGATATTTGTATGATAAATATAAATGTCTTTTCCAGAGTTATTTATGGATGTATATTAAATATATGTACGTGTATAATAAAAATCTTACATTTATTTCCGTTATCTGGTACCTGTAACACAAGTTCTTTACGAACTTAGCACGGGACCAGTTAAAGTGGCGTGATTGTTATTAAATATTTATTATTATTATTATTATTATTATTGTCTCGTTTCAGACAACGTTACAAATGTGTGCCCGTACACGCTCAATGTATTTGACTTGAACACTGATCAAATCATCCGTAAATACGTGTTACGACCAGAAGACATTGTCTCTACGACTTTCATTGCCAACATCGCTCTCGATATCGGTACCAGCTGTGAGGACACCTTTGCCTACTTCTCCGATGAACTGGGCTATGGTCTTATCGCTTACTCGTGGGAACAGAACAAGTCATGGAGATTCAGCCACAGCTATTTCATGCCCGACCCTCTCGTCGGTGATTTCAATATCGCTGGCTTGAATTTCCAGTGGGGAGCTGAAGGTATCTTCGGCATCACGGCGTCTCCTATCGGTGCCGATGGTTACAGAACTCTGTACTTCTCACCTCTGAGCAGTCACACAGAATTTTCCGTGTCGACCCGTATCTTGAGAGACGAAACTAAAGTGAAAGGTTCCTACAAAGACTTCTCAGTTGTCGGAGTACGTGGTCCTGACGGTCATACGACAGCCAAAGTAATGGACGACTCCGGTGTCCAGCTTTTCAACTTGATCGACCAAAACGCTGTCGGCTGTTGGAGGTCGTCCCTGCCCTACAAACCTCAAAATATCGGAATTGCCGATAAAGACGACGTTGGCCTTGTTTTCCCCGTAGACGTCAAAATTGATGATGAGAAAAATGTATGGGTTATGTCAGACCGTATGGCTGTATTCCTTGAAGCCGAATTGGACTATAGTGATATTAACTTCAGGGTTTATACTGCACCTTTAGATACCCTAATTCAAGGAACCGTTTGTGAAGCGCCATTGCCAGTGCTTCAGGCACAGCAAATACTTAAGCCACTCCAACCGATCAAGGCTCTTCCTCGAGCGAAACTCTACAATCATGGCCTGGGAGTAACAGCAACTCCTTTCTCTGAAGCCGTTGCGGTATACAGACCAGGCTCAACGAAATCTGAACTGACAGGTTCTTATAGACAACCGATTATAAAGAACACTGCTCCTAAAGTTCAGAACTACATTTACATTCCGAAACAAACTTCATCCGCTTATACATCTGGTCAATTTACTAGGCCGAAAAGTACCAACAAAAATCCGTGGTGGAATAAAGCTACCAACTACAATTACGAAGTTTTTGAACCTTGAAAAACATTGTTTGATTCAAATTCTCAATTCCTAGATTAAAAAATGTAATATTAATAGACATTATGTATTAAATGTGAGGCTTTCTATTGCAATAAATAAATATAGAGCGTTTAAGCAGAGACAATTTCTTAAAAGTGTCGTAAACTCTTTATAATAAACTTTCAGAAACCATTTAAAAACAAAACTTCTAGTACACTATGAAATTTATCAATGAATGAATCCATTTGGTGATAAAAAAATTGTGATGGTTGTAATATTATTGTTGTTTAGTGTTATTATGTATCTTTTATTACTTATTTAATTTTTTTTATAAATATGTAGTAAGTACTAGGTCGGTACAAGATTGTTGATTTTGTAATAAAAGTTGTTAACGAATTATTGTTTTATTAACTATCAATATTACGATTGATTTCACTATTGCCACCTAAAACAAAAATATTTACCGTTTATCGGGTCAATATTTATTAATTGTAGAAATTGAAGACGAAGTCGCGTGTGTCACATATATGCAATTACTTAATCTTGGAGCTGACATTTAAAAACGCATTTACTACGAAATTAAACTAGTTGTTCTTAAGTAGCATTGTCGAAGCATTTATGTGTTTTACGAAACGTGAATACAGTAGTGACGCCAAATAAAGATCTACTGAGCGTAGTCGAAGCCTGATATTTGTGCGCGAAGGAAGTATTCTTAGTCAACTATTTGTTTTCATTGGAAAAAATGCCTTAAACTTTAATTATTTAAATACGCTTTCGTATTTATACATTCACAAAAATCACAGAAGCACAGTAAGTTTGTTTTTTGCATATTTAGTGACATCACCTTTTCATTTCAATGATAATTAAATAGAATTCATGCTCGATTCGAAACTCATAACAGATATTCAACTCAAACACATTGTCACGAAACAAATTTCAAGATTAAGCCAAGTACAGAACCTTTCCAGTAATTATTTATATTAATATGTAAAAACCGAATCATCCAAATAAAACACATCGGAACGTAACATAGCTAACTGGCAATGCCATGTTTTTCTAAGCAGTAATTTAGCATCGCGACATCCGTAATGATCAAAACGATTTCTAAAACCGACATATTTAAATGGAATTGGAAGTTTTTTTTTTTTACGTAGCTCACCTAATATTACCTAAATTCTTAATAAATTTATATTTTTATTAGTTAACAAAACATAACACATAATGGGGGACGTGAAAAAACAACCACACGTTGATTATGATCCATTCGAACATCGTGAAGTTGAAAAACCGAACTCGTAAGTATTTTTTATCTTTTTAAATTATTAAGTTCATAATTTCTTTATGGCTTTTTTGTTTTTTTTTTTTTTTGTTAAATACAAACTCCTTTCGTAATTTACGTCGATAACGCAAAACAAAATTTTGTAGCGTGCACTCACGAAATGTCCGATAATTTTTTTTTTTTAATTTCATTACGCAATATTATGTTTGACACAAACAAATAATATTTGCTGGGTGTGAAATAGAAACATCCTTTATTTTGATTTGTGGAAAACTAAACATTTTAGTAATTAAGAAAAACGTCACAGGTTAGTGGAATCAACCCGGGCGGACTTCCAAAACGCCCTACCACTAGTAATTAAGGAATAAAATGAAATAAATTTTTGGGGGTGTAATTTAGATTCTCCTTCTCGTGTCACTTCTGACAGAGTGGTCGTGATCGTCATGTAGTGTTGGAAGGGGCAGACTTTATGCGTCTTACGATGTCCCACCATCTCTCCCTGCTCGAGGCCATTCTACTGCATTCATTTAGGGGACCTCCCACTGCAGTTTTAATTTGGTCGGTCCACCGCATTGGTGACCTCCCGCGCAGTCTTTTATCATCAACCCTTCCCTGTACAACGAGGTGTTCTATGGACCGGCCATCTCGTTGCGAAGCGTGTCCGAAGAAATCCACCATTCGAGACTTTACTATAGCAAATAGACGCAGCTTGATGCCGAGTTCCTGAAGTATCGAGACATTTGTACAAAAGTCGGTCCACGAAACTCCAAGCATTCTTCTCCAGCACCACATTTCCAGAGCGTCTATTTTCTTCCTTTCCACGTCTCGCACGGTCACGTCTCAGCAGCGTATAGAAATATTGAGAATATTAGTGTTCTAACGAGCCTGATCTTTGTGGCTTTAGTTATGTTTCTATTTCTCCATACTTTACGTATTTAGATTACACGATGTTATTCCTTCATCATAGAAATAATTTGTAAACATTTACGCTTGTAAGATTCGAACACTATTAAATTAAATCTGATCATTGAAACACTGCTATTTATTTGAAAACAGATTACAGCACGATAAGATGAGTTAGTATTAAATCGAAATAATAAAATATATCCACTAGCCAGCCTAAGTGTAACCGAACAGATCTAGGTATAGTTTTAATTTTCCTGGGTTGTATTTCTTCAAGCGTTTGTTATTATTTAAAGTAGATTTGCCACTCAAGGTCAAATTAACAGAATTAATTTAAACGAAATGAAGTATAAACAATACGGTCTATTCATAAAACACCTTTTTTACACATATACAGTTTAATTATGACTTACAATTGATGGTAGGGCGTATAATGAGCCTATACGGAGTGGTACAATATTCTGTACATATTGTTCTCATTTTTCTAAATCCTACTTATACGAAAATATAACTGAGACTACGACCTCACGCTTCTAGGTGATATCTATAAACTCACTACTGATCAGCGTGCTTAGTTTCGAACCCGTCGCTTGCGACGAAGAGCTCGGCGAGTAAATTAACCCTCAGACACAGCCCACTGAGTTTCTCGCCGGATCTTCTCAGTGGGTCGCGTTTCCGATCCGGTAGTAAATTCTGCGAAGCACGGCTCTTGCTAGGGTTCGTGTTAGCAACGTCATCAGGTTTGAGCCCCGTGAGCTCACCTACTAGTTAAGGCGACGCTGATATAGCCTCTCAAGGCTATCAGCTTAGGTAGGAAAAAAAAGTGTGAGTTTTTTAACGTTCTCGATAGCGTAAAAGTTAGCTTATATTTGTATGGAATAGGATTGTTTGCCTACGTTTGCCGCTAGGGGCGCTGTTCCAACTGCATACAAAATTGAGCTAACTTAAATTTATTTTTATTTTATTATTTATATTTTATTTTATTGTATTTATTATTATTTTTTTATTATTTTTTATTATATTTATTATATTTTTTTTATTATTATTTATTATATTTTTTACTTCGAATTAATCGTTAGGTATGATAATGATTTTTCGCTAGTATTGAGAATAAGCTAATGTCATCATGGGATTTTTAGTGATGTACGATCAACTGCAAATTTAATAAAGGCCTCTTTAGGCACAGGAATACTTGCGGGACCTCTGGCCTTCTCAAATGCAGGTTGGGGCGTTGGCCTTATTGGAACACTTTTCATCGGTTTCTTGTGTACTCACTGCATACACATACTTGTAAGTAACATAAAAGGCATTTTTTTGCACTATTATACTGTTACAATTTCGTCATATTTCAACCCCTTTACAATTTTCTCTGTCAAAAAAGACAAAGGCACCAGAGAATCCTGCCTTGTTTTTTAAACCTAAAATAACCTCAGTAAAATTTAAATAGTAAATACGAAACTATACAAATTATACTATGTATTTTGAATCATAGTATTATTGTTCACATTGCTTCAATTGTAGCTGTATTTATCGAATACTCGCAAATTTCTAAGTCACGAATATTGTAGGTGAAGACATCTCGAGGCTGTTGTAAAATCGAGAAGAAACCATTACTGGACTACGCGCAGACATGTCGGTCAGTTTTTGCTAACGGACCGAAGAGTGTGAGAAGGTTTGCTGGAGCTGCCAGGTAATCATGCTAACTTTAACGTAGTTATAGACATTACGTACACTTTGCATGGAGAGACTTTAGAGTCAGAGATGCGTGCTCAGCGGTAGGATAAAAATTAGCATATATTGTTTCCTATGACTTCAACAATTTCCGTAAATTCATGGCGATCGGTTTCGTTTCGTGCCTTGACCGTCAATAGGCAAGGGACGGATAGAAACAACACAATCGTGTTTATAACATTAGGATATGTGCGTTAATATAAACATTTTAAGTTCTTCCTATTCTATCTTAATTTAAAGTCATTATTTCGACTAGATACTTTTTTATTGACGTCTTATAATTCGATGGAGCCGGCTGCACGCACGAAAAAACATGACTCATGCGGCGTTACCTCGCTTTGAGGCGTTCCATTTAAGGCTTGAAGTGCAAGCGAGGGCGCGCAAGGAGCGACAAAGAGGCACAATCGGCCTCCGCGTTCGGCAGCGTTCGACATCTGTCTCTCTCCTACTTGAGTGAGCGATGCATTCGCGTGGACAGCTGCTATACAATAATACATTTACATGTTTTCGTCAAGTATGAAGTTCAGTGAAAAGTGTCACGTTCAACTATCGTCAGTAAACCGACTTTACAGACAACCGTTTTTTATTAGCAAATTTATACTTAAATTAAATTTGTTACAAGTTATAACTTATAACTTTTATTTCACACAAATTAGCTTCATAATAAATGAAATATATATTCTGTAAATACCTTTATGACTGAACAGGTATATGGTACCTATTGATCACCTTTCCGTAACTTATCTCAGTGAATGTTTTGTTTTAGCATTTTTGCAGAATTTGCTCTGTTATCCACATACGTCGGAGTATGCTGCATTTATACAGTACTTATATCGGATTCGATTAAACAGGTCTGTGATGAATCCAAATAAACTAATAATCAAATAACGATTAACAATTTAATAGACGTAGGTTTATCTAAAGACAACGATTCAATGCTTTATAAAGTCGACACGGAAATAATATTATCTCTTCGATATACCTCATGGAAAATATGTAATTTAGTGTGAAATAACTCAAGTAAACTAATAAACGTTAGTTTAAGTTATAAAAACAGTTTTTGTTATAAATAAATAATTGATATAGCAAAAGACTCACTTTCGCAATGTATCGTTGTTGTTGTTCTATCTTTGTCTTGAGCATTCGTTTTAATGACACTATTCAGTTTGTTCTTTTTTATTTATTGTTTAGATGAGTGGACGAGGTCACAGCCCACCTGGTGTTAAGTGGTTACTGGAGCCCATAGACATCTACAACGTAAATGGGCCACCCACCTTGAGATATAAGTTCTTAGGTCTCAGTAAAGATACAACGGCTGCCCTACCCTTCAAACCGAAAAGCATTACTGCTTCACGGCAGAAATAGGCAGGGTGGTGGTACCTACCCGTGCGGACTCACAAGAGGTCCTACCACCAGTGAAATTTAATAATTCGTGTAATAATTCTTAATTTTCAGCTTGTAGACCACTACGTACCGTCTGTAACGATACCTGTAGAATATTACTGTTTGATACTGTTACTGCCTCTGTGCGTACTTTGTCAGATAAGATACTTAAAGTTTCTGGCTGTGTTTTCAATGATAGCCAATGTCCTACTCGTGGCCACATATGCAATATGTCTCTATTATATTTTCGGAGGTGGAATTTCGTTTGTCGATAAGAAAGTCGCTGGTGATCCGGCAAGATATCCAGCTTTTATTTCGTGAGTATTTACTAATAATACCTTTTTACTATCTTATGAATACAGATGCGTGGCCTAACGGATAAGACGTCCGGTGCATTCGTGTTGAGCGCGATGCACCGGTGTTCGAATCTCAGGCTGGTACCAATTTTTCTAATGAAATACGTACTAAACAAATGTTCACGATTGACTTCCACGGTGAAGGAATAACATCGTGTAATAAAAATGAAAACCCGCAAAATTATAATTTGCGTAATTACTGGTGGTAGGACCTCTTGTGAACCCGCGCGGGTGGGTACCACCACCCTACCTATTTCTGCCGTAAAGCAGTAATGCGTTTTGGTTTGAAGGGTGGCGCAGCCGTTGTAACTAAACTTGAGACCTTAGAACTTATATCTCAAGGTGGGTGGCGCATTTACGTTGTGGATGTCTATGGGCTCCAGTAACCACTTAACATCAGGTGGGCTTTGAGCTCGTCCACCCACCTAAGCAATAAAAAATTTAAAAAAAGTAATGTGGGAAACTGCCAAGAGCGATCATATTTACCTAATATCGTAGTAAATACCTAATATTTTGGACTTGGTAATAAAAGTCATGATCATATAGGAAATCATAATTGGGTATAACAGCAACGCTACAAAAAAAACATAATTAGGTATATAATTATCAGCTCATCGTATTGCACTCAAATCTTTTAAACACTAATTTCGCAATCTCATATTCCGGTGGTTTAAATGATAAGAAGAGTATTACGTGTTTTATTATTGTGCTATTTGGGATGCGTTTTAATGACAAAAAACAAAGTCACGGCTTAAAACACAGCGGTGATATTAAGTCTAGAACTACAACTCCGCTTAGTATTCTAGCACGCTATACTTTTTGCACGTGTTTCAAGTAAGATAATGAATAGGAAATATTAAAAATAATTACACACACCACTGGTCATTTTCACATAATTTTTATTTTGTATTAGTACAATGTTGCGTTCAGATATGTAAAAAAATACAAAGTTTCACAATATTTTTCTTTTTTTATCTAAGCATTCATATAATTTCAAGGTCAACGTGCAGAAAAAATCTAAATTTGCCTTTGAAATACGTGCACTGATTTTCTCTGCGATGATATTATATTCAATCACATTTTCACTAAAAACAAAAAATACGGTTTTAAATCTTTCAGAACTGTAATATTTGCAATGGAAGGTATTGGAGTAGTGATGCCAGTTGAGAATTCAATGAAGAAACCGCAAAATTTTCTCGGATTTCCTAGTGTGTTGGTCGTAGCGATGTCGACTATTGTATTCCTGTACAGTACCCTGGGTTTGTTCGGCTACTTTAGATACGGTGACGTTTTAAGAGGAACCATCACTTTGAATCTACCAACTGAGGAGTGGTACGTCTTAAAAATTATTGGGTTTTTTTCATGTCTCTTCGTATGATATTGTTAATCACAGTGGCGGATTTGCAGTCTCGGCCGCCCTATACCCCAAGCCATCAGCCGCCCCTTTCTCAGCATCCACCATATAGACCACATAATGAAATTGCTTTATTGCCAACTTTTATCTAAATAGATTTAGTAATTTAGGAAAAAAAAATTAGTTTTATGCGGTATAGATTGCACAATTAAGTGCAGTCCGCTCGCCATAATAAGTTTTTGCTACGATTGGGACCGCCCCTAAATCGGGCCGCCCTAGGCCTGGGCCTATCGGGCCTTTGGGTAAATCCGCCACTGCTTAAGTATGTCGCAATGGATATAGCAAAGCATGTCCCATCTGCAGGTAAGAATTCACTGGAGCATTAGTTTACCGTGAGCTTGTCAGTCCGCTTATTATAAAAGCACAAATGCTGAACGTATTTCATGAGCCCTGAATGGAACGAGAAGGCAGCTAGCATATAAATGCTAACTATTTTTTTCATTTTTACATCGCCATATGTACGCCAATTGTACATTTTTGTATTTAATGTTCACATGGTTTTTTTTGGTTTACAATAAAGAATACTCTCTCTCTCTCTCTCTCTCTCATATTTGGCTGAACGAGCGCAATGCCTATTTGATGTTAAGAGATTACCCGAGCCCACACCATAATGTGGTGGTATTGCTTACTAGCCTACCGCATTGATCTTCATTGCTTCAAACGAGTTTTATATCTTGCATGGTTCGAAAGCCTAAGATCAGACTTTAATTGGTCCTATTGCACATAACCTTTCACCAACGCAAGCGTGTGAGGGAAGTCCGGTGATTATTCCCTTCCAAAAAAATTATTAATACGTATTTAGAATTAGAAAGCTTCTCTGCTAGGAACCATATTTTGTATTATTAATAAAATTAAACATTTAAATTTAGCGCTAAGCAGATACGTGTGTGCAATTTTTTTTTTTTTTACAAATTGCTCATACCTCTGTCTTTCTTCATTTAGTAATTAATAACTGTCACTGATTAATCTAACGCGTATTTGTACAGGCCCGCGATATTCGCGAAGATCTTCATTGCACTTTCAATATTCTTCACGTACCCTCTACAGTTCTATGTAGTTATCGATATATTCACGAAATATACGAAGCATCACATCAAGGAGAACTACCAGAAGATGGCGCAGGTGGTCGCCAGAACCGTTGGCGTGACGTGCTGCGGTAAGATTATTAGATATATTCACATATTCCCGAAAAGCGTAACTTGGTTCTATTTTTAAACTTTAATTTGATATTTTTATTGNTTCACGTACCCTCTACAGTTCTATGTAGTTATCGATATATTCACGAAATATACGAAGCATCACATCAAGGAGAACTACCAGAAGATGGCGCAGGTGGTCGCCAGAACCGTTGGCGTGACGTGCTGCGGTAAGATTATTAGATATATTCACATATTCCCGAAAAGCGTAACTTGGTTCTATTTTTAAACTTTAATTTGATATTTTTATTGCTTAGATTGGTGGACGAGCTCACGACCCACCTGGTATTAAGTGGTTACCGGAGCCCATAGACATGTACAACGTAAATGCCGCCACCCACCTTGAGACATGAGTTCTAAGTTCTCAGTATAGTTACAACAGTTGCCCCACTCTTCAAACCGAAACGCATTACTGCTTCACAGCAGAAATAGGCGGGGTGCTGGTACCTACCCGTGCGGACACATAAGAGGTCCTACCACCAGTAACCACCAGTTCATTTGTCTTTTCTTGGGGTCGCAACTTCTAAACTATAATTTGGTAAAAATGATTTAAAGAAATTATAGCCTACCAGCAATTGCAACACTGATAGACAAATCGAAATAGTTTTCATTGGGAAATCTGAACTTATGACTCTAAAACCAAGGCTGAATGACACAAAATACCTTTACTACTGATATTTGTAACATCATCAGTCACCTAACAATTACACGTGAGATTCAACACGTTCCATAATGTGGTACAGGAATCGAAGGCAAGTAGCAATACCATGCAAAAGTTTGAATAATGCTTAGTTAGATCACATCATACCGGTTATCTATAAATAGATTTTGTGGTATTTTAATGCCGTATTGGCATATAAACCTGACACTGGAGGACTTTAAGGTACTTACTGTATGCGCTCAACGATGCATTCCTCTCTTGCAAGATGTACAGATTTGGTATTGCGCCTTATATTAATTGCCCAGCCTTTAGTTTTTCGTGTTTTTTGCGTAATGTGTGGTTTGTTCTAATGCCAGTGCAATGTCAACTGTTAGGCTGATTGATGTTTGGGATACATAATAGCACATTACCATCCCCTAAGCTACTACAGGCAACAAGAGTAGTAGTAATGGACGACTTCTTAAACTAAACATTTTAACAGCTATTTAAGTCAACACAATGTGTCTCTTTATATGTCTAGGCTAGATTGCAATCAAATAAGGTAGGATAAAAAATACAAGTCATCAAGTCTATTATTTCATACTATTGCGTTGTAAATAGTCCTAGCAATATGAAACAATGTACCAAAAAAAGTGACATTGAGAAATACTTGTTTGACCAGATCCAAATCTCATCTGACGTAATATTTGTCGGTGCGTTTAACATTATAAAAATATTAGGAAAGGAATTCTGACATCTTGTATGGAAGGTATTTAATTTCTTTGTATATATTTTTTTGTTAATGCGCCTAGCCCTTTTTCTTTATTGCTTAGATGGATGGACGATCTCACAGCCCACCTGGTGTTAAGTGGTTACTGGAGCCCATAGACCTCTACAACGTAAATGCGCTACCCACCTTGAGATATAAGTTCTTAGGTCTCAGTATAGTTACAACGGCTGCCCCACCCTTCAAACCGAAACCCCACGGCAAAATAAGGCCGGGTGGTGGTACCTACCCGTGCGGACTCACAAGAGGTCCTGGAAGTGCAAGTCACCGTATTCATCAAAACCGCTGAAGAGTTCGACTTGAACCTTGTCCATAGCATCAGCACTAAATTTCTCGCTGGATCTTAGCGCGACGTTATTTCGATCCGGTGGTCAATGCACTCACGAATCACCTGTCCTTGACCTGTTAGGCCTCTTGAGGCGCTCAGGATAATCCCTCTCCCACTGGCTGAGCATTTTAATTTACTCATCTTAACCGGCTATGCGTTAAGGTCTTCGGATCATCAGTAATGTGTCAAACTTCAAAAATATCTTTTTCACCATCACTACGGTCGAATAGAATAAAATAAATACATATACATATAAATACAAATATCATATCATTAAAGTTGCCTTAACAGGACACAAGAAATAAATGAATAATTAATTGTAGTAGATATTTGCAAAGTAGCTTCGATACGTGATTTAATTCGACATAGTCATTTTAGAGTAAAATAATACATAGTCTTTAAATTTTAAACGTTAAGCAACCATAGTTTTAATAGGTATCAGAAACATTAATTTACGCATTACTGAGTGCAAATTAGCCTCTAAATTCTCTAAATGTCGTCTTAGCTAATAGCCGTATAGCATCCAGCTATTGCAAAATTCAATCCAAATCAGTTTTATCTACTAGAACTATTTTATGTGAAACAAATATTTAGTGATATGTTAGATTTAACATTCAGTTAACGATGAGAATGTTTGTTATAATTTCATCATTTTCCGTATGTGTGTTCCTGTGTATTAAATAAACCTTAGACAGTATAGATAGTAATAGTAGTAGCCTTAGTAGTAGGTAATAGTATTTATTACTGTGTGAATAAACAAGTAAACAAAGGAACACAAATTCTAAAACTTTTATTTAAACTCTGTATACCTACGTTATAGGCAATCCAAGACAATTATCTGACGGACGCTTTAAATATACACATTTATTTTATTGAATTTCGCAATTCACATATCTGATTCAATTACAGCCTCACTGATTAAGCCCATGTTTACTGAAAGTAATAGGTTAATTATTTTTTTTTAAATGTTATAATCATATATAACTCTTTCTTTACAGTCGGTATTGGAATAGCATTACCACTGCTAGAACAAATTATCAATATAGTCGGAGCGATTTTCTATTCGATTCTCGGTCTCGTGATTCCTGCTATCGTGGAAACAGTTTTCCGGTGGAACGACCTCGGAAAATTCAAATGGATTCTTTGGAAAAATGTCCTCATTCTTCTCTTCGGCCTCGGAAGTCTCGTGTCAGGATGCACCGTGACAATAATGGACATAATACAAGTACTCAAACAGAAAACTGAGTAACGACGTAAACTACAATGTCACGATCGATGTCAAGTACTGCTCATTACATTACACAGCAATGTCAGCCATATCTCAGAGGAAAAATAAATCGTAGTAGAATTTTCCGTAAAGTGAAGATACTATTTTACTAATAAGGAAACTGCTTAAGCAAATATCGGTAATGATACAGCGTATAGAAAAACGTAAAAAATATGCTTCGTGTAATGATAGAACTCAGAACTGTAGAATGTTTTTCACGTTGCAAAAAAATGAAAATAAATTTGTACAACTTCATTGAACTTGATAGCAATGCGTGACGCTTAGTCATTGTTATTATATTCCCAAGACTCGGTATCCGCAGTCATACTAATTACTATTGTTTGTATTTTGTTCCACGTTAAAATATATGCAAAAACAGTAAGCTATTAGCTACATACAAAATTAATAAGAAAATGAAGTAATGAAGTTCGAGAAACCCAAATTCAATGTATAAAACTATTTTATGGGGCAAAACGATTTCATAATTTTAACTTTGATCCGTTTGTACAGATTTTGAATTTGAACAAGATTTAACTTTACATTTTTGTATCATTGATGACGATGGGCAACGGTAGACTCAAGCTATCCGGTAGAAGAAATGCTTAACTTCTTTCGACACTGCTGCTAAGTTTTGAGAAAGTCTTAATATCAGCTCGACACACCGGCTTTTCGATTAACTACTAACACTTCTTCAAAACCCAGTAGCAAGGACCTCTCTTCAAATTTCCATAAATAATGTTTGTTTATTTTCAATTCCTATTCGATATTTTCTATTATTCAAATAAAATTTGAATACTAATGCCACTAATTTCAAAGTGTAAGTAGCTGCTACTAATTTCAAAGTACTGTTGCCTACCGCATAGCCTTAACACGAATAGATTAAACCTAGTATTTGAATTCATAATAAATTATATACTCACATTAAATAAATTACTGACTACTTCATTTTCATATTGTGAAATAAAAACAAAACATTAAATAGAAGAAGTTAGTTTTTAAATGGTCAATAAAATGATTGAAATATGATCGAAGCATTTTTATTGCGCACCAATCTAGCAACTTAGAGAGAGAGAGAGAGAGAATACACTTTATTACACACCAAAACACAACTAACATTAAAAAAACAATCAAAAAGCAGACATTTGTATAATAGGGGGTCTTATCGCTAAAAGCGATCTCTTCAAGACAAAAGAGAGAGAGAGAGAGAGAGAGAGAGTATTCTTTATTGTACACCAAAAAACAAATAAACAGTGCGATACATTAAACACAAAAAGTACAATTGGTGGTCTTATCGCTAAGAGCGATCTCTTCCAAACAACCATCAGGTGGACAAGAATCATTTCGTTTAATTTACAGAAATTCTGGAAGATATGAAAATATAGCAAGTATGTTGCGGTGTACTTACTTTTTTAAGCTGAGAGCCTTGAGAGGCTATTTCAGCGTAACCCTAACGTTTGTAGGTGAGCTTACGGGGCTCAAACCTGATGACGTTGCTAACACGAACCCTAGCAAGAGTCGTGCTTCGCAGAATCTACCACCGGATCGGAAACGCGACCCACTGAGAAGATCCGGCGAGAAACTCAGTGGGCTGTGTCTGAGAGTTAATTTACTCGTCGAGCCCTTCGTCGCAAGCGACGGGTTCGACGAGAACGGTGACCGGTGCTTAAAGTACCTAGAAGCACCGTTAGTGGATCGGGAGGATCCGAGATGACGTGTGTTAAATGCCACCATTAAGAATAAGGCATTAGTTTCATTGGAACCGCGTAACAGTAATAAGGACTCAGTGTCGGAACAACGTGCCGTAAATGTGGATGATAAGGGTGATACCAACTTGTGTATTAGCAGTATTTAAGATATGAGTCGTCTATTATCAAAGGTGGCAATCTGTGCATTTGGACAAAAAAATGTTATTGATATGTCAATACAGATTGATTTGAATACAATCGTCTCCTTCAAAGAATACGGTTCTAAACCTGCATTAAATAAAGGTTAATACTTAACCTCTTATTTATCTAAGATGTCGTTCAGAAGAGTTTTGTGACTGCCAATGGAATACAAAGTCAATAATTCGTGATTCTGATTTACCAATCATTGTCCAAAAGTCACATTGCCGGCTTTGATAATAGTCGACTCATATTAAAGGCTAGGTAAAGAAAAATTATGAAGTCGTCGTGGCCTAAGGGATAAGACGTCCGGTGCATTCGTGTTGAGCGATGCACCGGTGTTCAAATCCCAGGCGGGTACCAATTTTTTAAATGAAATACGTACTCAACAAATGTTCACGATTGACTTCCACGGTGAAGGATTAACATCGTGTAATAAAAATGAAATCCGCAAAATTATAATTTGCGTAATGACTGGTGGTAGGACCTCTTGTGTGTCCACGCGGGTAGGTACCAACGCCCTGCCTATTTCTGTCGTGAAGCAGTAATGCGTTTCGGTTTGAAGGTTGGGGCAGCCGTTATAACTATACTGAGACCTTAGAACCTATACCTCAAGGTGGGTGGCGCATTTACGTCGTAGATGTCTATGGGCTCCAGTAACCACTTAACAGCAGGTGGGCTGCGATCTCGTCCACCCATCTAAGCTTTTAAAAAAAAACATGTTAGTATAACCAGGTATAAAAGATGGATCAATGAAAGAAAAGGAACTCGATGTCACACATTCTTTTGTCCTCTAATCAGGATCATTATTATCGACCCAAATTTACTATTTTTGTTACAATTGATTAGTTTATTATTCTCAGTATGTTTTCCTGTCAATTAATCAGTCAACGATTTGTTTTAAAATTATCTCAGTTTTCTCGAATTTAAAAAAGTTAATTTCAAATGGTTCTAAAATACACGCCGCACGGTGTCATAAAGCTAACTGGCATTACACATCCAAAGCGCAAAACATGTTGACGACTTGTCGACAGTACATTTTAAGCTTTTTGAACATAAAAGACAACGCTTCGAATATTTAGAAGCATGTAAAAGAAGCCGCAAGCGTGTCGGCAAGACACTAACCTCATTCGCTGTTCAAAATAATTTTCAAACAAAATCTTAATAATCTACTGCATAAGTAGTCAAAATTACGCTTTATGTGTGCATATTCGAGGTGTTTCTAAAGTGTACATAATTTGTTAACTCGTGTGACAAATGGCTAATTAGTAATTGAATGTCTTCTTTTACTTTGTTAGCTGTTCAGAAAAAACATTTTTGTGTTCTTTTTTTGTATTACAACAATGACGCTGTTGTGATCTTCTAACAAGCGAGTTTCTTTGTTAGGTAAACGATCGCGATGAGTGTCTGAATCTTGTGGTTTTGAATTTGTATAAATGTAGGTAATAATGAAAACGTCGTTCGAAAATTTGGAGTAATATTGATTGATGTTCGAATGGTTAACGAGAAACTTAAGATATATGTATATAAAACTAGCTGACCCGCCAGACTATGTAGTGCCTCAATCGATAAATAAAAGATCTAAACTTTTGTATAAAATAAACACATCAAAGGAAAAACAAAATTATTACTTTTATTTAATTCCGAGCATTTTCATATTTATTTACCTTTTAAACCTTCTCTGGACTTACACAAATAATTCAAGACTAAAATTAGCCAAATCGGTTCCGCCGTTCTCGAATTTTAGCGAGACTAACGAACAGCAATTCATTTTTATATGTACAGATATAGATAATCTAATCAATTCCGTATGGGAAACACGACAGTGCAAAAATTACTATGGTTGGTAGATTCTTCAAAATTATTAATAATTTCAAGTACTCGTTTGCAGAATACGCCTATCGAACATATGTCCTACAACACCTTCGTAGAATTTTAGTTCGGTTTGCGGCTTCATCCCGGCCGAAAACCAAACGGAGTGGAAGATGATTGTACAAAGAGCGAACGAAGGCCTTTCAAGAACACGACCTTCACCAATGAAGTATGTGACTAAGAAGAAGAGGAAGAAGAGCTTAGTTCTTTCTTAAATAGCTTAAAGAATTGATGCGCTCTGAGGAATTGTTCGAGATGATACCTTCATCTCGTTTTTACCATGGCACCGCCCGCCATCGGAGTAGAGTTCATCCATACTACCTGGAGCCACTGCAGTCATCCACAGTGCGTTTCCAGAGGTATTGTTTGCCATGTACCATCCGGCTATGGAATGAGCTCCCCTCCACGGTGTTTTCCGAGTGCTATGACATGTCCTTCTTCAAACGAGGCTTGTGAAGAGTATTAAGCGATAGGCAGCGGCTTGGCTCTGCCCCTGGCATTGGCGACGGTAACCACTCACCAACAGGTGGGCCGTATACTCGTCTGCCTACAAGGGCAATAAAAAAAATATATTGTTAGCATATGTCATAAGAGTCAGATAAAATCTTGAAGTCCAAGAGAAATTTCGAGCCTAAATAAACCGCGCGGGTGAAATCTAAACACAAACGACAATCGTTTACGACGCAAATTTTATCTTAATTTATCGCAGATAACCGAGATTGTCGTAATAAAACAATTACATCAGGACAGACGTAGAAGTATTAAAATGTCTTTTGTACATAACTAGCACATTTTGTTTCTGGTTTTAATGGAGTCGCTTTCTGTCGAGTTCCAAGCCATTTGGAACATTAAGTTTTCGTAACAAAATCAATATAAGTTATCTCTATTGAACAAATGTATCCTAAACTAGAAAAAATGAGTGAGAAGACTGTTAAGGAAGACGAATACAATCCGTATGAACATCGTAAAATCGAGAAGCCAAATTCGTAAGTAATTATATTATGATTTACTTAATAATAAATATTTCAAATAAATAGACAATTACAAAACAGTATTTTTTTTCGGTCTTTGCAAGTTATGACATTTTTTAGACATGAAACTTTTAATCATTAATAATAATACTCATTATGAGCACTCCGGTTAAGCCGGCTACCTTGCCATAGCAGGGGGTTCCAGGAGCACCCTCGGTAATGCCAGACCATCCACCTGATGCGTGCAAGAGAGCTATGTTGTGGAGGTACTCATGGGGTTCACGGTCAGCCCCCTCGTAAATATTACGAGCTAACTTCCGGATGAACTCCTCGAGTGACTCCACACCCAGATCCGTTGGACCGACTCGCCAAGTGGTGCATAATGCGACCTAAATGTAGCGTTGTCGACTGACCGCTACGAAACCCGAATTGCTGGGGTCTGAGAACGATGTGCGGCGACAACCCTCTCCGCAGCAGCCGCTCGAACAACTTGCCGACATGCGACAACAGGGTGATCGGACGATAACTGGAGGGCTTTCCCGTATTCCTGCCGGGCTTGAGCACGCTTATCAGCTTGCCCGATTTCCAAATTCCCGAAAAGTGCCCTGTAGACAGAATGGAATTGAACAGTCGTATCATATAAGACAAGACTGTTTCGGGTAAGTGGAAGAATGCTAGGGTAGGAGTACCATCCGCACCCGGCGCCTTGCGCCTCTTCATTCGCTTCGTGGAGAGGCGCAATTCAGCGGGAATGGTGAATTCATCATCTCCCAACGGTGGCACCGGGGAGGAGAGTAGGCTTACTACGCTCTCTTCCACCTACTGGTGGAATGTGGCCTCTTGAGGGTACAGAGTCATTTGGGGCGAACTGCCACCCCAGCATTTCAGCCAGGATAACGGCGTGGGCCTAAGCCGAGAAGCATCGATTGCCCCTCTCATTCCCTAGTGGACAAATGAGGGCAGGCCGATTTGAGAGCAGGCAACAAAGCCGGTGGAGGGATACGGAGAATGACTCCTTCATCCGCTCCTCTCAGGCATATTAAGGGTACTAATTTTCGTCGCCAGCTCCGCTTCCAGCTCATTAAGCTTGAGCTTAATCCTGGGCCAACGCAGAGTGCCCTTCGGAAACCTTTAGTTACTAATTTACAACCATGCATTTAATTAAATGTAATTTTCCATAAACAGTAGTTTGTTTTAAAAATCGTCATCACTCATGTGGTGTTAATTAATTCAAAGTGTCAAATTTGAATTTCATAATTAAAGCGTATGATGAGTTCGGTCACTGAATGGTTCCTAATTAACAAAACTACGCCAGTTATTTCGACACAAACACAGTAACTTTGAGGAATTTAACAAATAAATTCTACTTAATTATCCATTTACAGTTAATGACTATAAAATGCAATGGATCTGTTTTAAAACTAAATTGATGAACTAGGTAATTTTCCATTCTTGATACACATTAGTGGTATCTTAGCTTAAATTGTCCTTGATGGTGATGGTCAGATAAAATAAATTTTAAACTAATCTTAAAAACGCCTATATTTCTCTTAAAGAATATTGTATTTAGCATGTATGCACTACCACAATATCTCTTTCCGTGGGTATCGTAAAAGGCGACTGAGACATTCACCGAAGAACTAACAATAGCGTTCTTTGAGCGTTATACCAGCGCATTGTGATTGTCATCTGCCCGCACGGATAAGCTTCACCATTCTGCCTATTTCTGCTGCGAAGAAGTCATGCTCACCAGCTAAAGGACTATTATACACTACAATTGAGACTTCGTCATCATGTCTACGGGATCATCCGTCTATGCAATAAAAATCTGATCAGATCAACATTAAATAAGATTTGTATCTATGGTTTATACAATAAAAACCTAATTTTGCATATAGTACTAATGTCAAGGTACTGTTAAACTCTTGGAATTTCATGTTACGTATTACTCAAGTAGGTACTTACAATCATTTACATAATTTTTATAGAAGTTTTTCCATTAACTAATGTAAATTGATTACCATATGTGTCTCATCATGCAATCCACAGAGATATCAGGTCATTAGCGAATCTGATTAAATCTTCGTTGGGCTCTGGCCTACTTGCTATGCCACTGGCTTTCTCCAATTCGGGCTGGGCAGTCGGCATTATTGGAACAATCGTCATTGCATTTGTTTGTGGACACTGTGTGCATATATTCGTAAGTATTTTTTTTTTAATCTCATCAATTACGTATATTGTTATCAGAACCAATTAACCAACAGACACAGCCCACTGAGTTTCTCTCCAGAGTTTCTAAGTGTGTCGCGTTTCCGATCCAGTGGTAGATTCTGCGAAACACTGCTCTTGCTAGCGTCAGTGCTAGTAACATCGTCAGGTTTGGGTCCCGTGAGCTCACCTTCTTGTTAGGTTACGCTGACATAGCCTCTCAAGGCTATCGGCTTAGATAGGGAAAAAAAACAAAACCAAATTACTAGTGATGGACATTTATTATAATAACAATATACATATAATAACAAAATAAATGAAAAATCTTGGAGATTATACACGGTCATTCGTGCATACCTATATTGCATACTTATATATGAACATACGTACAAATATATACATATTATTCAGATCAAAAGTCAGAAACGAACCCAAGACCCAGAGGTCAGATTCGCAAACTACTGCACCACCGAGTCAGATAAAGCTCGTTACATTTACGTACACTTTTCTAAGATGGACTAGGAGGGTTATATGCTAAGTATAAGTAACAGAGATCACGTTCTAATTAATTAGTGACAAGCAAATCTTTTGAGTGGTGACCGCGTACCGGAAGACGTAGCGTGGATAGGCGTTCGACAATATGAACGAACGACCAAGTGAGGTTCGCAGGGATCTACTAGATGCAGGCAGCGCAGGACCGATCTTTGTGGCGAGGCTTGGGGTAGGCCTAAGTCCAGTACTGGCCGTATGTGGGCTGGTAGAATAGAACCGAAGCAAATCTCTCTACGTCATTACGAAACGATCTCTTTATGGGAAAAATAATAATCAAAGCAAATCGAAAGGATTTTGCGTAATTACTGTTAGGAACACTAGAGTCAGCATTACGGATAAGCGACTCACGTTGTTACTGTTATGAAGCAGACATAGTGGCTTGGAGGGAACAATTGTGTAAGTGTAATTGTTACTGAAGCTCTGTCTATTCATCACATTGTAAATTGTTAAAATGCCTAATGTACCTTAACCATTACTATTCCCTCTATAAACAGAACCTGTTATCTTATTATTTGCTAAATATAATAAATGTTACTGTAATCATTTGTCATTTTCAGGTGAAAACATCAAGAGGATGTTGCAAGCTCGTGCGACGACCTCTTCTAAGCTACTCGGAGACTTGCAAAGCTGCATTCGAGCATGGACCAAAGTCGTTACGACCTTTCGCTTTTGCTGCACAGTAATCACAACATGAATACAATTTGTGAACTTCTTCTCCAAACAATTCTCAGTTGATTCATAATTGTGTTTCTTTTTTTAGATTATTTTCAGAATTTGCCTTATTCTTCACCTACATCGGTGTTTGTTGTATTTTTACCGTCCTAATTGCTGATTCTTTAAAACAGGTTTGTATTATTAAGAAACGTTCAACAATCAACTACGCTAATGTCTTTTAGAACATTTAAAATGAATTTCAATCTATCCCATTTCCTTAATATACTCATCTTATAGTTCTACAAGACTCCATCTCGACGCTTGCATACCAGAAAATATTGCACATATTAATAATAATAATAATAAACTTCTTAAATCTTTTATTTGTAGTGACTCTAACAGACCTCTCAACGTGAACACCGCGATATTTCTTTATAAGTAAGGTCTACAGTAACAACTTCATGCAGTAACAACATAATTGAGAAATTGTCAATAAATGGTTATTTCACCCTTTAAGCCTGACAGCATAGTGCTTCACTAAAACAAATAATAATATAGTCGAGGTGTGCCATTGATTAGTGATGCGCAATATTGAAATGTTGTTTTAATTTTAGAGCCAATTCTTTTACGAGTATAAAAAAAATAAAATAAAAATACAAGCTACCACCAATACCTTTGTTCTGTCTATTCTATTAGTATTGTCTATTATTAGTGTTGTATCTAATTTGTTTCATTTTCAGTTGTTTGATGAATACGTCACTACAACAGTCCTGCCTGTGGAATATTATTGTTTAATCATACTCGTGCCACTTTGCCTGATGGTACAGATCAGGCACTTAAAATGGTTGGCGCCGTTTTCATTGATAGCAAACATTCTACTGATTGCAACGTTCGTCATCTGCATGTACTATATATTTGGAGACGAAATAAATTTTACTGATAAAAGAATCTCAGGAGATCTGTCTAGATTCCCAGCTTTTTTGTCGTAAGTATCATTTTCGGTCAATCTATCAGAGGGTTTGTTTTTGTTGCATTAACGCGATTTGTGGATACTAATAAAATTTTGGTAGTTTATCTTTTTATAAAATATTTACTGACGATTAATTAATTTATTGTAAAAAAAGCGTGGGGTGCATGGTATCAGTAGTTATAAATATTTTATGAACAGATATGAGTAGAAGGGTTATTTTGATTATATCTTGAAAAGCACCCCACGCTTTTTTACAATAAAATCATTTTTTCTTACACTGTTTTTAATTCAAATTTATTATAATTTATTTTCAATTTTTAGTTGGATTTTCTATAAAAGCGTATTTTGTTAGTTTTTTTAAACTATTATTTATTTTTAATTTTTTAGTTGAATTTAATTTTTTTCAATTTTTTTTTAATATAGAATTGTCATCGGTTCTTAATAAGGATACCAAATTTCGAGTTAATCCGACGTTTTAAAGGGGGTCAAAATAATGTTCAATGATTCCGTTACAAACATACTTACTAACATACATACATCTGAAGCTAATAAAAGCGTATTAAAAACAACTCAACCATCTTTCAGCACGGTTATATTTGCTATGGAAGGCATCGGAGTAGTGATGCCAGTTGAAAATACAATGAAAAAACCGCAGCATTTTCTAGGGTGCCCTAGTGTCCTCGTCGTAGCCATGTCGACTATCATGCTCCTGTATTCTATTCTTGGCTTATTCGGGTACTTCAGATACGGAGATGTACTTCGAGGATCTATAACACTGAACCTACCTATTGACGACTGGTAATACATTTTGTTATATATTTATATTACAGTGCGTGATGATAGATGATCTCACAGTTACACTGAAGATATTCGATTACTGAAACTCAAATATGAAAAAGATTCAAAGACTAACACAGAACTATTATAGGGTTACACGGTTAAGATCCTTCAGACTGAAGTATTACGGCAGAAATATACCAGAAATAGATGCAAATATATAATATATTATTGCACATTGAGAAAAGGGATGTTTGAAGTCGTCGTAACCTAAATGATAAGACACCTGGTGCATTCTTATCAAGCGATGCAACTGTGCCAATGTTTGAATCCCGAAGGCGGATACCCGTTTTTCTAATGAAATATGTACTTTACAAATGTTCACAACGGATTTCCACGATTTCCAAGGATAGCATCGTGTAATGAAAATCAAACCGGCAAAAATAATAATTTGCATAGCTACTGGTGGCAGGGTGTCTTGTAAGCCTTTACGGAAAGGTACGACTACCCTGCGTATTTCTGCCGTAATAAGTTTCGATTTGGAGGATGGGGCAGCCATCGTAATATAAAACTGAGACTTTGAAGTAACGTCTCAAGGTGGGTGGCGGCATTTGCATTGTTGATGATTGCATTGTTGATGACTATGAACTCCGGTGACCACTGAACACTTGGTAAGCCGTGAGCTCGTGCACCAATCTAAACAATAAAAAATCAAAAAACTTCTCATTACAGGCCAGCCGTGTGCGCTAAAACTTTTATAGCACTATCAATATTCTTTACATACCCACTTCACTTCTTTGTGGTATTAGATATATTCACCCGATATGCGGAACCACACATCAAGAAGGAGTATCGTAATTTTGCACAAATACTCGCCAGGACCTCTTGCGTTTGGATTTGTGGTGCGTATTACTAGTTTTCAAATAAGCAGAGATTATAAAAGAAAATTGGACAAAAGTGGGACAAAAAAACAAAGATATCGGAAAGCATTAAATCCCTCCTTTTAATTTGCCTTAGTAACTGATCCCAGTATTCTGTGGCGAGTACTGCACTTTAGACTTGTCCATTTTTCATTATTTCTAGTTGCTTCCACTAGGCAATTTCCTATGCTTTTTTTCGTCCATGATTCTCTGGGTCGATTTCCTTCAATGCGATGACTAATCAATACAAGCTGGATTTTGGTAACAAGACGTATTACGAGCTTAAATCATTACCTCGAAGCGAAATTAGCATATTCTTAATTCGACTCCTTTTCTTAAGGCTAGTGACGGTATTCACGTTGTGGCGTCTTAAAACCTGATGGACCATAAACCCATGTGCCATTCAGGAGCAATGAAAAAACCCAATGTAACTAAGGTACTCCATAACAATGAACTACACTGGGCTGAGACTTTATAAAACGCTGTCAGTGTGAAAGTGGTAAAAAAGAGGTGACTTCCCAGATCCAGACAGAGTACTTCCCAATAGTAGGGCATACGGTTCAAAAGCATTAACTGTCTCTCCCGGAGATTTCAAGCGACTGAAAAATACTTGAGAGGTGGGTACATCCAACAATCACAAGTGTTGACCAAATTTAAAAAGGCACCTCAGTATATATGGAACTTCGAATGGTAATCCAATGTAAAATTAAAACTCAAAATAAAAAAACTTCAATTTATTCTTTAGGTGGAATAGGCATAGCATTGCCTATGCTGGAACAGATCATCAACATTGTCGGAGCACTGTTCTACTCCATACTGGGACTCATAATACCAGGTGTAATCGAGACAGTATTTAGATGGGAAGATCTGGGCAGATGGAATTGGATTTTTTGGAAAAATCTATTGATTATCCTCTTTGGTGTCTGTTCTTTAGTATCAGGCTGTACTGTTAGTGTCATGGATATTATAAGTATTTTAAATAAAAAAACCATTTGATATTAAAGACTTTTACAATCTCGAAAATTCGAAGTGAAGGAACTGAATGAAATTATACAAGTGTTTTCGTTTATTTTTAAGAACTTAATTTGGAACTATTAAATACAAAAATATTCCTTCATAAAAAAATCTGCCCCACCAAATACATCTCTCTTATGTGCAACATTAGAAATCAATACATATTTCCTATATTTCATTTATGGATAAAATAATAATAATAATAACAGCATTTTGTTCTTAAGTTCATATATTACGTGGAATTCTTAGCATGAAGGAAAATCTCTTGTTAAACACTTAACTGAGGCATAACAAGATCTTCTTGATAAACCGGAACGCACAACAGATTTACATTGAATACATTGCTGATAGTGATCGCTCTAAATATTGAGCAAAGTTAACGTCAGAATCCATTGTATTCTCAAATATAATATACAACGATGTAAAGATTTGGTATGTATAAAAACACTCCAAGCCTATTTAAATATTAGCAAAGATGACCTGAAAGTTGTTTTTTTTGGTATATCAACAATACATACTACTAAAGAACGTCTTCTTAAAAGTCATCAAGAATCCCGCAAAAACCATGACCTTGTCGTGTACTGTTACGTAGTACGCATCAGACATAAATGAGACTACACCTAAATTCGTCAACTAGTTATATGAATTGATATTGATTGCCTTAATGATTGGCCTTAAATATGGCAATATTGGCGACGCTATTCTAGTCGAAGTATCTACTTAGATAAAAATTTATAGCGCCAAATGTTCATAAGTAGACTATGTAATATTTTAATAATTTTCAGTTCGCGAATAGCTGGTGGTCCACAATTTACAAGTACCTCATACACTCTCAGTCGAGATTGTTATGTTTCTAGTTTTCATTGATTTTTTTTTTGTAAATTGTAGGATACCATAACGCTTTTTAATTGTTATTAAAATTATTATTACATTAAAATGGAGGATGGCACTCTATAAAAATTGCATACGCCCCGTCATGACCTATGCAAGTGTATTGTTCGCTCACGCGGCCCGCACCAACTTGAAACCCCTTCAAATTATTCAATCCCGTTTTTGCAGGATAGCCGTCGGAGCACCATGGTTCCTAAGGAACGTGGATCTCCATGATGACCTGGAGTTTGACTCAGTCACTAAGTATCTACAGTCGGCATCATTGCGCCACTTTGAGAAGGCGGCACGACATGAGAGCCCTCTTGCCGTGGCCGCTGGAAATTACATACCCGATCCTGTAGACCGAATGGTAAATAGTCGACATCGCCCAAAACATGTCTTTTATGATCCTCCCGATCCATTAACGGTGCTTTTAGGTACCACAAGCACCGGTCACCGTCCTCGTTTTAACCCATAGACACAGCCCACTGAGTTTCTCGCTGGAGCGGTTCTCAGTGGGTCGCGTTTCCGATCCGGTGGTAATATCTGCGAAGCACTGCTCTTGCTAGGGCCAGTGCTAGCAACACTCCCGGTTTGAGCCTCGTGAGCTCACCTACATGTTAGGGTGAAGCTGAAATAGCCTCTCAAAGCTATCAGCATAGGCAGGGGAAAAAAAGGAGGCTGACCAACAGACGGCTCGGCTATTGATGAATGCCGTATGACCATTCATTCATGGCCATGACCATGGCCATGACCATGGACAATACTGGGCACTATATAACAGGAGAAATACTCTTTTTCAAACTAGTTTGTAGCAGAACTTATGAAAGGCTCACAATAAAGCTCATCGTGAAAACATCGCGAAAGGCGGGTTGGTAAGAGACATTAAAAGGAACCCTAAATGATTCCAATATGGTGACGACGTTCATTTATATTTCCACTCCGTCACAATTTTTAAACAACGTCAAATCAAAACCTTTTATACTCAATCTGGGCCTTTCATATTTCCAGATAAGTTCTCAAGCTCGTCAAAATATTTATCTGATATTTACCTATTTTTCTTCTAATGACGAATCCATACAACATTATTACCAGTATTAACAGTAGGTAAGTGTGTATGTCAGTCTCTGGTACCATAACACAAGAAATCTTAATTCGGGGCCGAATGACCGTGCGTCATGTATTCCCAGTTGTTATTATTATTATTTTCGGAAAGGTAATCTTTTCTTAGCACTTTGGCTAGTCTGAACCACATCCACGGGCCTCAACCAAGTGAATGCAGCGTGTAGTGAGGAAAATTTATGTTGACGGTATGTTATTATTGAGGGGCAATTTCGTTTTCGTGTATCTGCAAGATTTTTCTGACTATTCTTTATTATTATGACTACTATTAGGATACCATACATACAGTACATAATAAATATAAACCTAGAGCAATAAAAAAGAGTGTTTAGCAAATCAAACAGCGAATTTTATCAATTTACGTAAATACTGGTGACAGAACAGAAGGTTTAGTGTGCCTTCATTTCTAGACCAAAGCAGACCAAGCCATGAGCTACAACCGTCTATGCAATGAAAAGTCTTTGTACTTTTAAATCGTTTGTTTGAAAAAGGCTCAGTAAATTCCGTCAATACAGTTATCACGTAAACACGTGGAACTCTTCAGACCTAAACTCATTCATTAAGCGTGAGTGTCAAAAGTGATTTGACCGATTGTGCCAAATGCGTAGTCGCCGGTCAGTGATACGTTATACAACAATGTTGCGCTCTATTTAAAAACAAAACTAGTTATTGACACAATCATTACTAGCAGTTAAGTATGACAAATGTTTCTTTAAAAATTATGCGCTTCACTACTGAATATTTATCAACATCGCATTCGCATTTTATTTATGAGTTTGTAGTTAATCAGAAACTTGGTACAGTAGTTATTCGCTTCGGCTCACAGCCAGAAAAAAATCATAGTTATTCGCGCTTCACTTCTTAATTTTGACATAATAATATTATCATCAACGTACAACAAATGCCTAATTCTGCCGTGAAGCAGTAATGCGTTTCGGTTTGAAGGGTAGAGCAACCGTTGTACTGTTAAAACTGAAACCTTACAACTCATGTCTCGAGGTGGGTGGCGGCATTTACGTTGTGAATGTCTACGGGCTCCGGTTACCACTAAACACCAGGCGGCCCCTGAGCTCGTCCAACCACATAATCTATAAAAAAAATAGAATAGGAGTAGCTTCAACGCATGGGTTTTTTTAATTTTTTATATCTATAGCTACAGCAGAGCGCGGCGGGATTCGGCAGGAAAATCGAGTGATTTAACTATGCAGGGTCTGATTCTGCAGGCCAATACGATTTTTCTAGAAAAATATGTACTTATAGCCCATATTCACAATCAATCAATCAACCTCAAATGTTAAAGGAATTATTTCGTGTAATAAAAAACAAGCTTCGATCTCGTCAAGTCTCGTCGTTTCGTGGTAGACGTAAACATTTACGTTGCAATATCATTAGAGTCCGGTTTCTACACAACACCAGGTGCCCTGTGAGTTCCTTCAAACTCATCAAGAAGCAAAAACGGAAGAGAAAATTATTACGAAAATTGTTAAATAGCAATATTAATATAAAAAAGCACAAGCCAAGTCGGAATACAAAAAAAAAATTGGCAAAACATCTTGAACGTCTAGGCAGCGGGTTTAATGAGCTAGAAATGTTTTCCTACAATAACAAAACACAAAACGAACCAAATTTGTTTATGTCGTCTTTTTTTTGTTTTGTTGTTACCAAAGATTTATTTGTATTCAAAAATATAATTTCGAAGCGTTTATTTTCATATTCACTTGGCCACAAATCATTCTCGTTTGGCAAAACACAAAAAAAAATACGTTCAGAAATATTTTCGCCCACCTTCCTCTACCCACGTCCGAAGGATAACCATGCCTATATTAGCATGTAAAACCTTGAAAACAAAAAATTGGCACAGCTTTGAAAACAAACTTCATGGTGATGATGTTAAACAACATAACGTTACTACGTTCAAAAGCAATTAGTTGTTTTCACGAGGGCCAATTATAATTAATTTCCTAGTATGTTACATTCTCGAAGGCCTTGATGCCACAAGAAGTGATAATCTGAATTGGTTGTCTAAGGTTGGTATCACTCTTCTTCAAATCTTCTTCTTCAATAAGGCAGCATTCGGCATAGCATTTGGCTTTGCAGCAGGAAAGTATAGGTAGGATTTTGCTACCTACCGAGACCAGCCCACCTGCTACCATAAGTTATTGTCTTAATGTAACTAAAAACTTGGATTAGCAAAATTTTAATATGGTAACGATATTATTAGTAAGACTAAATGATGGGAAAATACATTAATAACGTCGACCTGAGGGGATCGGGGTTGAAAACTCGTATCTTTCGATTCATGACACAATCTTTATAAATTTTTGTAAGTATGTCCTGTGCGCATTTTCTGATTGAGATGAAAATTCGTGCAAATGCTATTACTAGCTACGATGGGCAGCATAGATTTCATTTTCAAGAAGTCGATGTTTTTCATACACTTCGCGCTCGTCACAATGGAGCGTGACCGGCTCTCACTAGTTATCATACAAATTCTTTGGCTTCTTTCCAATATAATTGCAGCTCCGATTGCAGCTTTGATATGTATCTAATTAAAAATTATGTAAATATCTCGCACTATATTTTTCGTAACTTCGCTAAATATCAAATGTTACTTTAAGAAGACCAGGCTAATTTTACCGGCTCCAATGGCGGCGGCACGTGATGGTGTGATCAAATGTTCTTGAAATCGTATGTAATAAGTCGTAAACCTTTTATTAGGACAATATTAAACACCGTAATTCTTTAATCATCAACGCGTTTGTAAGTCCGTTCAAATTCTCGTGTTCACATTTCAAGATTGGGCTCATAATACAACGTTTGCAATGCCTTATTGATTTTTTTTATTGCTTAGATGGGTGGACGGGCTCACAGCTCACCTGGTGTTAAGTGGTTACTGGAGCCCATAGACATCTACCGGCACCCACCTTGAGATATAAGTTCTAAGTTCTCAAGTATAGTTACAGCGGCTGCCCCACCCTTTAAACCGAAACGCATTACTGCTTCACGCCAGTGTGGTGGTACCTACCCGCACGGACTAACTAGAGGTCCTACCACCAGTAATTACGCAAATTAAAATTTGCGGATTTGATTTTTATTACACGATGTTATTCCTTCACCGTGGAAGTCAATCGTGAACATTAAAATTTGTTGAGTACGTATCTCATTAGAAAAATTGGTATCCGTCTGGGATTCGAACACCCCGTGCATCGTTCAACACAAATACACCAGACGTCTTATCTTTTAGACCACGACGACTTCAAAATGCAGCAATCATACATTTGCCCTAGTCAGACGAGCGTATATCCCACGTGATGGTGAGTGGTTACCGTCGCTCATGGTCGTCAGCATTGCCAGGGGGACAGCCAAGGTGCTGCCTACCGAGTACCTCTGCAAACCTCGTTTGAAGAAAAACATGTCATGGCGCTCAAAGCCGAGGACGGTAGTTCATTTCAAAGTCAAATGCTACGTAGCAGAAAAATCTCTGGAAAATCACAGTGAACTTAAACAGCTATCAACAATTAACGTAACACAATAATTAAGTAATCATCATTATTATGATATTATTTTTCAACTGTGATAATTTTAAATTTATTGTGTTGAAAACGATTGGCCACGTCATTTGTTCCGGTAATTAAGTTGACAATTATCACGTATTTCATTTCGTCAACCCTAAAAATTATGTAATACATTATATAATTTATTTTTAAATTATATATATTATATAATTTAAAGGTCACCACTATGATTGTGCGACAAAAAAAATAAACAGCGTAAAATAGCACAATGAATATAATAATAGTGAAATAAATAGAAAATAGTGTTTCACGTAAACCTTATAAATTTTATATGATACTCGGAGACCTAACTACCTATTCAATTAGTACTATGCAAATAAAGACACGAGACATAGATGAGTCGACTATTATCAAAGCCGGCAATGTGACTTTTGGACAATTATTGGTAAATCAGAAAAACGAATTATTGACTTTGTATTCCATTGACAGTCACAAAACTCTTCTGAACGACATCTTAGATAAATAACAGGTTAAGTATTAACCTTTATTTAATGCAGGTTTTGAACCGTATTCTTTGAAGGAGACGATTATATTCAAATCAATNGTTTGGAATTTCATAATGCTCAGTATATTTTTATGTTTTAGACAAATAATATTGTAATTAAATGGTAATTTCGACTTACCGATCGAAAGATATACCTCCTCGCTCTATACTTGAGGTCTGATTTTTTGTTTTACAAGTTATAATTGCACAACACGGCACTATAAAGCGGAGATCTGTTCGCCAAGTAGTCCGAAGCGCATTAAACGCGGTGAATGAAAGAATCGGTCGAGTTATGTTTGTTCGATCATAACAGTGGCACGCTTGCCCCGCAACCACATTACCATTCCAACCTTATTTATCTATTCCGTGACTAAAACAAATAATAATATAGTCGACGTGTGCCATTGATTAGTGATGCGCAATATTGAAATGTTGTTTAATTTTAGAGACATTTTTTTTACGAGTATATAAAAATACAAGCTACCACCAATACCTTTGTTCTGTCTATTCTATTAGTATTGTCTATTATTAGTGTTGTATCTAATTTCTTTCATTTTCAGTTGTTTGATGAATACGTCACTAGAACAGTCCTGCCTGTGGAATATTATTGTTTAATCATACTCGTGCCACTTTGCCTGATGGTACAGATCAGGCACTTAAAATGGTTGGCACCGTTTTCATTAATAGCAAACATTCTACTGATTGCAACTTTCGTTATCTGCATGTACTATATATTTGGAGACGAAATTAATTTTACTGATAAAAGAATCTCAGGAGATCTGTCTAGATTCCCGGCTTTTTTGTCGTAAGTATCATTTTCGGTCAATCTATCAGAGGGTTTGTTTTTGTTGCATTAACGCGATTTGTGGATACTAATAAAATGTTGTGGTTTCTCTTTTTATAAAATCTTTACTGACGAGTAGACTTGGATAAATACTCAAATCAAAAAATGTACATCATATCATTTAGGCCAGTGATCGATATGTCGATATTTCGCATTGTGATAGTTTAACGAGAGAGCTTAATGCGCTGGCTTCGCCTTATACGTATATATTATGGCACTGAAAGAACACCGCTGATTAATAGTTAATAAAAATACACACCATCTCACATGATATTCAGATAGAATTTCCAAAGCTGTATTATTCAGGAAACCTATCAAGATAGATAAATCAATTAATTTTGCCAATTATGACAGTTCCTTATAGCTTGACCATTGAATTTAATAAATAATAGTTTAAAATAACTAACAAAATACGCTTTTATAGAAAATCCAACTAAAACTAGAAAATAAATTTTAATAAATTTAAATTAAAAATAGTGTTAGAAAAAATTATTTTATTGTAAAAAAAGCGTGAGGTGCATGGTATCAGTAGTTATAAATATTTTATGAACAGATATGAGCAGAAGGGCTATTTTGATAATATCCTGAAAAGCACTCATTCCACCAAGAAATCATTTTTTCTTACACTGTTTTTAATTCAAATTTATTATAATTTATTTTCTATTTTTACTTAGATTTTCTATAAAAGCGTATATTGTAAGTTTTTTTAAACTATTATTTATCATTCATCAATTTCTTTTAACATTAAATTGTCATCGGTTTTTAATAAGTATGCCAAATTTCGAGTTAATCCGACGTTTTAAAGGGGGTCAAAATCATGTTCAAAGATTCCGTTACGAACATACATACGTCTGAAGCTAATAAAAACGTATTAAAAACGACTCAACCATCTTTCAGCACGGTTATATTTGCGATGGAAGGCATCGGAGTGGTGATGCCAGTTGAAAATACAATGAAAAAACCGCAGCATTTTCTAGGGTGCCCAAGTGTCCTCGTCGTAGCCATGTCGACTATCATGCTCCTGTATTCTATTCTTGGCTTATTCGGGTACTTCAGATACGGAGATGTACTTAGAGGATCTATAACACTGAACCTACCTATTGACGACTGGTAATAAATTTTGATATATATTTATATTACAGTGCGTGATGATAGATGATCTCACAGTTCCACTGAAGATATTCGATTACTGAAACTCAAATATGAAAAAGATCCAAAGACTACACAGAAATATTATAGGGTTACACAGTTAAGATCCTTCAGACTGAAGTATTACGGCAGAAATATACCAGAAATAGATGCAAATATATAATATATTATTGCACATTGAGAAAAGGGATGTTTGAAGTCGTCGTAGCCCAAATGATAAGACACCTGGTGCATTCGTATCAAGCGATGCAACTGTGCCAATGTTCGAATCCCGAAGGCGGATATCCGTTTTTCTAATGAAATATGTACTTTACAAATGTTCACAACGGATTTCCACGATTTCCAAGGATAGCATCGTGTAATGAAAATCAAAACGGTAAAAATAATAATTTGCGTAACTACTGGTGGCAGGGCGTCTTGTAAGCCTGTACGGAAAGGTACGACTACCCTGCGTATTTCTGCCGTAATAAGTTTCGATTTGGAGGATGGGGCAGCCATCGTAATGTAAAACTGAGACTTTGAAGTAAAGTCTCAAGGTGGGTGGCGGCATTTGCTTTGTTGATGATTGCATTGTTGATGATTGCATTGTTGATGACTATGTACTCCGGTGACCACTGAACACTTGGTAAGCCGTGGTGAACTCGTGCACCAATCTAAACAATAAAACATCAAAAAACTTCTCATTACAGGCCAGCCGTGTGCGCTAAAATTTTTATAGCACTATCAATATTCTTTACATACCCACTTCACTTCTTTGTGGTATTAGATATATTCACCCGATATGCGGAACCACACATCAAGAAGGAGTATCGTAATTTTGCACAAATACTCGCCAGGACCTCTTGCGTTTGGATTTGTGGTGCGTATTACTAGTTTTCTAATAAACAGAGATTATAAAAGAAAATTGGACAAAAGTGGGACAAAAAAACAAAGATATCGGAAAGCATTAAATCCCTCCTTTTAATTTGGCTTAGTAACTGATCCCAATATTCTGTGGCGAGTACTGCACTTTAGACTTGTCCATTTTTCATTATTTCTAGTTGTGTGGCTTCCATTAAGCAATTTCCTATGCTTTTTTTTTCAATTCATGATTTCCTGGATCGATTTCCTTCAACGCGATGACTAATCAATACAAGCTGGATTTTGGTAACAAGACGTATTACGAGCTTGAATCATTACCTCGAAAAGAAATTAGCATATTCTTAATTCGACTCCTTTTCTTAGTGACGATATTCACGTTGTGGCGTCTTAAAACCTGATGGACCATAAGCCTATGTGCCATTCAGGAGCAATGAAAAAACCCAATCTGACTAAGGTACTCCATAATAATGAACTACAGGGCTGAGATTTAATAAAACTCTGTCAGTGTGAAAGTGGTAAAAAAGACAAACAATATCTCAGAGTACTTCCCAATAGTAGTGCATACGGTTCAAAAGCATTAACTGTCTCTCCCGGAGATTTCAAGCGACTGACAAATACTTGAGAGGTGGGTACATCCAACAATCACAACTGTTGACCAAATTGAAAAAGGCACCTCAGTATATATGGAACTTCGCATGGTAATCCAATGTAAAATTAAAACTCCAAATAAAAAAACTTCAATTTATTCTTTAGGTGGAATAGGCATAGCATTGCCTATGCTGGAACAGATCATCAACATTGTCGGAGCACTGTTCTACTCCATACTGGGACTCATAATACCAGGTGTAATCGAGACAGTATTTAGATGGGAAGATCTGGGCAGATGGAATTGGATTTTTTGGAAAAATCTATTGATTGTCCTCTTTGGTGTCTGTTCTTTAGTATCAGGCTGTACTGTTAGTGTCATGGATATTATAAGTATTTTAAATAAAAAAACTATTTGATATTAAGGACTTTTACAATCTCGAAAATTCGAAGTGAAGGAACTGAATGAAATTATACAAGTGTTTTCGTTTATTTTTGAGAATTTAAATTTAACTTAATTTGAAACTATTAAATACAAAAATATTCCTTCATAAAAAAATCTGCCCCACCAAATACATCTCTCTTATGTGCAACAATAGAAATCAATACATATTTCCTATATTTCATTTATGGATAAAATCATAATAATAATAATAACAGCATTTTGTTCTTAAGTTTATATATTACGTGCAATTCTTAGCATGAAGGAAAATCTCTTGTTAAACACTTAACTGAGGCATAACAAGATCTTCTTGATAAACCGGAACGTACAACAAATTTACATTGAATACATTGCTGATAGTGATCGCTCTAAATATTGAGCAAAGTTAACGTCAGAATCCATTGTATTCTCAAATATAATATACAACGATGTAAAGATTTGGTATGTATAAAAACACTCCAAGCCTATTTAAATATCAGCAAAGATGACCTGAAAGTTTTTTTTTTGGTATATCAACAATACATACTACTAAAGAACGTCTTCTTAAAAGTCATCAAGAATCCCGCAAAAACCATGACCTTGTCGTGTACTGTTACGTAGTACGCATCAGACATAAATGAGACTACACCTAAATTCGTCAACTAGTTATATGAATTGATATTGATTGCCTTAACGATTGGTCTTAAATATGGCAATATTGGCGACGCTATTCTAGTCGAAGTATCGACTTAGATAAAAATTTATAGCGCCAAATGTTCATAAGTAGACTATGTAATATTTTAATAATTTTCAATTCACGAATAGCTGGTGGTCCACAATTTACAAGTACCTCATACACTCTCAGTCGAGATTGTTATGTTTCTAGTTTTCATTGATTTTTTTTTGTAGATTGTAGGATACCATAACGCTTTTTAATTGTTATTAAAATTATTATTACATTAAAATGGAGGATGGCACTCTATAAAAATTGCATACGCCCCGTCATGACCTATGCAAGTGTATTGTTCGCTCACGCAGCCCACACCAACTTGAAACCCCTTCAAATTATTCAATCCCGTTTTTGAAGGATAGCCGTCGGTGCACCATGGTTCCTAAGGAACGTGGATCTCCATGATGACCTGGAGTTTGACTCAGTCAGTAACTATCTACAGTCGGCATCATTGCGCCACTTTGAGAAGGCGGCACGACATGAGAACCCTCTTGCCGTGGCCGCTGGGAATTACATACCCGATCCTGTAGACCGAATGGTCACTGTCCTCGTCGAACCCGTCGCTTGTGACGAAGGGCTCCACGAGCGAATTAAACAATAGATACAGCCCACTGAGTTTCTCGCCAGAGCTTCTCAGTGGGTCGCGTTTCCGATCCGGTGGTAATATCTGCGAAGCACTGCTCTTGCTAGGACCAGTGTTAGCAACACTTCCGGTCTGAGCCCCGTGAGCTCACCTACATGTTAGGGTGAAGCTGAAATAGCCTCTCAAAGCTATCAGCATAGGTAGGGGAAAAAAAGGAGACTGACCAACAGGCGGCTCGGCTATTGATGAATGGTCTATGGCCATTCATTCATGGCCATGGCCATGGACAATACTGGGCACTATATAACAGGAGAAATACTCTTTTTCAAACTAGTTTGTAACAGAACTTATGAAAGGCTCACCGTGAAGGGCTGGTTGGTACGAGACATTAACCCTAAACCTGAACCCTAAACGATTCCAATATGGTGTGGACGCTCATTTATGTTTCCACTCCGTCACTATTTTTAAACAACGTCAAATCAAAACCTTTTAAATTGAATCTGGGCCTTTCATATTTCCGGGTGAGTTCTCAAGCTCGTCAAAATATTTATCTGATATTTACCTATTTTTCTTCTAATGACGAATCCATACAACATTATTACCAGTATTAACAGTAGGTAAGTGTGTATGTCAGAATCTGGTACCATAACACAAGGAATCCTAATTTGGGGCCCAATGAAAATAAAAAAAAAAACCTATTATTAAAAAAAAAAAAAAAATCATGCCCGCTGAGTTTCTTGCCAATTCTTCTCAGGACGGAGGTTAGTTTTTGTGAATTGGCGGTAGTTCTTTTGACGTTCAACAAGTATGTACTTTCATTTATGTTGAATAAAAATGTTTTGATTTGATTTGATTTGAATGACCGTGCGTGATTTTTTCCCAGTTGTTATTATTATTATTATTTTCGGAAAGGTAATCTTTTCTTAGCACTTTGGCAAGTCTGAACCACATCCACGGGCCTCAACCAAGTGAATGCAGCGTGCAGTGAGGAAAATTTATGTTGACGGTATGTTATTATGAGGGGCAATTTCGTTTTCGTCTATCTGCAAGAATTTTCTGACTATTCTTTATCATTATTACGAATACTATTAGGATACAATTTCCATCTATAAGTATACATACATACAGTACATAATAAATATAAACCTAGAGCAATAAAAAAGAGTGTTTAGCAAATCAAACAGCGAATTTTATCAATTTACGTAAATACTGGTGAAAGAACAGAAGGTTTAGTGTGCCTTCATTTCTAGACCAGAACAGACCAAGCCATGAGCTACGTCAACCATCTAATGCAGGGGCTCCCAAACTTATTTTATCTACTGCCCACTTTGAGAATAAATTATTTTGTAACGCCCCCATTTTTTCACCTACTTAAAAACTGCTATAGCGAGAGCGCAGTCGGTGTCTAAGAGTCCTACTAGATGAAATTACAAATCGCCTCACAGGCCTCTACACAACGCCCCCATTTTTTCTGGGTCTCTTACCGCCCCCCTTTAGGCCTGCAGCGCCCACAAGGGGGCGTTATCGCCCACTTTGAGAAAGGCTGATCTAATGCAATGAAAAAAGTTTTTGTACTTATAAAACCATTTTTTCGACAAAGGCTCCGTTAATTCCGTCAATACAGTTATCACGTAAACACGTGGAACTCTTCAGACGTAAACTCATTCATTAAGCGTGAGTGTCAAAAGTGATTTGACCGATTGTGCCAAATGCGTAGTCGCCGGTCAGTGATACGTTATACAACAATGTTGCGCTCTATTTAAAGACAGAACTAGTTATTGACACAATCATTACTAGCAGTTAAGTATGGCAAATGTTTCTTTAAAAATTATGCGCTTCACTACTGAATATTTATCATCATCGCATTCGCATTTTATTTATGAGTTTGTAGTTAATCAGAAACTTGGTACAGTAGTTATTCGCTTCAGCTCACAGCCAGAAAAAATCATAGTTATTCGCGCTTCATTTCTTAATTTTGACATATTATTATTATCATCAACGTACAACAAAGGCCTATTTCTGCCGTGAAGCAGTAATGCGTTTCGGTTTGAAGGGTGGGGCAGCCGTTGTACTGTTAAAACTGAAACCTTACAACTCATGTCTCGAGGTGGGTGGCGGCATTTACGTTGTGGATGTCTACGGGCTCCGTTTACCACTAAACACCAGGCGGCCCATGAGCGCGTCCAACCACTTAATCTAAAAATAGAATAAGGGTAGTTTCAACACATGGTTTTTTTATTTTTCTATATCTAAGCTACAGCTGAGCGCGGCGGGATTCGGCAGGAAAATCGAGTGATTTAACTATGCAGGGTCTGATTCTGCAGGCCAATACGATTTTTTTAGAAAAATATGTACTTATAACCCATGTTCACAATCAATCAATCGACCTCAAATGTTAAAGGAATTATTTCGTGTAATAAAAAACAAGCTTCGATCTCGTCAAGTCTCGTCGTTTCGTGGTAGACGTAAACATTTACCTTGTAATATCATTAGAGTCCGGTTTCTACACAACACCAGGTGCCCTGTGAGTTCCTTCAAACTCATCAAGAAGCAAAAACGGAAGAGAAAATTATTACGAAAATTGTTAAATAGCAATATTAATATAAAAAAGCACAAGACAAGTCGGAATACAAAAAAAAAAATTGGCAAAACATCTTAAACGTCTATGCAGCGGGTTTAATGAGCTAGAAATGTTTTCCTACAATAACAAAACACAAAACGAACAAAATTTGTTTATGTCGTTTTTTTTTTTGTTTTGTTGTTACCAAAGATTTATTTGTATTCAAAAATATAATTTTGAAGCGTTTATTTTCATATTCACTTGGCCATAAATCATTCTCGTTTGGCAAAACACAAAAAAAAAATACGTTCAGAAATATTTTCGCCCACCTTCCTCTACCCACGTCCGAAGGATAACCATGCCTATATTAGCATGCAAAACCTTGAAAACAAAAAATTGGCACAGCTTTGAAAACAAACTTCATGGTGGTGATATTAAACAACATAATGTTACTACGTTCAAAAGCAATTAGTTGTTTTCACGAGGGCCAAATATAATTAATTTCCTAGTATGTTACATTCTCGAAGGCCATATGTCTTAATGCCACAAGAAGTGATAATCTGAATTGGTTGTCTAAGATTGGTATCACTCTTCTTCAAATCTTCTTCTTCAATAAGGCAGCATTCGGCATAGCATTTGGCTTTGCAGCAGGAAAGTATAGGTAGGATTTTGCTACCTACCGAGACCAGCCCACCTGCTACCATAAGTTATTGTCTTAACGTAACTAAAAACTTGGATTAGCAAAATTTTAATATGGTAACGATATTATTAGTAAGACTAAATGATGGGAAAATACATTAATAACGTCGACCTGAGGGGATCGGGGTTGAAAACTCGTATCTTTCGATTCATGACACAATCTTTATAAATTTTTGTAAGTTTGTCCTGCGCATTTTCTGATTGAGATGAAAATTCGTGCATTTGCTATTACTAGCTACGATGGGCAGCATAGATTTCATTTTCAAGAAGTCGATGTTTTTCATACACTTCGCGTTCGTCACAATGGAGCGTGACCGGCTCTCACTAGTTATCATACAAATTCTTTGGCTTCTTTCCAATATAATTGCAGCTCCGATTGCAGCTTTGATATGTTTCCAATTAAAAAGTATGTAAATATCTCGCACTATATTTTTCGTAACTTCGCTAAATGTCAATTGTTACTTTAAGAAGACCAGCTAATTTTACCGGCTCCAATGGCGGCGGCACGTGATGGTGTGATCAAATGTTCTTGAAATTGTATGTAATAAGTCGTAAACCTTTTATTAGGACAATATTAAATACCGTAATTCTGTAATCATCAACGCGTTTGTAGGTCCGTTCAAATTCTCGTGTTCACATTTCAAGATTGGGCTCATAATACAACGTTTGCAATGCCTTATTGAATTTTTATTTTATTATTGCTTAGATGGGTGGACGAGCTCACAGCCCACCTGGTATTAGGTGGTTACTGGAGCCCATAGACATCTATGACGTAAATGCGCCACCCACTTTGAGATATAAGTTCTAAGTTCTCAAGTATAGTTACAGCGGCTGCCCCACCCTTCACACGGAAACGCATTACTGCTTCACGGCAGGGTGGTGGTACCTACCCGCACGGACTCACTAGAGGCCCTACCACCAGTAATTACGCAAATTAAAATTTGCGGATTTGATTTTTATTATAAATGTTATTCCTTCACCGTGAAAGTCAATCGTGAACATTTGTTGAGTACGTATTTCATTAGAAAAATTGGTACCCGCCTGGGATTCGTGCATCGTTCAACACGAATGCACGGGACGTCTTATCCTTTAGGCCACGACGACTTCAAAATGCAGCAATCATACATTTGCCCTAGTCAGACGAGCGTATATCCCACGTGATGATGAGTGGTTACCGTCGCTCATGGTCGTCAGCATTGCCAGGGGGACAGCCAAGGGGCTGCCTACCGTGTACCTCTGCAAGCCTCGTTTGAAGAAAAACATGTCATGGCGCTCAACGCCGAGGACGGAAGTTAATTTCAAAGTCAAATGTTTCTCTGGAAAATCACTGTCAACTTAAACAGCTATCAACAATTAACGTAACACAATAATTAAGTAATCATCATTATTATGATATTATTTTTCAACTATGATAATTTTAAATTTATTGTGTTGAAAACGATTGGCCACGTCATTTGTTCCGGTAATTAAATTGACAATTATCACGTGCTTAATTTCGTCAGCGTTCAAAATTATGTAATACACACATATATTATATAATTTAAAGGGCACCACTATGATTGTGCGACAAAATAAATAAACAGTGTAAAATAGCACAATGTGAAAATAGTGTTTCACGTAAGCCTTGTAAATTTTATATAATACTAGCTGACCCGGCAAACATTGTTTTGCCATATATAAGATTTCTAGGGAATTTCTAGTGTAGAAAAAAAACTAACTTATTGTAAGTGTATAAGGATGTGGTACATGAGTGAAAGAGGTATGTAGTGCTGTGAACGATGAGGGAATATATAATAAAAATAACAAAACCTCATTCAACCACGACTCATTATAACAAAAAAAAAAGTCCAAATAAAAAAAAATAAGTTAGGGGTGGACAATCCTAATCACTTAGGGGTATAAAAAATAGATAGTAGCCGATTCTCAGGCTTACTGAATATGCATAAAAAATTTCATGAGAATCGGTCAAGCGGTTTCGGAGGAGTATGGGAACGAACATTGTGACACGAGAGTTTTATATATTAGATTCGGAGACCTAACTACCTTTTCAATTAGTACTATGCAAATAAAGACACGAGACATAGATATAATAATATAGTATTATGTAAATCACGTGTTTGATATAACAAATGATAAGCGCGAAACAAAACTCTATCGGCGTTTCACAAAGGTATCTCATTATAGAACATCTAGTGATACCTACACACCCAATGTTAAGTGGATATAAGATCGTGAGTCAAGTTAGACCAATAAAAAAACTACTTTATTAAATTACTTATATCGCTTACACCAGCAAAAGAAAATACAACTCAACCCATAACATTAACAATATAATAGGACGCTAGCAGTCTGTCCACTGTGAGCACTTGTGAACCCAGTTCGCATTTGTAAAACGTTAATCCTCTCAGAAAAATTCCAGTTATTAACACTTCGAAATATGGACATGGTATATAAGTTGATATAAAGGAAGACGGCATATGAGATGATTAACAGAAATAAGGTACAATCATTTGATAGCTTATTGATTCGTAAACCTGTAATTCAAATGTCTTGACCGAAATTGAGTTTTAATTGCTTATATGTTCGATATACGTCATTAATTTTATCGATCTTGTGACGAATAGTAATCGGCCATAAAGAATGTCAGCAAGCTATCATCTGATAACGTAACCTAATTTGAAATAGCATTACGACAAAAACCTGAGGTAATGAATGGATTGTGAAATTTGGATCCTATAGATATGCGATGGATTGCAAAAGAAAATATGATTTTCTATATGTCGAAAAGTGCTCGTGACCTAATTATCACTATACCCACTGTTTTCGTTTTTATTAGGATACAAAAGCAATGATTACCTTAAATGAAGACATACAATGAATTTTTAAGAGAAAGTAATTTGAAACAAAATCTTCCTAGAAGAAGACACAAGGTTTTCTTGAGATCCTCACAAAGCATTTAAGCACAGGTCAGCATCTATGAAATGTAATAAAATTGCAAATGCTTATTTGTGCTGTGACATTTCATGGCTTCTATTTCTACATACAAACACCTGTGAGTTTTAGATAGTAAAGTAGGAGAAGCATTATCCAAATGAAGACAATAGCTTAGCAGTTTGTTCATCTCATCTACGTTTGATTGGCGGCTTATTTTCTCGTTTGACATATTTCTATAGATGTAAAGAGAACATTATAAGTTCATTTATTACTCTGCTTAAAACATTTAAATGCCTCGGTAACATTTTTGTATGAGACAATAATTTCTTCGTTCAAGGCGCCGGTTCCAACCGCTGCCAACTGATCACTGAGATTCTATTTTTAATCAAAAAACGGCTTGCGCCAACATAATAATTCGAGTGTGATTGATCACATATGACTTCGTATAGGAATTACAGTAGAGTTGTGGATAGTGGTTGAAATTTTACCACATAAATCAATACCTTAATAGGACTCGACTATTCTAAATTGCAAACATAAAATGTATTAACTTGAACTATAACACTGAAGTAAATAAAGTTGTGTAATAAAAATAAAGCTCAAATAAAATGACCAAAATATAATTAATAAATATAATTGTGACGGTAGGTTAAAAAAAAAAGATGTAATGTCTTATCGTGATCAAAAAAATTAAGTATAAAACCAGTTACAAAACACAATTAATAAAAGTAAATAAACAATAACAGACTATGAACTTTATATCTACGTATCGTGACTGTTTGACGAGCTGACAGAGGTGCCCAAACGCAGCCACCAGGTAGCATTTTTCAAAAATCGGACAGTTTGAATGTAGGAAGTGTTAATATAGAAAAAACGAGATGCCCAAATACATGTATGTATATCCAGTCTTCTAATACTAGGTCTTTACTTACGAAATTACCCTTTTTTAAACAGAAAGTTAAAGTTTTCCTATAAATATTGTTATTTCTATAAATTTCTATATACAAAATATGCAACCATTTTGTGGATGCATATCTCCCAGCGCAGTAATAATTCAATGCCCTTCTTAAGGTGTACGTACGCCTTCTACGTAGGTACACCATGTACTGTATTGACTTTTTTCCAGCAAAGCTTCTTGTTTTCCAAAGTAGGGAAAATTAGAAGTGTCTACACAATAAAAATACAGAATCCCTCTTACATAAGCTACGACTTTCTTATGCGTAACCTTCAGTACCCCTAGTATTTCGTGAACATTTATATTCGCAGGTATTATTTAGATACCTACCGACCCGCCAGAATCCCAATCACTCACCACCACCAGTACAGGTCTTTTGACGTGCAGATTCGATAGGTCGAGTTTCGTATTAAAGTTTTTACTGGCGGCAGGACGTCTCATGAGTCCACTCGTGTAGGTACCACAACCATGCTGATGTCTACCGCGAAGCAGTAATGCGTTCCGGTTTCAAGGGTGGGACTGCCGTTGTACCTACTTTAAAACTGAGACTTGAACTCATGTCCCAAAAGGGTGGCGGCAATTACGCTGTTGATGCCTGTGGCCTCTGGAAACAATTTAACAGCAGGTGGACCGTGAAGTCGTCTACCCATCTAAGTAATGAAAGAAAACTACAACAGATAAAAATATCTCCTGTTTAGCCTCTTTTATAACGAAATAAGTAAAAAAAATTCAAATAAAATTTACGAAATTAATTATATGTTTATTACAGACTTTTTTCTTTTGTTTTTTTATTGCTTAGATGGGTGGACGAGCTCACAGCCCACCTGGTGTTAAGTGGTTACTGGAGCCCATAGACATCTACGACGTAAATGAGCCGCCTACCTTGAGATATAAGTTCTAAGGTCTCAAGTATAGTTACAACGGCTGCCCCACCCTTCAAACCGAAACGCATTACTGCTTCACGGCAGAAATAGGCAGGATGGTGGTACCCACGGACTCACAAGAGGTCCTACCACCAGTAATTACGCAAATTATAATTTTGCGGGTTTCATTACACGATGTTATTCCTTCACCGTGGAAGTTAATTGTGAACATTTGTTGAGTACATATTTCATCAGAAAAATTGGTACCCGCCTGAGATTCGAACACCGTTGCATCGCTCAACACGAATGCACTGGACGTCTTATCCGTTAGGCCACGACGACTGTCGTCCTGTTCAGTTTAACACTATTATAATATAATATTCTGTGGTTTAAATAGAATAATTTAATATTTACAACGTCAACGGATTTATTAAAACAGCGCCCTTGAGCCAAATATTGTTGCCAAACTGGTCCCTGAAACGATCACACGTATTTGTATATACATCTCGGTCGCATCGCGACGCGCATTGTGAGTCAGACTAAAATCACGAATATTGTACCGTACAAACATTCGAGCAAAAGCTGCGCGTACAGAATGACGCCAGTGTATAAACATAAAAACAGCTAATAAATTACGAATTGTAAGAGAAAAAAATAAAAGTGCCAGTGCTGATAGTATTTGAGTGGAAAATGGCAAACTCGTATAACATGAAAGAATTCAGCTCCACGTAAGTTTTATTTGGTGATCTCATATATTTTTTTCTTCAAATTAATCTTTTATTATTAACTAGGTGACCCGGCAGACTTTGTAGCGTCTCAATCGATAAACAAAGGACCTAATTTTTTGTATAAAATAAACTTAAAACAAACAAAAGGAATCCTTCCGACGGGGGACACATTAAAGGAAAAACAAAATTGTTATTTTTATTTAATTCCGAGCATTTTCATATTTATCTACCTTTTAAACCTTCTCTGGACTTCCACAAATAATTCAAGACCAAAATTAGCCAAACCGGTCCAGCCGTTCTCGAGTTTTAGCGAGACTAACGAACAGCAATTCATTTTTATATATATAGATTAATTATTAATAAATCTACTTATTGCAGTGTTTTCGTTAACCACGAAATAAAAAATAAAAAATTCGTAACAAAAAAAAAACATTCAATAACATTTAACGTTTTCTAACAACTATTTTCTCGAGATCTATTAATTATACAAACAGCGTATGTATAAAACATTAGTAGGTGCTATTGTTTAACAAATATCAAACGTTTGTATTGATGCACTCTCTTGGCTCAGCGGTGTCATGCAACAAGTCGCAATTTCGAGACTGGCCTCATATCACTTTTATTTTTATTTTTTTATAGTATAGATGGGTGGACGATCTCACAGCCCACCTGGTGTTAAAGTGGTGACCGGAGCGCATAGACATCTACAACGTAAATGCCGCCATCCACCTTGATATATAGGTCTCTAATTTTCATTTCAAATTAAAAATGAAAAGCTTGTTTGTTCGAAAATTCAATAATATATGAAATGAAATATAAATATTTATAGAACTATTTCTATTAAAATTCCTACTACACCTACAGTCTATGCTCCCGCCAAAGTTTCTATTTTTTCTTCGTCTGCTGCATTATCGTCGTGAACTACCGGTCAATTTAGATTTAGAATATTATGTGTTAAATGACAAATTGAACTCTTAGTGTTTTATGAATGAGTGTAATAGGTTGATGGACTGTCGCGTTGCAGAGAGTATAAAGTTTATCAGCCCTGTTACGATACAACAACCAAGATTTATCCATAACATTTAACATTTAACAGTAGTGTTGAATATATACCGACTGTAATATCCACACACTGCGACTTTATTCTATTTAATTAAAATCCTATACGTCATATAATACGGACTTTTTACATTGATCAATTGCTGTGACGGCGTCGTTGGTAAAAGCGATATTCAGAATAGGTTTTTCCTGTTTATAGTTTTATGAATTCAAATTACATCTCTTCTACGTACTCTTGTTTCTTGATTTTATAGCAATTTAGTAACTAACTTGACTGTTAAGATGAGCCCGGCCAATATTACCAAACGCCTATCCGGTGTTTTGTCCGATCTGGTGGTGGTGAGTGGTCAATCTGGTGAGTTGTCTGGTGTCAGTAGTTTTAGATTTTAAAAAAAATTTGTTTTATCTAGACTCATTTTGATTGCTGGTAAGCCTTTAGTTCTTTTGTTGGTCATCGCCATAAACACCATTAATCTTGAGGCCAAAATCAAGTCGCGGGCCGTGGTACAACATGAATATCGATTTTACCTTACATAACACATATGCCGGTCGTCAATGGCACGCAAACCCGTTCTGTTTACCTCTACATAAACGATGATTAAATAATTCGTACGATTACCTAACGTAATTGGAATTCGGAATTAATTCGTAACGAAAAAAAAAGATAGTGGTTTTGAATAAATACGTTGAAATATTGACGAAAGCGTTAACCTTTTGTTTATAACTGAAATCATTACCACTCCTCTCAAAACGCTGATCATTCACAATTAACTACGGCTATATAGTCAGGGATTGAGCTCTTCCACACATCATCAGCAATAAAATAAAATTATTGTAAATCATAGTAATATTATACATAGTTAATAAATAGATTTTGACCTATGAAATTGCCGCAGCAAATTAAAATAACCTTAAACTTTTTAAGATTTTTTTTAGTTAATAAATATTATTTATTTTTCTCAATCAAAATATACAACTATGGTATCGATACATTGCGGCCTCTTTAGTGGTATTTTATCAATGCTCTTCTTGAAGAAGTCAACGAAAAAAAAAACAAGTGTAGGGGAGCCAACAAGCTCCTCAAACGCAGCACGGTGGATGACGTAAAATTTCTAACCCTAGCTCTGGTAGCTAAAAGACCATCTGTTGCTCCGTATCAGGCCGAGCGTTGTCGTGTAGGATCAGGGGAAACGAGCGATTAACAAAGATTTCCGAACATACGCGAGGTACTCCACCATTGTGCCTCACAGAAAACATCTGCAGTAATGCTGATACCGGCACTACATAAAAAAATAGCGACCATATTTTTTTAAGGACTAAGTTTTCGTTTGGGGCACTTACTAGGTGTTGAGCCAGAATCTAACCAACATGATGACCGCTTACCAAAAAGACTACATTTTTCATTGCAAGTGACAATGCAGTTCAAAATCCCTTCACTTCTGTGTCTGTTAAACAACGTAAAACATACCTTAACACATTCGTCGCAGATGGACCAATATTGTTATGATCCTAACGTCAAAAGCTGCTGCCAATCCACCGGTAGATTGAATATCATCAGCTTCTGGTCATGATATCAATCTACTGGTGGTAGGACCTCTTGTGAGTCCGCGCGGGTAGGTACCACCACCAGGTAGGTTTTTGTCGTGAAGCAGTAATTCGTTTCGGTTTGAAGGGTGGGGCAGCCGTTGTAACTATACTTGAGACCTTAGAACTTATATCTCAAGGTGGGTGGCGCATTTACGTTGTAGATGTCTATGGGCTCCAGTAACCACTTAACATCAGGTGGGCTGTGAGCTCGTCCACCCATCTAAGCAGCAAAAAAAAAATCTACTGTAGCCTTTAATTCGTTTTTGTTGACCTTAGTTTTCGTACGACCACGGGGCTAATTTTTTTTAATCAAAATTTTCATATCGGAAGCATTGAAACCAATAACGAGTCATGCGCTCCTTTGTAGTATTCACTCTGTACACGTCATTAATGTTGTGAGTTTTTACGACAATTCCACCGCAACGGAACTCGTATTTTTATCTTATCCAATCAATGCCAAAATATTTAGGTAAAAATAAAGCACTAATGAATAAACAAATGACTGAATTTAAAAACTGAATTCCGTATTTTTTAAATAAAAATTATTTAAATTTGGAATTTATTGCCAGCTATGTGTAAATTATGTTTCAAATGGCCAGTGTTGTAAAACGGCAACTTCTTAGGTAAAGAAACCCGTTATTAAAGACCTGTTATTAACGTTTGTAGTTAATCAGTTATAAGTTGATGTTAGTTAAATCAACAGATTTTTTTATTTATTTACGTTTTTATTAATATTCTTTTTTGCATAAAGATCGATGAAATGCTTGGACAACGCACCGTGAAGGGTTCCAAAACCGAAACCATCTTATATTATTTTGTGAATCTTAATTGAACTTCCTCCTCCTCCTTGCATTGTTTTCCTCAGTGCTGAGGGTCGTGGCTGTTACAGAGCATCTTTGTTCGGACTATTTTCCTCCATTCTTTCCTGTCCTCTGCGCAGTATATAGCGACATTGATGCTGGAGTCTAATGTCTTCTTAATTTTATTGGACCAGTGCGTGGGACTACACCTCCTTGGCCTATTTCCTCCCATTTTGCCGGTGATGGGTATTTTAGAGTTTGTCACCCTTCTTTCTTTTTGGTTTTTGGGTCACGTTGCGAGCGAGCGAAAAACTCGAAAATCCTACGTAGACAAGTGGAGGAAAGTCTTGTGGAGACATCTTGTTCTTCCAGAATTGATGCGTTGGTCTGATGTGCCACCACCCAGGGTATTTGCAGCATCTTCTCCCAGTACCACATCTGAAAGGCGTAGAGTCGACTTCTAAATGAATTTACTCTTGTACAAAAGAAGGGACTAAGATCGAACGAAATTTTTTTACGATTTATTCGTGCGTAACATTATCTATTCACCACAGCAATAAATTCATTTTTTTTAAAAAGTGACCATTTATCACAAGTTGTCAAAAACCAGAAATGGATAGAGCATCGACAGTGAAAGTGGTGTTGTGTTCAACACCACTTATTAATGTCAAAAAAGACAACAGTCTTTATGTTAGACAACAGTCTGAATTTTTATATGAAATACGACTTTTTTGGCGGGAACGCGAAGAGTGAAGTTGTGTGATTTGTTTTATTTTGTCTATTTAGTGTTTCTTCAGGTTTAAATGTGTAATAACGGTGGTTTATTAACTGTTTAATATCTGTGACAGTGCACAAATGTGGGAAAATGAAACAAAGCCGCTGGACGTAGCTTCTCGGGATCCTCCAAAAAGTCCACTGAAAATATCTCAGTAAATGACCACCATTTTACTGAGATTATATTTCATCCCATATCATCTCATCTCATTTCATTTAATTTCATCCCAGTTGATTGATGTCTCAAATTAATCATCTTCATTTCATTTCACTTCATATTATCATTTTGCATAAAAGTATCCCATATTATATCATTTCATCTCATTTCAATTCATATCATGTCATGTTTCATATTATTAATCAACTTCATTTCATTTCATAGTATCATATATCATAAAATAAAAAAATATATAAAAGATTAGGCTGTATGGTACCTTTGCCTTTCCATTTCGATAAATAAAACTACTACTACTATATGAAATACGTGGGTAGTTTCCAATTCTAGTGGTGTTTTTAAACAGAGCTGCCATCAATATAATCACCTTCCTTGGCATCTGGACAAATATTTCTTTTGTAACCACATCGGAGCCGTGTGTGTGATTTCCTGCTGTCAATAAGCCGAATGGATTCATTCATATCTTGGAGAAAATTTGATCTTATAGGCAGGTACCAAATTTGTAATTGTAACTATATCTTGTAACTGTAACTTCGTTCATTAAAAGACAATGTGATCGAATACCGTTGGTACCGCACTCCAAAGTGGAACCCAAAAACGATTCACGGGATTATGAAAAGACTTTCGTAATTTGGAAACAATTGTAAATCTGATAGATTTCATTTCTAATACGCAATATTATTCCTTCACTGTGGAAATGTAAACACGATAATAGGGACGTATTTACGAAAAATAAGTTGAGAGGATTAGAACTCGGATTTAGTCGAATTAGTTGAAGACATTATGAAACAGAAAATGACATTATTAGCTTGATTTTTTTGATTTTGATTTTGATTTTTGATTTTGATTCGTATTTTATATCGAGCAAAGCGTATTTATTTGCTCACTCACAAATTCACACCCGCTTAATATTGTTATTTTATTATCCTAACTGATGCTTAGGAAACACATAATTTATTAGTAAGCTATTGCAGCTAATCGCGTACAAGTTATATGTTTTGTTATGCCAGAAAACGAGTGTTGGTATAGAACAGGGTGCTAAAAATAAAAATCACTTCCTATTTTTTTTTTATTAGATTTTATTCATCAGTGTTATTAATTGTTAACTTTCAAGAAACAATTTAGCATTAACTCGTCGATTGAGACTTCTGCGTCGTATCATAAGAACTGGCAGCGTTCATAAGCTACAGTTACCAACTAACCCAAAAATGGAACAGAGAATAAACATATATTGAAAAATAAACTGTAACACGCGCTTTTTATTAAACATACTTTTCATAAGCAATCAGAATATTTGAATAATAAATAAAAACTGAAATCTTACAGTAGTTTGAGGCATGGAGAAATCTACAACAATTTTCCTAATTGAAATAAAGTATTCGTTCTTAACCTGTTATGTATAAAATTGAAATTTGTGCTGATATAAACGTGTTTAGTTTGTGCCTATCATGAAGTTCAAGCATAACACAAAACATATAATGGCAAGCAATGGCCACAGCTATTGACATTTTACCGCGAAGATTGGAACTTAACAATAATCACTACACTCGGAAAACATTATGGAACATAGTCAATTCTAGATCCGTGACGAATAGTCGCCACGAACGCATTCTATATTAGCTCACTGGTACCAGGTACCAGGTATCTATATCAATAAAACACAAAGACATTCCAGTGTATTATAATATTAATATCAAATTTTTATATCAGAATATTAAAAAAAAACAAAAAGACATTTGTACTCTTAATTAATTAAAAGTTCAACCACAAAATTTTTCAGATCTGTACAATTCGTTTTTCGAATGACATTGAAATACGCAATGTCGAACACAAACAGCAATTCATCCCAGACATGCTTAATTACCTAACAATAAATCCTTAATGTTACACAAGAAATCTGATAAGGTATTTTAATCGTCGCAAACTTTGTATCGCTATCAAATCCAAACCATAAAATAAATCCTTACATTGTAAGCGTTTGAAGATATGTTCTTGTTCCAATGTTTTACTTAAATACACATAGAAACTTCTATAAACTGTTATTTGTGATCCTCTTCGAGATCTGCAACAGAAGCTATTTCTTCACAATACCGGTGGTTTTTTGGTCGTAGGACCTCTTGTGAGTCCGCGCGGGTGGGTACCACCACCCTGCCTATTTCTGCCGTGAAGCAATATTGCGTTTCGGTTTGAAGGATGGGGCAGCCGCTGTAACTATACTTGAGACCTTAGAACTTATATCTCGAGGTGGGTGGCGCATTTACGTCGTAAATGTTTATGGGCTCCGGTAACCACTTAACACCAGGTGGGCTGTGAGCTCGTCCACCCATCTAGCAATAAATAAAAAAATACCAATTGCAGTAAATTCATATATTCAATTATCGGTTAAACAAATATTCCGTAGTTGACAAAATTATTTTACTTAATTAACTTTTTTTTCATTTCAGTGCTGTGATAACAGGAAATGGAATATATCCGTCGACTATTTCGATTAACACAATAAATCCAAAAAACAAAGACAATGACGTAGAACTAAATACATATGATCCGTTTCAGAACAGGAAATTGGAACATCCTAATTCGTAAGTAATGTAGTCTAAAAAAAGTATTGGCATCTAGTTGTAAATGCAGACAAATATTAACTTAATTGTCATCCATACAAGTTTTAGATATTGACTAACCGTACTCGCCCGCTTCTATGGGCATTTAAAACTAACATTATTATTTATAGTCATTATTATTAAGGAGTCCCACACTCATATAAATATTAACCTATCCATTAAGTACATGTATTTTCTAGGTACATGGATACCAAGTTTCAAGTGAATCGGATGCATGGTTCAGTAGTTATAACGGAACATCCGTAAAAACCACTGTAGATTTATATATTAATATAGATACGATGAGAAAAAGCTTCAGGAATGGATTATATCTACGAAGCGCTCAACATAATAATATAATCTACTAATTCGACCGTCTAAATGTGTTTTGAGCTTCATTTATATATGTACTTACTTTTCATTTTTCAGTGACGTCAGATCATTCGCAAACCTTTTGAAGTCATCCCTCGGATCAGGCATCTTAGCTATGCCGGCAGCGTTCAAGAATGCAGGAACGATTGTTGGCATTTTCGGGACAATTATTTTGGGTTACATTTGCACGCACTGCGTTTATTTGTTGGTAATGCATTCATTTACGTCACCGCGAGAAAATACTAAATGTCATTAAACTTCGTGTTTTCAAGACACAAATAACTTTTGGTGTTTTCATGATTCGTATAAGTTTAATTTGCATGACAAATACGTATGTACTCATAACATTATTAAGTGTTTTAATTTGGCCCTTAATCAAACAACAAAAAAAGATCAAAATGCCTCAAAAAAAATTTTTGCCGCTTAGATAGGTGGACGAGCTCACATCCCACCTGGTGTTAAGTGGTTACTGGAGCCCATAGACATCTACGACGTAAATGCGCTACCACCTTAAGATATCAGTTCTAAGGTCTCAGTATAGTTACAACGGCTACCCCGCCCTTCAAACCGAAACGCATTACTGCTTCACGGCAGAAATAGGCAGGGTGGTGGTACCTACCCGCGCGGACTCACAAGAGGACCTACCACCAGCAATTAGTTTCACTGAAGTACTTCAAACAAAATAGACCTTATTTTTCAGGTGAAAACATCGCAAGATGTATCACGTGTAGCAAAAGTGCCATCGCTAGGATATGCTGAAACTGTAGAAGCGGTCTTCGCTACTGGTCCGCAAACATTAAGAAAGTTTTCAAGAGCTTCACGGTAAAACAGAAAAATATATTGTAACTTATAAATAAATTAAATTAAATATAACAAATATGCTATGCTATGGAATGAGCTCCCCTCCACAGTGTTTACCGAGCGCTATGACGTATTCTTCTTTAAAAGAGGCTTGTGGAGAGTATTAAGCGGTAGGCAGCGGCTTGGCTCTGCCCCTGGCATTGCTGAAGTCCATGGGCGACGGTAACCACTCACTACCAGGTGGGCCGTATGCTCGTCTGCCTACAAGGCCAATAAAAAAACTTGCTCTTACTCCCACAAAACAAATTGAGCTTTATTTAATAAGTATGAATGAGAGATCATGTTGAGTCTACAATCAATTAAAAATCATCTTGTGTGTATTTCAGGATATTTATCGACTGGGCAATGGCTTTTACTATTCTTGGCGCTTGTGCTGTATATGTCATTTTACTTGTGGAGTCAGTTCAGCAGGTATTTAGATACTCAACAACTACTGACTACAAGAATTACTACTAAAGCTAATAGAAGTTTACTTACGAGCATCGAGAAAGATAATATGAGACATCAGCAATTTCAATTAGAGGCTTCTCATGTATTATGAGTGAGGAAAATACATACGAGACAATAATAAGTATTCCAAACCCTGAATAACAAAAGACTCAGAAAGACACTTACTCCGATCAGGACTAGAGCTCTACCTTGGTCATTTTGCTGCAATCAGCGTGACTATAGAAGCTTTATCATAACACGCATTTTTGTAGAAAATGTTAGAAAAGAAACCCTACTTTTCTTAATGTCATTAACCAAGCTCACGGCTGACCAGATGGCATGTGGTTACTGAAACCTAAATAACGTGAATGTCAAGGTTTACCTTACGACAGGCTGACCGACTTAAGTTGACCCGGCTACATACGAACAAAAAGTTTCGAAAACATTTTTCTTACAACAGTTTTTTTTTTTAGGAAATTCGATTAACGAAGATACAGTTAAAAACATTTTGGACAGACAGACAATTCGACCGTAATATTTATTGTTAATTTCAGATCGTCGATTATTTCTACGCAGACAATGGCATCAACGAAACAATGTACTGCCTTATGTTCCTAGTACCCATTCTTATATTCACTCAAATAAAAAATCTAAAGTACTTAGCTCCGTTTTCGGGATTCGCTAATATTCTTCTGGTCCTCACTTTCTTGATTTGCCTGTACTACATTTGCAACGAATTTCCCGATCTTGATTCTAGACCAACTTCAGTAAACATCGGAAATTTACCATTATTCATTGGGTGAGTTTCGGTATATATTGTCGCTTGAATTGAATTAAGTATGTATTTTTGTTGTAACTTTTTTTACATCTTGTCGTACTTTTGAACTAGCGAGAATAAAACTGGCTGTTAATATCATTTTTACATATGACTTAAATCCAAAATCCTTCCTTTTGCAACCAATTAACTAATTATCATTACCAATAATAATTTCAATTCGTACCTTGTTGTATCATCCAGTCATCATCAGCCAGTAAGAATAAGACTATGTATACAATAATATTATTTTATAGATTATGTAAATGTCAAAGGCGATGTATTTATTTATTTATTCTAATACATTACAACATAATTTAGAATAAGAATGCCAATATTAAAAATCTGCATTGAAAAAACCACATCGACCAAATATCGCCACAAAGCGTTTGAAGAATATCATTGAAAATATGATACTCAGTAGTTCAATACAACTAAGACATCAACATCAAATATTTCAAGGCGAAACAATAAACCACTGTACACCATACGACGGCCGTGAGTTGTTCCACCCGTCCATACTTACAAGCACTGTGAAGACCATTTTTTGTATTCTGAACTTGAAAAAAAACTTTTTTCAGTACAGTTATCTTCGCAATGGAAGGAATCGGAGTTGTACTACCAGTAGAAAATACAATGGCTAAACCTCAACACTTTCTAGGTTGTCCGGGGGTACTGAACTTAACCATGAGCGTTGTGGTCTTGCTATATATGATAATGGGCTTCCTTGGATACGTCAAGTACGGAGACCAAGCTATGGGTAGTATTACCCTGAATTTAGATACTGGTGAAATGTAAGTTTGGCAATAATTCTTATACTTAGACAGGTAAACGAACTCACTGCCTACCTGGTGTTAAATAACTACTAGAGCCCATATACATACAAAATAAATGCCGCTATCCACCATGAGACATGAGTTCTCAATTATTAAAACGGCTGCGCCACCCTTCAAGTCCGTATGCTTTATTGCTTCGCGACAAAAATAGACAAGGTGGTGCAGGCTTACAAGTCGTCCTACCACTAGTAGTTTTGCGAATTTGATTTTAATTTTACGATGTTATCCCGTCAGCATGAGTCATTTGTAAGCATCTGCTAATTACATATTCTATTAGAAAAATTGGTACCCGCCAGCGGGATACGAACATTGGCACAGTTGCATCAGTCGAGTCGAATGCACCGAGCGTCTTATCACTTAGGGCACCAAGACCAAGAATGAGATATATATATTTTTTATTGCTTCGATGGTTAGACGAGCTCACGGCCCACCTGGTGTTAAGTGGCTACGGGAGCCCATAGACATCTACAACGTAAATGCCGCCACCCGCCTTGAGACATGAGTTCTAAGTCTCAGTTTTTACAGTGCAACGGCTGCCCCGCCCTTCAAATCGAAATGCATTACTGCTTCACGGCAGAAATAGGCAGGGTGGTGGTACCTACCCGTGCGGACTCACAAATCGTCCTACCACCAGTAATTACGCAAATTATAATATTGCGGATTTGAATTTTATTACACGATATTATTCCTTCACCATGGAAATCAATCCTGGACGTTTCTGACATAATATTATCTACTATATTTCAGCACACCTTATACCTACTATTACAAATTCTTCTGTAACATAGTTTAGTTAGTCGTGTTTGGAACCCCAAAGTTGTTTGGTGTCTATAATTATTGACACAACAGGGGCTTCGGTTACCATTTAACAGAAGGCGGATCCTGAACTCCTCTATCTTTCTAATGCTATAAATAAAAATTAAATACATTTTGAATTTTCAGACCAGCTCTAATCGCAAAGATCTTCATAATTCTTGCCATATTCTTCACTTATACTCTCCAGTTCTACGTACCTATGGAGATAGTATGGCGAAATACTAAAGATCATGTAGCGCAAAAATACCATAACATCACGGAAGCAGTCATGAGAGCGGTTTTTGCCGCTCTTACTGGTAAATTATTATTAACTGCATGCTCGTAATCTTTTTTTTTTTATTGCTTAGATGAGCGGACGAGCTCACAGCCCACCTAGTTTTAAGTGGTTACTGAAACCCATAGATATCTACAACGTAAATGCGCTACCCACCTTGAGATAAGTTATAAGGTCTCAGTATAGTTACACACAGGTCTAGCTGTAGTTACAATCACACCTTTATGAATAATTGTGGGTAACTGAATGGGTAGAATGTGACATATTTATTAATGAAAATACGTCATATTCTACAGCATATTATAATGTTCTGCAATGTTCCAATGAATTAATGAAATCTGAAGGCCAGAACAAGTCAGTGATTTCCAAAAATATTTTTATTTTAACTTGTGCTTAAATAAAAAAACTCCTTAATGATAAGTACTGCATTGTGCATAAGAATTTGGCACGGGGAACGTCAGACCAGCTTTTGACCCACCTGAACTCGAGCAATTATAATTTTCGAACCCTATAAATTTTACTAACCTGAACGCCACCATCCAATTCGAGTTGTGGCTCAAAGTTACAACTAACTATTGTGATGTGATGTGTGATGTGATGTGATTCATCCGACCGATTTCGGCCATGGCGACCACTTTGACTCCTATCCGTCAATTAACTAGCTATTACAACTGTATCGACTAACCTAATCCTTCAACTCGGAGTGCACAATTAATTTGCCGTAAAAAACTTCTATCGTTTGCTAAATTGACACATTATTTATTTTAGTGGTTGCGGCAGCGACGTTACCGAGCCTTGAACAAGTTATAGGCCTCGAAGGAGCTTTCTTCTACTCCTTCCTTGGTCTCATAGCCCCGTCCATACTGGATCTCATTTTCAAGTGGGAACGAGGTCTTGGAAGAAACAATTGGATTTTATTTAAGGATTTATTTCTAATATTTTTTGGCTGTTTCGTACTAGTGGCCGGTGTCACACAAAGCATCAGAGAAATAATTAGGACTAGTTCTCAATAAGTGCTATTAGAAGCTAGTTTTTATTTTAATTTATTTACCAACTAATACGACTTTGTAAATATTTTTAAAAATTAAATTAATTAATCATTATGTGTTTCACTATATTATCTCTTATCTTGATAACTACATACTAGGTACCCTTATAAAACAACTAAATTATTGTAAACTATGATATTGAAATATTAATGAGTTAAGGAACATTATTTAGGATTTAACAATCAATTCATTGTTTTAATTTTCGTAATAGTTGGCATGAATTGTTAAAAACAACACCTACTACTAGTAACTAACAGTTGGTAGACAGGCAACGAACAACGATTTTCTAAAACTATAGACACATAATCTTGAACCTTTTAAGTACCTACTATAGTTATATTCGTAGTTGGTTAGGTACAGAGAAAAATGGTAAGTGGACGTTAGGGGAGATGTTGATGTTTTTTTCTAGTTTGTCTCTCTAATGGCCGAAGAACCACGGATGATAAAAGCTTTATTTCCAAAAATAATAATAATATATAATATCATATTCCTTATGTACAAGACATCTATTTAAACAGGAATGTGTAACACAAATAATTTTAGGTTTAATTTTTGGACAAATAAATCTGAAAACAGAACAAAGTAAATATTAATAATTAATTAGCTTTTCCATTTCTTTGGAGCACTTCGACGAAAGGTTGTGCTGTGGCCTTAAATAACTTAAGACTTGGCTGTATAAGGTTTATTTCTTTTGTTTATGTAAAAAAACAAACACAATGATTGACTTTGGCGGGTAAATTTGATTTTACTAGTAAACATTCTAAAGAATTGGAGATTGGATTTTTTAAGTCTTCTTTTATGATAAAGTCCTAGGAAATCTTTTTACTTATGACGTTGGTATTAATTATATTAAAAAATAATAATAAGTTTAAAAATTACAGAGGCCGGTGTTGACAGGTACCTATTCGTGAATAGCTTGACAAAAACTTATTTCAAAAATGCAGTTTTGAAATCTCGAGCTTCATAAATAGGATTTAAACTAGCGCTGGATTTTATTTTTAGAAAACAATGTCATGAACCAAAACAGCGAATGGCAGCATTCGCTTGTATTTAACCAGAACAAAAATAATTATATTATCTTACAGCCTACGCGTACGCCAAACGCCATTCGCCGACGACAAGGACACCGCGTTCGGAGATGAAATCTTATTTATTATGCAATAATACAGCTGTTTTACAGGTGTATGTGATTTAGATTTCCAAGAACTCTAAGGAATTCGAAGAACATAAAATGTTTCAGACTATCAATTCTAAAATTGTAAGTATAAACACTCGAATAGTAGAGGCTTGTTTAACAGCGATGTATAAATAATAGTGATTTACTTACTTGATAATATTTATCTTGTAGATATGTAATCGTATCAATAAAAGTATGTATTAGTTATTTAAGCAGTCAGTTGGTATTTGAGCAAACATGAGTGAAACGGGAAGTGCGGTTAGTAATTACGTCCCATGTTCTATGTCAAGCCTACTTACAAATTTTGTTCAATAATTAATGTGCAATAAGATAAGAACTGTTCAAAGTTCATTTACTTTAGTAGGAGTCAGAGGCGCTGTACCTAAATGACATTGAAACAGTCATTTCATAATTGTTTAACGAACAAGACTTGTACGCAGCTCAAAACACCTTTCTGTGTTATTGTTCAAATACTCAATATGAATAACTTAGTAGTGGCTGTGTTCGATTTCATTGAAAATTTTACAGTATGTGTTCATGTTATCACTAAGCATTAAGTCTAAACATGTCATTCTATTAACACTAATTCTAATTTGTAATTTAGCAAACATAATATCAAAACACGAAACGCTTAAAACTGCTGTTAACCTCTTTTCAACTGTCTAAAAAAATACATTCAAATCTATGAAAACATATATTACGCTTCAGTAGATACATATAAATATAAAGCATTTTATCATTCATATCATTGATAAGCTGTTCTTTTATACATTTGTGTATCAAAATTGTAAAAGTCTTTTATGAAATTCAACTAAATATTTTAGAGCAATTCACACTAATTTTCTGATTATTCGCAAGTTCCTGTTATGTATTCATACAACAAGTAACTAATCATACGAATAATCTGAAAAATAGTTTAAAGCCTTTATTACAAAAAAGTTTCATTTTATGGGAAAGAAGGTATTAGGTATACAGGTTCAGGCTTTTCCATTCATAAGCCATTCGTCACATTTATGTAGACTATTTTAATTTACTGCCACAACATATAATTAGCTCTGATGATGGGAACTTGGTGAAAACAAAAGGCTGTTAATAATGTATAGTTCTTGTTAATCTAAGAAGACCAAACTATAGATTCACTAGTAGGATCTAATTTCATAGCTTTGAATTTTACTATTAGACAAACTCAATAGTTTTTAATAGACATAAGGATAGTCATAGATTTTTATTGTCACAAGGACAAGGAGGAGCTTGTAGATTTTTGCGATGAGAAAATAATTAGATGTGATTCCCTTGTGTGTATCTACCTCAGCTATAGTAAATTAATAACATAAAAGTAATCATAATAGAAAGAACCGAGAACAAGTCACACACGGTCACCTGGCCCTATACTATGAGAACTAAGGATTGATACATATTATTAGCTATTTATGATTAAATAAAATAGTACACCCTAGAAGAGAAAATAAACCTGTTTCAGCACTAGAAGGTTTGCCCAATGTGGGAATCAAACCCACAACCCTCAGCCCAGCAATCTGGGGCACTAAAAACTTGAATTTGCTTTAAAATTCCTTGTGTAGCTAAATGACTTATTTAATACATTACAACAATGTGTGCTTTTTTTTTCTACCTCAAGACATTTTTCTAGATAACCAATTTTAATGATACTTTTTTAATTTGAACAATGCTGCTTCTTATGTGGCGGACCATATGTATTTGAATTTTATCAAGATCTGTCCAGTAGTTTTGAATTATTCATAATTATGCATAGTGAATTGACTTCAACTACTTCGATGATACATTTTGTTTTGTGGGAGTTGGTTTCATTGTTTTGTTCAATTTTTTTATTATAATTTCCACAAAAACTGGTAAAATGTGAACGTTTTCCTAAAAGTAATTTTAATTAGTTATTTGTTTAATCCTATATTTTGTTATAATTACTTAACCATAGAAATATTGCTAAAGTATGAACTATTAAAAAGTGCGATCATTTTTCTTCTTGTTTCAGGTACTACCAATAATATTTGGTGTTGGATCAGTGGTAGTCTTAGCAACTATAATAGCCAATTGTCTATGGGGAAAAAAATCTAAAGGATCTAGCAAAAAGTTAATAACATTAGTAGATTCTAACGTAAAATATGCATTACCGCTGATAGAAAGGGAGGAAATCAGTCATGACACCAGGAGATTCAGGCTGGGACTGCCGTCTCCTCAACATGTATTGGGTAAGTATTTTTATAGTGCTGTAACTTAAAGGTAAAAATAGCCATATCGTACCATTTGAACTGTATATCAAAGTGATTTTATTCGGAACTGACTTATAGTTCAACACTTTACAAATATGTAACCAAATTTTTTATATGTCGAATGAAAACTATTATTTTCAGAAATCTTAGTTTTTAATTATCAATAGACAGTACAAGCATGATTTAATATGATGCTTAATTTTATGAAACTTATCAAATTCACTAAAAATATTTCAGATACAATTTACAATATTGATAACAAAATATCCTTTTTTTTTATCTAATTCTACAAAATGTTCAATGCTTTGTCTTATCTACAAAACAGTTGATTGATAACTGACAAACAGAATTTATTCACTATTAATTTTCGCTCATTTCTAAATAGTATTGTATATAAATAACATTATATATGATATATAAACTATTATAAATTTTATTTATTATATTATGAAATGAAAATAAAATACCAAAAAAGTTCAATAACATTTTGTAATAAGTATCCAAAAACCCTCAAAAATATTATATAACTATAATACAATGAAGACAATTTATTTTTTTATTGCTTAGATGGGTGGAGGAGTTCACGGTCCACCTGGTGTAAAGTGGTTACCGGAGCCCATAGCCACCTACGACGTAAACGCCGCTACCCATCTCGAGATATGAGTGTAAGGTCTCAGTTTTAATAGTACAACGGCTGCCCCACACTTCAAACCGAAACCCATTGCTGCTTCACGGCAGAAATGGTCACGGCGGTGGTACCTAGCCGTGCGAACTCACAAGAGGTCCTACCACCATTGTGTAGATAATACAAAATGTAACAAAAAACAAAATAAAACGAGAAAAGGATAATTCCATCGTAATAAACTTGAACAGGACGATATGAGAAGCACCAGCTTTCAAATGAAAACTGAATTAACCAAAATCGGTTCACCTAGAAAAAAGTTCTGAGGGAACAGATACAAAAATACAGTCGAATTGAGAACCACCTCCTTTTTTTGAAGTCGACTTAAAAATAATGCTTATCTGGTTTTGTCATCGTATTACCACCTATTTACGTAAAATAACCTTCGAATTACCTATTTAGTTTTTTACATTCAAAAAGAAATAAAAACAATCCCACAGTTAAGTAATTTTCTAAAATATTTATCAATGCAGGTAATGGATCAATAAAATTCTATGAAATCTGATAAAGCAAATTTTATAATTCATTGTTGTCTGGGTGTTATCTATTTAAGCCACGCTATCATATAGTAATTTTATGTTTGGCAATGTAACACTACAATTACGTATATGCTGTCATTAAATAAAAAAGGTAATTTAATAAAATTATAGTTGAATAGTAAGTAAGAACTGCAGTTTGAGCGCATTATAAGCACACACGGGTAGATGACACTATCCTGCGTATCTCTGCCACGAAGCAGTCTATCGCTCTGGTTGGATTGGTGAGACAACAGTTATACAATAAAATTGATACTTAGATCTCATGTCTCAAAGTGGGGTCACGTTGCGATTGTTTTATATGTAATCGGGTATCCCCTTAACACTAGATGGGTCGTAATTTCGTTCACAAGTTCGCTTGAACATCTTCGCATTTTAATTCAAAGTAGCTAGCTATTTCGATTATCTATGGAAAATTAGACGGAAACTAGTTAGCACAATTTTCAAATGTCGACGAATAATACCAAAGTGGTCCGTGAAAACAAAAACTGTTAAGTATTTAAAACGTCGGAAAAAATATACGCGATTTTAAACCGTAAAACCAGTTTTATTTATGTCTATCGAGTATATCTAAACGCGCTTGTAACTTTTAAAGTTATTAAACTTGAAAATAAATGAAGATATAATGTTTATATGCTCGTAAACAACAACCTGACTGCATATAAATTTTTAAACTGCGAATGCTACTCGTGGTTTTTGAACGAAAATATTTCTGAGATTGTTTTTTATGATTTGCAAATATCGCCTTAAGAGTCGACTGCACTGCACACCTACAGATTGCTTTTGAGAATTAATCAAAGATTTCGTGAGAGGTTTGGTATCAAAGTCGAGATAGCTTTCAAGTTGAAGAAGAGGTTGAAAGTTTCAACCAACACGTGAAAAACTTGACCTCAGATCAATTATATTTTCAATAATAATATGAGCGAATGGAAAGTAATAAATACATCCATATTTATATAAACTTGATCATTAATGGGTTTTGAAAAATTCAGTGTAGCCGCCACAAACGAGAGTGAACGATTCTATGAATACTAAATAGCATAAGTATATAATGCTTGTATTGATTACATAATGTTTGATCTTACTATCAGTCAAGTACATAAAAAAAAAACTAAGGTAGTTTAAAAGTACGCAACGGCTTGGCCTTGCCCCTGGCATTGCTGACATTACCGAAGTTCATTGCCGACGGTAACCACCCACCATTTGGTGGAACGTATGCTCGTTTGCCTACAAGTTCAAGAAAACAAAAATTCATTTTGTTCAAAAATCTTGTCGACAATATAAATGTTTTACAAAACATATTCTACTGTTTTTTTTTAAATTCCACACTCACGTTTAAAAACTAAAAGAAAATATACGTAATCAATAGGAAAATAATAATTAAAAACAAGCTCGTTGTATTTCTTTTGAGAACAGCCATCTCAATTTGTTATTTAATTATTTCTTATATCATTCAACGCGTAGACTGTTATGATATTTTGGCGCAGAATTTATTTGAATTAAACAAGAATGTGACAACATAACAAATTCATGTTTTAGGATTACCGATCGGTCAACATATTCATTTGTCTGCAAAAATTGACGACGACCTAGTTATAAGAGCATACACGCCGGTGTCGAGCGATGAGGATAAAGGCTATGTCGATTTGGTTATCAAGGTGAGTGCGTAAATGTAAATAACTACATATACATTGTTATTTTAATTATTAACCGAGCACATAAAATATTCTTAGGTTAATTAATAATAACTTCGTATACATGGTGTAAAGAGATCATTCTAGAAGCAAAACAGGAATTAGCCACGAACTTATAGTAAACAGGAAAACAATAGCAATTTACCAAACTAACTAAGAAGGTACTTCACTGGTAGGGCGTATTATTAGCACGCGCGGGTAGGTACTACCATCCTTTCTGTTCGTTTGAAAGGTGAGACAGTTCTTATACAACGCAATTGAGATTTCGAGCTTATGTCTCAAAGATAGGCGGCGGTTTTGCGTTGTGGTAATTGAGCATAGACTGTATTTGATTTAGATATTTATTTTTCTCTTAAATGACAAATTAAAGACTTACTTAATATAAGAGAAATATAAAATGGATGCGTTGCTCTTGGCGGTTGGATTTGAAAGTTAAGAAGTGTCATGGCGGACGTTGCTCGCTGACATTTTGACGTTCAGAAACTGAGCAGGCGGCAATCATGTTGTAACGTCTATATATTTGGTGACTATTTAATATAAAGTGAGAACTGAGATCGTTAAATCAACAATGGTATCTAAATGAAATCCTAAATCTGCAATGTAAGACGAAGCTTACAGATATCACTCGTGCGCTTCTGAGGCATGCATTTCGAACACAGCCATTTTGATTTTACGACGTTTATCATCTTACCACCCTTACTACCGCCGGTTTTGAGTTCGAAAATATTTCTAATACTAATCTCATAGATCATTTGAAATTTAATTCCCTTATTAATCGGGAAGGTAGAAATTAAAAATGCGAAGATCTCTGATACTCTGACTGCTTTGAGCCTTTATAATATAAAGTAGTCCACGAATGCTTGTCGTGATTTGCTAATTATTTTCAACTAATTAATGTCACTATCACAAGCAAGCTTCACTATGTATATCGAAATGTTTTGAAAAAAATTAATTAACATTGCACTGCTATTTAAATTTCAGGTATACTTTAAGAATGTACATCCGAAGTTTCCCGAGGGAGGGAAGCTGTCTCAGTACTTGAACAATATGAAGATAAATGATACTATAGATGTCCGTGGACCGTCAGGGAGATTGCAGTACACAGGAAACGGAACATTCCTCATTAAGAAATTAAGAAAAGATCCGCCTACAAAAGTTGTCGTCAAGAAATTGAACTTGATTGCAGGTCATTAAGTTTTATTATATTGATAACACAATCTCAATACGTGATAGGATTAAATGTAGGTTACGGTTTAAATTGACATTTACGATTTAATTATAAATGATTTTGCATTTGATAACATTTATCATGAAAGTAATAAAATTTAATAAATCATCATGAACTTGGGGGAATAAATGAATAAAATAAAAATTTCATAAATCCATTCATATATCAATAATGTTTTTATAGTCTTTTAAAAACAAGATTTTTATTTACCTAAATCAGAAGAATAGTACTCATTCAGATTTATAAAGGGGGTTGACGAGTTCATTCGAAACTGATACCGAAAAATTACACCCGCTTTAAAAATTGCAAGAATTGAATCTTGATTATAAAAGAAAAAACAGAATTGTATTAGCTTAACCTCAGTCAGTGAGTGCTTCATTAAAAATCAAACTCTAGAGAATAGAAAGAAATGGCAACACTGAAGTAATGTCGTGAATACATCTATTATACGTAATAATTGAAACCAAAATCCCAATTTGCACACATTACATTCATTGGTATTTTTAAATACAAAACTAATCATTTTTACTATCCACGCTCCCATGTGACGATAATTGAATATGAAAAACACCCATTTGTTAAAACTAATCCCGAGCCAACGTTCCCTGCAATGTCAAGAATTATTCAAAGCCTTGTACTGAAATAATAAAATAATTCTACAACCCGATCGCAGCGCTCCCTATCGAATCGAGTTGTGAATCTAAAACATCGATTGACCTCTAAAATACAAAAAACGGTGTATCCGCTTAAAAGTAACAAACATGCGTTTCGGTTTGAAGGGTGGGGCAGCCGTTGTAACTTTACTGAGACCTTAGAACTTATATCTCAAGGCGGGTGGCGCATTTACGTTGTAGATGTATATGGGCTCCAGTAACTACTTAACACTAGGTGGGCTGTGAGCTCGTCCACCCATCGAAGCAACAAAATAAAAAGTTCATATTATTATAATGTTAAGTAAAAATACAATGTACAATGATGTATGTACAGGTCATAGTTATCGTCGAACCCGTCGCTTGCGACGAAGGGCTCGGCGAGGAAATTAACCCACAACAGACACAGCCTACTGAGTTTCTCGCCGGATCTCAGTGGGTCGCGTTTCCGATTCGGTGGAAGATTCTGCGAAGCAGGGCTCTTGCTAGGGCTAGTGTTAGCAACATCATCAGGTTTGAGCCCCGTGAACTCACCTACTAGTTCAGGTTACGCTGATATGGTCTCTCTGGACCATCAGCTTAAGTAGGAAAACAAAAGATGTCTATAGGAACGCTGGTTTCTGAAAAAAAACATAAATTAATTATTTATTTTTTTGCTCATATTGTTGGACGAGCTCACAGCCCACCTGGTGTGAAGTGGTTACTGGAGCCCATAGACATCCACAACGGAAATGCGCCACCCACCTTGAGATATAAGTTCTAAGGTCTCAAGTTTAGTTACAACGGCTGCTCCATCCTTCAAATCGAAACGCATTCCTGCTTCACGGCAGAAATAGGCGGGGTGGTGGTACCTGTACTCCTACACCAGTGAAAAGTTTTAGTTTTGTGTATAATTTCGAACATATAATATTACATTGTCAGAAATATTTTATAATAATATCCAATATTTTGTCCGAACAGGCGGTACTGGCATAGCTCCAATGCTTCAGCTGGTGCGACATATATGCACTGACGTCAATGACCGCACTGAACTGAAACTGCTATTCGCGAACCAAAGCGAAGACGACATTCTACTTAGAGATGAATTAGAAAGATACCAAAGGGAACATCCTTCCCAATTCCAAGTTTGGTACACGATTGATCGGCCAACGGATGGTAAGTGTACAGAAAGTTTCACATAAAGTTTACGCATTCGATTTAATTTATTCTCGCTGGAGTAATTCATTAAGGATGCTATCATCCCGCCATCGAAATGGGGAGAGAAAATTTGCAATTAAAACGTATGGTTAACTTAAAATTCTACTAAATAACCATTCTGCAATATATTTATCGTGTTTGAATCACAAAACACGCTAATACAAACACTGGCTTGAGTGGTCGATTTTATGATTCAATAGTGGCTACTCGCGACCAATTATCTCGGAGGTACAATATAACAGGAAACCTAAAGGTACCAACCTCCAGTAGTAATGGAAGATGTTTGTAGGAAGTGTAGAACGTCTAACGCGCTCAATATGCGTAGCATGAATGAAAGAATGAAGCAATAGACCGGCAAAATAAGATTTGCATATTATTGCCCCTTTGCGTACTGTATTCGGATGTCCGCGTTCGATTCTCAGCCAAAATCAATGTCTTTGTTGAAGATTATTTTGGCCGTTATTATGAGTATGTTTCTGTTACACATTTTTATTTATCGCTTAGATGGGTGGACGAGCTCACGGCCCACCTGGTGTTAAGTAGTTACCAGAGCTCATAGACATCTACAAAGTAAATGTCGCCATCCACCTTGAGATATGAGTTCTAAAACCTCAATATAGTTCCAACGGCTGCCCTGCCCTTCAATCCGAAACGCATTACTGCTTCATGGCAGAAATAGGCAGGGTGGTGGTACCTACCTGTGCGGATTCACCTACCACCAGTAATTACGCAAATTATAATTTTACGGGTTTTATATTTACTACACGATGTTATTCCTTCACCGTGGAAGTCAATCGTGAAGATTTGTTAAGTACATATTTCATTACAAAAAATTGGTGCTTGCCAGCGCTATTCGAACAGCTGTACGTAGCTAGATACGAATGCTCCGGACGTCTTAAATATCCTTTAGGCCACAACGACTTGTAAACGGAAAACTTACATAACTTAAACATAACACATTAAATAATAGTTCTGACAGATATGAGTAGAAGAATTATTATTTCAATAATATCTTAAAAAGCACCCCACAATTTTTTTAATATAAAATATATTTTACACTATTTTCAATTTCAATTTATTAAAATTTATTTTCTATTTTTTAGTTAAATTTTCTATAAAAGCGTATTTTTAAAACTATTAAGTACTTTAAAACTATTAACATCAATTCCTGCCCTATCGAATATAGATAAAAATCATATAAATTGGCAAAAATCTTATTTTGCAAATTAAATAATGGAATAATATTATCAAATTAGTGTATTGTCATCCAACGATCCTCGATAAGTCTACAAAGTTTGAATGAAATCTGGCCGTTTAAAGTGGACCAAATTGCGACTACAGGAGTCAGTTACAAACAAACATACATACATACATACAAGTGAAGCTAATATAAAGCGTGTAAAAAGAACTCTTGCTTGAATATGAAACTTATCAAAATTTACGGGTTGTTCGAGACTAATCTTAAAACACATATTGAAAAGTGACCGGTTCCTTTACTTGAAACAAAACAATGTCGTACAATATGAAATATTAAAATTATTATTTTTCTCAGGTTGGAAATACAGCTCCGGTTTCATCAACGATGAAATGATCCGCGACCATTTGTTTCCGCCGTCCAACGATGTTCTAGTACTGATGTGCGGTCCGCCGCCGATGATCAACTTCGCTTGCAACCCAGCTTTAGATAAATTAGGCTTTAAGCCAGACGAACGCTTTGCTTATTAAAACTATTATTTACTAGTGGAGCGTATTACCAAGAGTACAATCAAGAGTTTCTCATTCCAATCCACCAGGATAGGACTATACAAAAAACTTAGACTTCGACTTCTCAAAGTGATCGGTGGGTATTCACTTAGTTGTATCTCTGGGCGCCGACTACCGCTTACGGTATTTTACGGAACCAATATAATATAATACAATTGCTTGTTAGTGATAAATATTAGTTAATTGTACAGCAATATTGTTATGTAAAACTAGCTGACCCGGCAGACTTCGTAGTGCCTCAATCGATAAATAAAAGACCTAAACTTTTGTATAAAATAAACTTAAAACAAACAAAAGGAATCCGTCCGACGGGGTACACATCAAAGGAAAAACAAAATTGTTATTTTTATTTAATTCCGGGCATTTTCATATTTATTTACCTTTTAAACCCTCTCTGGACTTCCACAAATCATTCAAGACCAAAATTAGCCAAATCGGTCCAGCCGTATTCGAGTTTTAACGAGACTAACGAACAGCAATTCATTTTTATATATATAGATAAAGTCAAAAATGCCTACAAAAACTAAACAATTTCGCAAAAAAACCTTACAGATAATTTTTAGATACTAAAATAGGACGTGATCGATCAAATTCATCTTGATATTGAATTTTTTTAAATGAAAATTTGCCTTTAACTTCAATTTGAATTGTCGCAGGAATATAAAATATATTTAATTGCGTTACAAATAAAAATTGTTTTTGGTTTTTATCCAAAATTATAATCAAAATTTTTGTTTTTGGTTTAATTTAAATAGGTTTTTTTTTTAAATACCATTTGTCTTGCTTTTACAGCATTTATCAATTTATCAATAATTAATGTAACAAGAAATGGGTATAGATAATAAGGATGGCGAATACAGTATTTTACAAATTTATATGACGTGTACTTTTAGAGTTTGTGTAATAAAACAATTGTTATTGAAACACCTTTTTTATTTATCCAATTTCACAAAAAAATGTACTTAAACTATTAAAACTACAAAAATCAAATGAAATACTACTGCTGCTACGTGTTAAACCAAGCTTTTTTCAACGGCTCAGTACGCTAAAATTCAGTGACACATTGTTACGAATTTAGTACCTACCTTATCAATCGCATCGTATGTCTGTGTTATTATTATAATAAGAAGTTACACTCGTGATTTTTTAATGAAACATTTCCAGTGAAAGCTTAAGAACTCCCTCTTTATTTACCCTCATTTTTAGTAATAATCGTAGAAAAATTTAGAGAAACAAAAAATGCGTACAAAATAAAGCAACTGCAACACATTTGATTTATTAATTTACGTCCTTGTCCTAAGAATCTCATGAAGTGTTCGGTCTGCGGTGCTACATCATCTTGACAATTCAGTATTTTATTTTTTTATTTTTTAACTCATAAGTTGTGTACTATTTCAAATAAGGTAACCCTAGCAATTTGAGTGGCGTTTAGATCTGTCAATGTTGGTTTATTTGCATTATGAACTCATGCTTATAAACCTAAGAGATAGATAGATAGATAACTCATGCTTATTCTTCTTTATTTTTTAGCTCCGGCTAAGATTTTTATAATACGCCGTTTTAATTATTTAGTTTATAAATAATAATAAACGCAGGAAACTGTCCATGTTGACCATTATTAATATCAGTGTAAGTAAGTATGAATTAGCAGCGTGGGACGGTAAATAAATTAGGTTGAGAAAGTAATTTGACTAATGTAGTAATAAACTCTGCAAATGGTAATATGAAGAGAAATGAAATGAAGTTGATTAATATTATGAAACATGGCATGAAATGAAATGAGATGAGATGATATGGGACGAAATATAATCTCAGTAAAATGGTGGTCTTTTACTGAGACTTTTCATTGGACTTTTTGGAGGATCCCGAGAAGCTACGTCCAGCGGCTTTGTTTTATTTTCCCACATTTGTGCACTTTCACAGATACTAAACAGTTAATAAACCACCGTTATTACACATCTAAACCCGAAGAAACACTAAATAGACAAAATCAAACAAATCAAACAACTTCACTCCTCGCGTTTCCGCCAAAAAGTCATTCATACCTAACAGGTATACCATAAATAGGACAGTCCATGCAACGAATTAAACAAAACGTTTTCAACTATATTAAAATTGTTAAATACCTACTCCTTTTTATAATAGAAATTTCTAACGTCTGTGGTCAGTACTTACGATAAATACAATAGGAAAAATTTTAATCTTTTTTCATTTGTCTAACTTCATGGGCTTATATTAAACACTATACTATTAACACATATAATAGAAATAACACCGGTCATCGTTCTCGTCGAGCCCGTAGCTTGTGTCGAAGAGCTCGACGAGTAAATTAACCCACACACACTGAGTTTCTCCCCGGATCTTCTCAGTGGGTCGCGTTTACGATCAGGTGGTAGATTCTGCGAAGCGCGGCTTTGAGCCCCGTGAGCTCACCTACTAGTTAAGGTTACGCTGAAATAGCTTCTCAAGGCTTATCAGTAGGCTTAGTGCGAGTTTCAAAAATCGAATCGAATGACTCGCATCGAGTGTACGCTCTTCACGGTGAAACGTGCGGAGCTCTGTGTGCTTAGTGCGAGTTTTTTAACGTTCTCGATAGCGTAAAAGTTAACTCATATTTGTATGGAACGGGATCGTTTGCGTACGTTTGCCGCTAGGGGCGCTGTTCCAATTGCATACGAAATTGGCTTAACTTTTACAGTGTCGAGAACGTTAAGAAACTCGCACTAAGCACACTGAGTGCGAGTTACTCGATTTGCAGGACGTTTATTCATCTTGAGAAGCGATATTTTTTTCTTTTATATTGGTAGCACGCAAGGTTTTTTTTAAGGCGTTTAATTGAAATGCCAAGCTTTCTAACGATATTTATAATTAGTCGGGTAATGGGTAATGTACCTGTGCTTAGTGCGACTTTTTTTAATTACTCAGTCGATGTTAATGTTATNCGTTCTAGTGACTCGGAGGGGGAGGATATAACGGAACGTAATTTCCGAACGTGCGATACCGCCCCCGCCGCCGCCTTACCGCCCGCTGAGACAGAGCTCTCTGAGCGCGAAAACACACGCCCTCAGCGCGCGCGACGACGACCAGTAAAATATTGCGAGTCTTAGTTTAACTGTACGATTCTCAACTCATTTTGTATTTCATGTTAGTCATTGTGTCGCTTTTATATTAAAACCTCATACCAAATCAGTGTAAACATTATTTCTATATCATCTTCGCCAACAGCCCGGAACAACGAACTCACGAAAATTCACAAAAGTCCCGCCAGTCGGACTTGTAGTGTTAAACTAAGCAATTTAACATAAGTACATTTTTTTGCACAGACGTGACAAGAACAATGAAATCTCAAGGTGGACAAAAATGTCTAAGTAATACATAATAACATATATTAATATTTGTTCAAAGTGGAGGTATCCACCTGATTAATCCATGGAATAACGGACACACCTAAGCTCTTAACTCAGATAAAAATATCAGCCCTTAAGTACTTACTAAGAACGAAGAAATATAAACCGCTTATAAGAAAGCCCGCTCGTTCGAATTTAGGTGCTTACCCTCCCTTAAGCAGAATTGTTTGGGACTACAATAATGTCCACGGTAGCACGGTCTCCGTTAATGTTCATTCGGAGTTGTCCGATTGCGCTGAACTAACTTTAAGTGATGAAATAGATGTTTTTTCTAATTGTCTCACAACTTACAGGAAAAATCTGTCGCGGATAATTTTCCAAGTAAATATAAATTAATCATAAGTAATTAAATGTAATCAAGTTTTAGTTATATATTTTATATTTTTGTTGTCAATGCACTGTCGATTGCACCTATGATTGAGGTGTCATCTGCCATGTACTTTTGTCAGTTTTTCAATGTTTTTTATTGATGATCACTTTGTTAGCGCAACTAAATAAATAAATTAAAACCAAAGAGTGCCAGCCCTAGCAAATTTCTCTCTTAAGACTAATTTCGTCCCCAATACCCGCAATTTCTGGGTAAATAGGGATAACACTTATTTTTGCTTAAACTGGAATGCTAATTGCATAGCTTTAAATTGGATAACAAAGATACCCTCAAGATTCAATCATTTTAATCCCGATATAGTATTTTAAACATCAACAACTATCATAAAATTGTTCAAGTTGGAATTTGTCCCTAATCACCCATTTTACCGGTATACCTACGTTTTAAATATCAATTGTCACTATCATAGATTATACACTTAATATATTTGAGGTCACTATTGTCAGTGTCAAAATCTCACCATTGCGAGCTGTTCAGAGTTGTTGTAAAAAACGATTTGAAAAGTTATTAGCTGGAAAATAAAGGCTTTACATGCACTAGGATTTTATATATTTGACTATAACAATAATACAATTTACAGAACACATCTTGAAGTTCAAAATTCAAAAAAGATAAAGAGGCGATAAGAAAACAGGCAGCTATGCAAAAATAACCTATTCGTTCTAACAAAAAAATATAAACCGTGTTAACAACTCATGTTTTAGATCTAAACAAAAAAACAATGCGTTACGCTCAGTTAATAGTGGGACCAGCCGGAAGTGGAAAGGTATAATATTTTAGTACCTTTATATATCATTTTTTCTATGAAAAACATTTTTCTTTATTTACTAAAAAACGAAGAAACTTAAGTACGTTAAACATCTTTAATCATCTCAAATTCTTTTGATAGAAAATACAAAAATGTAATGCATATTCCATAATCAAATCATTAATACTTATAAGTAATATGGTAAAATCCTAATATATAAAATTTAATAAAATTACCCTTATTGTCAGTCAACATACTGCTCTACAATAGTGAAACATGCAATGGACTCCAAACGCATTGTAGATGTAGTAAACTTGGACCCAGCAGCTGAACACTTTGACTATGAGCCACTCGTAGACATCAGAGAACTAATACACCTTGATGATGCTATGGAAGATGAGGAATTGCAATTTGGACCAAATGGTGGTCTAGTGTTTTGTATTGAGTGAGTATTTTGTATTGTTATTGTAATTCACTGAAACCCACAATTACCACAAAGTAAATACTGTTAAGCCTTTGGCATTATGAGCACAGGTGACTTACCCTTCAGTATGTATGATGACTTTTAAGTAAAGTTTCACTATTAATTTGCTTATTTTAATATTATTTACATAGGCCTTAATTTATGTTAAGAGGGCAATGAGATGGTAATTTATAGTTGCCACAATAAATGTATTTGTGATAAAAAATTTACTGCTTAGATGGGTGGATGAGCTCACAGCCCACCTGGTGTTAAGTGGTTACTGGAGCCCATAGACATCTACAACATAAATGCACCACCAACCTTAAGATATAAGTTCTAAGGTCTTAAGTATCATTACAATGGCTGCCCCACCTTTCAAACCGAAATGCATTACTGCTTTGCGGCAGAAATAGGCAGGGGGTGGTACCTACCCATGCGGACTCACTAGAGGTCCTACTACCAGTTAATAATAATAAGTGCTCACAGTTACTTTGCCACAGAAAAAAATGTACAAAAATTGTAGGCTGATATAAATTGGCCATAACCTGAAACAATATTTACAATTTCAGGACCCTCTTAGAGAATTCTGACTGGTTAGAGGAGCAACTTGGAGATGTTGATGATGATTACATTTTATTTGACTGTCCAGGACAGATTGAGTTGTACACCCATCTGCCGGTTATGAGAAGATTGGTTGATTTGCTTCAGAATTGGAACTTTAGGATATGTGTAGTGTTCTTAGTGGACTCGCAGTTCATGATTGATGGTGCAAAATTTTTATCAGGTTAGATAAATTTTATGGTTATTTTGTGTGGAATGAGCAGTGATCATAAAAGTTTTGAAGTTAATGCTTTGACAGTGGAAATGTGTGTCTCATCAGAGGCCAAGATCATTTTTGAGGAGTGAGACATCTTACTATTGTTCATAGACAATTTCACAGTCCACCTATAACTGGGCTATTTATTAAAACATAAGCATTATCAGCAGCAAGTAAACCTGTCAAACATAAATAGATCATAAGTACATATTTATGCACACTCCTTGATAAGATACGCCCTACCAAACCATTACTGACGCAGGATAATGACGACATTGTACCCTGTGAGCATACACTTTATCATTTTATCATTACTGTAGTGTTCTTCAATTGTGAAATTTTTTTCATTGGTAAAGTGAATATGCCTTTCACCTGCGTATCGTGACAGAAGGTGTTTTCATCAATCCATTCTCTTTCATTGTTAAGATTGATTTAGGGCGTGCCCTGTATATCGACGATAAGCACCGAGCTTCAGGTCTTGTTTTATAGTACGCGACAGAGTCCTAGCGGGAATCTTCATTTCTCGCGATAATATATTTTGCTTCCAAATTGGGTTTCGACGAATTCTGGCTTTAACAGCATTAACAGTCTTTGTAGTTCCAACAGCACGCGGCCGCCCTGATGTTTTCTGGTCTTCGACAGACGAAGTGTTATTGTATCTGTTCATAGTACGATATACGAACATACGACTGATAACAAACTTTTAAAGTGTCTGGAATATGACCAACAGCTCGATACTCACTTTGTGCAAGGCAATCACTGCAATTCTATTTTGTGTAACACTCTATCCCATAGGGTAATTTGATAATGAACACGAAAAAATATGTGAAATGGCGCAAAATCGGAAGGAGTTTTTAAAATAATAATTGTGTTCCAAATTGAAAATAATTAAAAAGTTGAAAAAAAGAAAATATGTTTTTATGTAACAATATTTATGGCCAGACTAGTTATATAAAACTTTTTATCATAAGGTACAATGGCTGCACTAAGTGTAATGGTGAATCTGGAACTACCACACGTCAATGTTCTCACTAAAATGGATCTACTCAGTAAAACTGCTAGAAAACAAATAGACAAGTAAGCTTTCTCTCAATTTCTACCAGTAACTTACAAGACTTCTAAATCCTAAACATCCTAAACGATTATCTAACTAAGATATCAAGATAATCTAGCTCTAAGCCATGGCAACAATTATGCTGCAACATACCTGATGTATAAGGGTTGAGTACAGCTATAAAGAACGACATCTGTGCCACTCTTGAAACCGGAACGCATTGGGCATGGTACTGGCACCTTCCTGCGTGAGCTTATCCCACAAACAATATACATACCAAATTATTAATGTACAAGGTTAATTTGATTATAATTATGATCCTTCACAGTCTGTTGTGATCATGTGTCAAGTACATATATCTGTAGAAAATTAGTACCTCTATGTGGAATGTGAACTCGAATATATTCACATTGATCATTATAATTGCACCAGACATGTTCACATTTAAGACATTAAGAATGGTTTGAGCAAGGTATCATGAATATTTTTGAAATATTTGAGATATTGAATATAGAATACTATGGATAAATTTAAAAGGAAAAGTATCTTAAAAGGATAAATTTCAGTTGAACACTATTTGTTTCTATTTACTTACCCCACAAACGTTCGAAGTTACAGAACTAACTTTTGTACTTAATTATTATTTATTATTTCAGTTACTTAGATCCCGATCCACACGTATTGTTATCAGATATGAGAAACGCTCATTCGAAATGGCACGAAAAGTATGCTAAACTGACTGAAGCAATTGGAGAGGTGGTGGAAAATTTCAGTTTAGTTAGATTCTATCCATTGAACATACGAGATGAAGAGAGCATAGAAAATATTATGCTGACTGTAGACAATATTATACAATATGGCGAAGATGCAGATGTTAAAATAAAAGATTTTGACGAATTGGAACCGGAACATAATGAAATTGGCGATGATTAAATTATTTGAAAGTAATTAGACTGTTATTTTATCTCTGAAGTGATTTTGAAATAACAGCGAAGGGATGCATAAACCAGCTTCCAAACAATTCCTCCTTAAAGACTGTATTTGTAACAGTTTGTTTCCCTGCCAATTCTAGTGACCTCGAGGGTTATACCAGTTTCGCTTAACGAGTAGGTGAGCTTACGGGGCTCTAACCTGGTAACGTAGCTAACACTAGCCCTAATAAGGGCAGTGCTTCGTAGAATCTACCACCGGATCAAAAACGCGACCCACTGAGAAGATCCGGGCGAGAAACTCGATGGCCTGTGTCTGTGGGTTAATTTACTCGTAGAGCCCTTCGTCGCAAGCTCGGGTTCGACGAGGACAGTGACCGATGCTTGAAGTACCTACCTAAAAGCCAGCGTATACCGCGCGGCTCTCGTGACGGATGTGGTGTTCACGAGTGCTCATACACCAGTTGTAGGCAGCCTACACTGACACTACATACAATAGAGACAGTCGATTGTACTGTGATTTAAATTTTAACAAAATACATTCCTACAAACTTCGAGCTCCTATCCAGCATGTGTAATCAACAGACTTAGATAAGTAATAGTAATTTATGAAATCTATACTAATATATAAATCTGCAGTGGTTTTTACGGATGTTCCATTATAACTACTGAACCATGCATCGGATTGACTTGAAACTTGGTATCCATGTAGAAAATAAGTGTACTTAATGGATAGGCTAATATTTATATGAGTGTTGGACTCCCTAATAATAATGACAATAAGTAATAATGTTAATTTTAAATGCCCAGCGAAGCGGGCGAGTACGGCTAGTAAAAGTATAAAATTCTGCATCTTGACAATTTGGGTGTGGATCCATAAGGAAAACAATCAAAAAACCACTTAAGAAAAATGATTTATTAAAACAAATCAAATTTGGATATTAAACCTTACTGAATAAATTGAAAAAATACATTCAGAACTTATCGTCAACACAAAGAAATAGTACCACGGCCCGACCCACTCCGGCCGACACGTCAACGACCGCATTGACTAATTAACTAAACGTGAGAGTTAACAGTAGGAAGGTTTTTTTTTATCGCATAGATGTGTGGACGAGCTCACAGCCCACCTGATGTTAAGTGGTTACTGGAGCCCATAGACATCTACAACTTAAATGCCGCCACCCACTTTGAGACAAGATTTCTAAGGTCTCACTTGTAACAGTACAACGACTGCCAGATCTTTAAACCGATACGCATTACTGCTTCACGGCAGAAATAGGGGGGCAGTGTTACCTACCCGTGCGGACTCCAGAGGTCCTACCAGCAGGTACACGCGTGCGGGGGCGCCCCCGGGCTGGCGGCAGATTCCGCGGGGCTCTGCACTTGCTAGAGCAGATAGCACCGAAGTCCAATGATGGGCGTAACTACTTACTTTTGTATTCTAATTACCATTTAAATTACTTTGGATGTGCAAGGAATTGAATACAACTTATTTTTACAACATTACAACATAACTAAATTACAACCTAACCTAATTACATAGTATTCAATTACATCGTAGATCGTAATTACTCATGATGCGCCAGGAACTAATAAAAGAGTAGCTATTTGCAAAAAATATCTGTCTAACAAAATACAAATAAAAGGCACGAGATTATTTACATCAAATGTGAGAACACATTTAAAACGAAAACATATCGCAAAAGCAAAGGATCGAAAAATGTTCGATCTTCAAGATCGTGGCTAGTTCGGTCGCCGCGGCGATCCAACGTACAAACTGAATTCGATCGAGATATTGTTAAGCACTTCGCTAACCCAATGATTTCGTTACGGTGCACTGACGACCCTTACTTCCAACAACAAATTTTAAGTCGTTTAAATCTAAGAATCATGAGCAGACGCACTCTTGAAGAAGAATCTGCTTTAGTGAGACAAGAACTAAATGATGTAAAACATGTTTGTACGCTGTTAATGTTTGGTCTGGACTACTCTGGACGTCAGAGAAGCTATCCAGGTGAAACAACCACTGGATAGATTCGCACAGTTTAAAGCGCGTCTCAATGTCATTAGCATGTCAACGCTATATCGGCACTCATAGTTATGACAAAATTTACGAGATGTCGCAAGAAATAGTTTCTAGATATGGCCTAACCAGCATAAATATTGTGGCGCGTGTTACCGAAAGTGGCACCAATTATGTTTGGGCCTTTAAAAGTTTCTGAGTAAATCGCATGAATGTATCGCGAGCAAGGTCATGTATGACTCCGGTACCGATAGTACACATGACGAATTCACAAATTTAGATAACCTTTCTTCAACAATTGCCATTACACTCAGGTGCGCTGCACACACGTTGAGTCCGTGTGTCACTGACGCAAATAAAATCCTACAAAACCAGGAAACTGAATTATCGAAAATGCCTGATCAAACAATAAAAAAATGTAACAACATTATAGAAAGCTGCAAATAGACCAAATTCTTCTGAAATTTTACAAAATATTCTCGATCACACTTTTAATTGGCCAGTAGGCGAGACGAAATAGCCTTTATGATGCCTTGAATAAAATCGTTACAATAAAAGATAAATCTGCAGCACTACATACACAGTGCTTTAAATAAAAAAACTCCACGTGAACGTGAGTACCCGTCCTGTACTAAGCCTGTCGCGGCAGACCGCGGCAATGCCCTCCTTGAAGATAAAGTAGACAAATGTAACTGCTGAAACAAGAGCCTATGAGTTTTGCAGCAGTTTGACTGAAACTTACCTAAAAAGTGAGCAAACCAGATCTTTTGAAATTTTCGGGATCACAAGCCGAAAATGCTGCTTTAGCTGCAATTTCACATCCTAAATATAAAAAGTTAAAATGCACCTCATTAATTGGTCAGTCAGAATGCTGTATAATGAAGAATTTACTAGTAAAAGAAATTATAAAGATTATGCCAAATTCTGTACCTGAGATACAGAAAGACCTTCAACGAGGTCTAGGGAAGACGATTATTTTGAAATAGATACAAGTTTGGATTCATACAACCAGAGCAATGAGCCAAGAACCAAAGCTCAACTTATAGTGACATTTTTTGACAGAAGACAGTAGAGAATTTTAAATATTAAAACCATAAAGAAGTTTTAGAAGAAGAAAGAAAAAAGTATTTTTAAAATTGAATGCCCTCTACCATCTTTTGCGCCTGTGAAATATGTGTTTACGTGCGCTACTGTGATTAATTGTACGAAAGCCAACTGCCTGACAGACGAAAAGTTTGGGAAAAAGAGTCGTATTAAAAGTTACGTTAAATTATAAATCAGCAAAATAATGTTTAACCTACCAGTGATTAATTAAAAAAAATGTAAAACGACACAGATGATTAAAAAAAAAATGTATATAAAATGTGGTTTATTTTTGTTTGTCAAAAAAATTATTAGTAGGACATTTTTTGTAAAGTTAACAACTAGCATAATAGATTAGTTATGTAGTTTAATTAGATCAACTTACAATCGAATTACTTTATAACTAATTACATTAAATACTCGCTGTAATTAGTTACTTATGTAACCTATTACAAAATATCTTAATTACATATTACAATTTTTTTTATTGCTTAGATGGTTGGACGAGCTCACGGCCCACCTGGTGATGAGTGGTTAACGGCTCAGCCCATAGACATCTACAACGTAAATGCGCCACCCACCTTGCGATATAAGTTCTAAGGCCTCAGTATAGTTACAACAACTGCCCCACCCTTCAAACCGAAACGCATTACTGCTTCACGGCAGAAATAGGCGGGGTGGTGGTGGTACCTACCCGCACGGGCTCACAAGAGTTCCTACCACTAGTAATTACGCAAATTATAATTTTTCGGGTTTCATTTTTATTTACACGATGTTATTCCTTCACCGTGGAAGTCAACCGTGAACATTTGTTAAGTACGTATTCCATTGGAAAAATTGGTACCCGCCTGCGGGATTCGAACACCGGACGTGTTATCCCTTAGGCCACGACAACTTCTTCAATGTAACTGTAATTTGTATTTATTATTTTAATTACATTTTGCCCATCACTGCCGAAATCCCTGAATGAGCCCCATGAGCTCGTGAAGCCTAGCATCAATAATAGGTAGGCTAAATATATATATATATATGTATATCCTTGTAGCTGGTGACCGGGCGGTGCTGGAGCACAGTCGAGCCGGTTCTGACAGCGTCCAATATTGTCGAGGGATAGACAAGCAGGCGCGGGGGCGGCTACAGCGCCGGGTCGGTGATGATCTGTTCGTAGGGGAAGGGCTTGGCGTCGGTGATGCTGAACACGTAGAGGCGACACCCGAACTGCAGCAGCGCGCCGTGCGGCACCAGCGCCGAGCCCTCCCACGCGCCCGCCGCCGCGCCCGCGCCCGCGCCCGCCCCCGCCCCCGCGCCGCACGAGCACGCCGAGCACCACGACGTGGGCTCCGTGATGTCACCTTTTATCCTGTAACAATATGTGAGATATATTATAACATGTTATGATGAAAGAACAGAGCGGTTGTCTTTTGTTGCTAGCCTTTTTTAATAATAAATAAAAAACGTAACGGCAGTAGAAATGCAATCATTAAGTGCTAACTGTCCCGGGGTCCACCCAGTGCCCCTTTTTTAGGCCCCTTCTTACAAGGTCTTTTTCACTAGGGGGCGTACGGGGTATGTTAGGCTGAACGGCCCGCAGATGTTGGGAGCAGACCACGGGCCCAAGAGATGGAATTTGAGGCCCCTAACCACTAAACGATTCAGCTACGCTCTTCAAGAGTCTAATCCCCCCGAAGTCAGAACCTGGGCAGTCAACATTGCAGCCAGACGCGCGGCCTACCCCAAAGGCGGGGCCATCGGCAGTCTAGATACGGCAGCCGGTCAGGCCAGCGGCACAGCGCCCAGGTGGTGCCGCTGGCGTCCCGGGATACCCCGTGGGTCAGGACCAGTCTGCCAGGTCGGAACGTGACACACCGGTAACTATTCGCTCTGTTCACAACGATGTGACTTCTCGGCGGCGCGCTAGAGTACTGGCAGCGCACGGCGAGGCCTGCTCCCGTGGACACAGGCTGGCAGTCGCTCGGTCACCGGGAGCGCCCACGGTCACGCGGCTACTGTCTCACGGCTCTTTGCGAGCGCCTCCAGGAATCTTTATGCTTTCATTCAGGCTTTGGCCTCGCAGATGGCTAGCTGCAGCAGCGCCGACTACTGACGACAGCTGTTGACGTGCAACCGGGACGACGCTGGCGGGTACTCCGGAGCGCCCTCGCGCACTCTTCGCGGAGTATCTGGATCTCAAGCGATCAGCGCCTCCAGCGCTCCCAGCTCCAGCTCCCCGCGTCACGGCATACAGGTTTTCTAGTTTTTTCCCATGTCAAGCAACCATGAACATCATACCAAACCATAAGTCGTAAATAACATGAATTTCAGTTATTATTAGACACAGAAATAAAATTGGCACCTGTCGAGCGGGGAGTCCTTCTGTTTGACGACATCTCGAAGCGCGCGCGGCAGAGCGTCGTCCGCCGCGGGGGTGGGGGCGGGGGCGGGGGCGGCGGCGAGGGGGTCGCACGTGTACAGCACGCCGTTAACGCGACTGCCGAACTCGGAGTAATTGATCAGCTCGAAGTGCCCGCTCACCTGTAAAACAACATGTGATGTTAATAAAAGCACAAGGCTATGTGAATACCCATATTGAATTTCCAGTACACAGTCTTCCTTTTTAGATGGGTGGACCCATCACAGCCCATCTGGTGTTGAGTGGTTATCTTACCCATAGACATCAACAACGTAGCTACCACCCTTCTTGAGACATGAGTTCTAAGACCCCATTTGTAACAGTACAACAGCTGCCCCACCTTTCAAACCTTAACGTATTACTGCTTCGCGGTAGAAATAGGCAAGGTGGTGGTACCTTAAAGAATGGAAAGCAGTCGACGTCGCCCCAAACACGTCATCTCGGATCCTCCCGATCCACTAACGGTGCTTTTAGGTACCTCAAGCACCGATCACCGTTCTCGTCGAACCCGTCGCTTGCGACGAAGGGCTCGCCGAGTAAATTAACCCTCAGACACAGGCCACTGAGTTTCTCGCCGGATCTTCTCAGTGGGTCGCTTTTCGACCAAATGGTAGATTCTGCGAAGCACGGCTCTTGCTAGGGTTCGTGTTAGCAACTTCGTCAGGTTAGAGCCCCGTGAGCTCACCTACTAGTTAAGGTTCCGCTGAAATAACCTCTCAAGGCTATTAGCTTAGGAAAGAAAAAAAAAAAGTAAGGTGGATTTTGTTGGTATCCTGGGCCGAGCGGGACGTGGCGAGGAGGGGGCGAGAAGGAGGGCGCCGTTTGTGCTCGCCCAGGGAGGTTCCGTGCTGCGCAGGGCGGCGTCATTAATATTTTAACAAAAGCAAAGTATTTAACTGACCTCGTCCATGAATATAACGGCGTGGTTCCGGGAGACGCACCGGCAGAGGGCGGGGTCGAGTGTGACGTCACAGCCGCTGTCCGAGCCCACGGTCAGCGACGACAGCCGCATGGGCACCGGCCGGCCCAGGGAGTCGCCCGGCCCAGCGCTGTACACCACGAGCTTGTGTTACCACCACGGCGTCCCCACAGACACCTCGGCGGTGTCAGAGCCGCGTTGAAATAGCGCCGTTTGCATCAACACTACTGTTCGTATTCAAGCCCGGCACTAGCTTTTGAGTCTTCAGAAATGGTGGTGGCTTGTGACTCCAATGAGTATGATATTTTAATTATTTTTTGCTTAATGTAGATGTATGTTGTATGTTATAATTCCTTGTATGGATGAACAAGCTTACGGCCCGCCTGGTGTTAAAGGGTTACTGGAGCCCATCAACAACATAATGCCACCCATTTCGAGATATGAGATCTAAGGCCTCAATTTTTACAGTACAACGGTTGCCTCATCCCTCAAACCAAAACGTATTACTGCTTCGCGGCAGGCAGAGATAGGGTGGTGGGATCTGCTCGTGCAGGCTATTGGGTATTGATTTTGTGCTGAAATTCACTACTTGCGCATCGACTTCACCGGTATCCGTGTCTCCTCACGTTACCTGTCCATAGAGTTGATAGCACAGAGTGTGGCCCGCACGCACGCGTCGGACAGGGCGCGCGCACGCGGCGGCGGCGGGGAGGGGGTGGCGCGGGGGGCGGCGCGGGGCGGCGGGCGGGGGGCGGGCGCGGCGCCCCACACGCTGCGGGCGATGCGCTCGCGGTCCGCCCGGGACAGCAGCTCCGACGGCAGCGACACGTGACGGAACCTGCCGGGGACGTGCTCGCTGTCATCACGCACGGGCGGCGGCGCACCGGTACAAAACAAACTTGTTAAATGATGAGTGGGCCTCACCCGTGCGCGGCGAGCGCGCCCCGCGTGAGGTGCCTGGCCAGCGCGCGTGCCACGGCCCGGGAGAGCGGCACGTCGCGCCACCAGCCCGCGCACGCCTCGCCCGCCAGCACCTGCTGCAGCCGCTGCCAGGCGAGCAGCCTCACGAGCCTCTCGTCGAGCTTCTTGAGCTGCTCGTCGACGAGCGCGAGCAGCTGCTCCACGTGCTCGTCGGCGCGCAGCTGCACGCGGTCGGCGCGGGCTCGCCGGCCGAACCCCTTGTCCTCGGCGCCGGTGGCCTTCCGTCTCTTCACTGACGCCGTGTAGTACTCCAGATCCGAGTCCGAGTAGTCCGACGAGCCCGGGCTCGCACTCGCCTGGGACGGGACGGTGAATGTAATTAGACAATTAGATTATTTATTTTGCACTCTTTCGTTGGAACGAACAAAGGACTTTCGTTAATGTCGTCATCCCGCCGGCCGGCTGCGACACCAGCGCCGGTGTGAATTAGCTCTACAAAGGGGAATGCCCACTCTCCATAGTGTCCTAGGCCCAAGATGGACATCAAATATTACTATAAAAATGTACTGATTCAAATTCTTAAATGTATTGGATATCTGAAAAATATATTGAAATTGACGCCACTATTATAAAAAATATAATAAAAATAAAAACTCGTTTTGAGGTTAATTTTCTATATAAATAAGTGTCGGATTGTGAGATACTTCAAGAACTTTTCTTTACTTAATGTTTAAGATGTTCCTAATGTATTTTTATCCAATAGGGTATAAAAAACAAACTAAATTCTTTAAATATCTATATTTTCTTCATCTTCATACACAATTAGTATCATCTAAAAATAGCAAAAGAGAGCATATACACGGTTTTAAATCTCGGTCAGGGTAAAACCACAATTCACACAATGTTTTTTCGTAGTATGAAACGTTATTGATAAAAGTAAAATAAATCGAAGAAAAATCAAAACACATCCATTTTGTACGCAAGCACAACACCACAAGCAGCAAGCGAAGTGTCAGTCAGTCAGATTAAATTCAGTGTTGTCAGTATAAAGAAAAATAATTACATGAAATTCATATATCGATTATTTTTTTAAATAACCGATAATTGATTTATATCTTAATCTTTTTTTTACGAGTACACATTATTTTTTATGTTTTTGTTTTAGTTGTACATATTTAAATAACAATACTAGTAAAGTTTTTTTTATTGCTTAGATGGGTGGGCGAGCTCACAGCCACCCTGGTGTTGCTAAGTGGTTACTCGAGCCCACATACATCTACAACGTAAATGCGCCACCCACCTTGAGATATAAGTTCTAAGGTCTCAAGTATAGTTACAAGTTAAAGTCCAATGGGTATGTCTTCGATGTTATTTTATGTGCATAAAATCCATTAAAATCGTTTGATTAATGATAATACTTAAAATGATTTATTTATATGTTTTATTTATATACTCAAAATATTTACTTCATACGTAAAAGGATTTGAAGCTGGCAATATTTTTCCCGCAAAAATAAAAATCCTTGTTTTTTCAATAGAGTTACTTTTTTTAAACTACTTATTGTAAACTGTAGTGGCGCTTATTTGCAAGAAAGTAAATGCATATTTATTTATGACAAAATTAATGCACTAAGTATTTTTTCTATAATCTATTGTCCGCTTTGGGCCTAAAATGGGCATTCCCCTTTAGTATAGTCGTAGTGAAAATGATTGAAGTCTCCGAGTGCGGCGAGGTTGCGGCGAGGTTGCGGCGAGGTTGCGTGGGTACCTGCGCGGGGCGGGGCGCGGGGGGGTGCGGCGCGGCGGCGGGGCAGGGGGCGGCGCCGCTGTAGGACGGACAGTCCATGTTCATACAGATGGTGTGCTTCCGACACTCTTCGCCGTCACTCTCCAGTACACTCGATAATCCCAGATTCTTTAACACTGAAAAAATATTTTTCCATTGTCAGTTTATCTCCACCGAGACCAGCGAGCCACTTTGCATTCCTTTTGTAAGTTATAGTTCGTTATATATATAGTCATATATTGTTTATTTTATGGCCCACTCACCATTCCGACAGCGCACGTGCTCCCTCCGCGCCGGCAGCAGGGGGGCGGGGCGCCGGTAGTGGCTGCGGACCATGGGCGGCACGCGCACGCGCCCCCGGACGTGGGCCGGGATCTTTATTCTAGTCAACAACAACTGCTTATTAGTTTCGTGCATCTACTAGCTGGACGTGTGCCGCGCTACGGCTCGGATCTACTGTCCCGGCCGGAACCAACAGAATGAAAAAAATTATAATTCAATTGTTAGTTTGAAGTCGTCGTGGCCTAAAGGATAAGACGTCCGGTGCATTCGTATGTAGCGATGCACCGGTGTTCGAATCCCGCGGGGTGTACCAATTTTTTCCATGGTGAAGTGTAGGTACATTGTGTAATAAAAATCAAACACGCAAAATTATAATTTACGTAATTGCTGATTGTAGAACCTCTTGCGAGTCCGCGCGGGCAGGTACCACCACCCCGCCTATTTCTGCCGTGAAGCAGTAATGCGGTTCGGATTGAAGGGTGGGACAACCGTTGTACTATACTGTAAAACTGAGACTTTAGGACTCATGTCTCAAGGTGGGTGGCGGCATTTACGCTGTGGATGTCTATGGACTCTGAAACCACTTAACACCTAGTGGCTCGTCCACACATTTAAGTAATAAAAATAAAATAAAAATAGTTCGAGTTGCTAATTATATGCGTTTTCAAAGTTTTTAAACTATATATTATATTTTTATTACCATAAAGTTTCTTATCCGATAATATAGAATTCGACAGCGAAATTGCTGATCGTATGAGCCCTTCGCACTGGGGGCTCCTCGGGGCCGGATCAGAGAAGTGGGACCCGGGGTCGGGAGCGGGCCCTCACCTGAACCTGGGGTTGGGGTTCCTAGCGCGGCGCAGGAAGTCTATCTTGATGGCGTGCTGGTCCACGGGCCCCGCGAACCGGTCCCACAGCGCCACCCGCTCCGTCGCCGAGATGGAGTTCACCAGCTTCCAGTCCTGGACACAAGCAGTACGCGCACTGAGCCACCGCGACACGTGCTCTTATTTCAAGATATTCAATTTCAATTCAATTTTTATTACAACGTAATTGTCGAGTGTCAAAATCTCTATCTCACCGACTGGCCCTCAGTGGCGTAGCTACCAAGGGGCTAGGCGGGGCAGTGCCCCGGGGCCCTCGAGCTCAGGGGGCCCTCGAATCCTTACCAGAAATCTCGATCGAACTGAACTTTTGGAAATTTCTCCCATTTCCAAAACAAAGATGACAGGTTGCAACCCCACTTTAATCATGACAACTCAGTTGAGAGAAATTCAAAAGTTATGCCTAAGGAGTTCCCCTAAATTCTTTTTGTAGGTTGGCAGTGTTGTCAATTTAACGGATGTGCGTTTTATTATTCATAGATATGCGTTTTATTGTGAATTCGAGTTAAGATTTTTTTTCGACAACGGTTAAAAAATTAATGCTGTATCAGGAGTAAGTAAGCTAATGTCAATAAACTTTTTTGTACTGGTCAATTTAGTGGTTCAATTTTATTTGAATTTACCACTCATATTGATGTCCGTTAAGTCAATAAATCGTGTCATATCTATAGATTTGGGCTACAGCGCATTGTAATAGGTTGGGGGAAAAGTTTCATCGCATTTTTTAAGAAAATTCACAATATTTTTTAATATAGTTTATTTACATTTAACTAAAGTATGTAGGTACCATTTTGTTCGATAACTTTTTGCCATCTTGTAGGTAAGGACATGATCCCCTTGCTATAGAAATTTTGGGGCTTGTGATCAAAATACCGCGACAATTGGTTTTGGCAGTCCTCTCGTGATGTTAACCTGACACTGCCTAAAGAATTCTGACGAGACCGAAACAGGTAGAAATCTGAAGGTGCAAGGTCAAGACTATACGGCGGATGCATTTACAACTCCCAGCCAAGCTCTCTTAATTTTTGCTGAGTGGCTAAAGATGTGTGAGGTCTAGCGTTATCATGATGAAAAACCACACCCCTTCTGTTGATTAATTCCGGCCGCTTTCTCTCAACTTCTTGCTTTAATCTCATCAGTTGTTCGCAGTAGAGTTCAGAATCGATGGTCCTGCCTGGTGGTAACAGTTCCTAATGAATAGTGCCCTTCCAATCCTACCACACACACAGCATCACCTTGTTGCGAGTTAACCCGTGTTTCGCCACAGTCTTCGAAGCCTGACCGGCCTTTGACCACGACCTTTCTCGCACGTTCTTGTCGTACGTGATCCACTTTTCATCACCAGTTATCAGCTTCTTCAAAAATGGTTCGGTTTCATTACGTCGTAATAAAGAATAACAAATGAGTACACGGTTCATTAGGTTTCTTTCAGTGAGCTCGTGAGGTAACCAAATATTTTTGTGTACCCAGTTTTTTTTAAATGCGCCAAAGCTGTTTTGTGGTCAATTCCCAGTTCTTCAGCTACGTCGTAATTACTGACGTGCCGATCTTGCTCCACTTTTTCAAAAATGACATCCCTTTTATCCGTAATAGGGCGGACCAGAGCGACGTGCATCTTTGACATCAAAATTTCCGGATTGAAAACGCTTAAACCAAGTTTGTGCTACTCTCACAGACACTGCACTGGGTCCATAAACATCGCAAAATTTGTTTCACGGCTTGCCCTGCATTTTTACCTTTTTGTAGTAAAATTTTAAAAGGTATCAAATTAATTTCTTCATTAGATTCACTCATCTTGACAGAAAGACGTTCTTGACATTCTTGCGGAAAAATAAATAAAAGTCACACGTTTTCCTAATATGAATTTGGAATTATCTTCTTTAAAATGTAAACTTTTAATGATACCAAAACCAACCATATACAAATAGTATATCCAAACAGATTTTATTACAAGTTCATACATACTATAAAGTAAAAAGACTTTTTCCTCAACCTATTATGTTGTTACTGTTTAATATTTTTACTACCTGCTCTGCAGTGCAAAAAAATAGCTTAAGTAGCTTAGCATTTTTAAAGTATTTGTATATTTCATATTTTTATTTGATTAAACCTAATCAGTTTACATAACAGTGGGGCCCCATTTTTTAATTTGCCCCAGGGCCCTTTTTTACCTAGCTACGCCACTGCTGGCCCTGTCATCATTGCGTCTCGAACATTCAAGACATTATTAGCAATGTACTTACGATATATTGTTCAACGTGGTTCGGACACATCCAGCGCCCCGTGGGCAGCGCCGTCAGCGGCGGCTCCAGGCAGTCCTGGACACACAAACGTTAGGTCCAGTTAGAGCTCCCCGCACCCGCACCGCCCCCCGCGCCCCCGCCCTCCTACCTGGTGGTACAGCAGCGGGCAGTAGTCGCAGCGCAGCAGCGGCGCGACGCGGCACGATGCGCCGCACACGAAGCACTCGCCGCCCGCCGCCCCCGCCCCCGCCCCCGCCCCCGCCTCGCCCGCGCCTTCTGTGGGTACAACGGAGGGGAAAGAGTTTTTAAACAGAAACCAGCATTTAAATACGAGTTTATCCAATGGTTTACAAGCGAAGTAAATTGTCCCTTCGAAATAAGGTCTCTCTATAAAACGGTCGTGACGTATATATGATGTATACGAGTATATATCACAAAGTTCACACGTTCAATAGTAAGACTAATTACCTTACCTTTTTCAGTACCGGGAAATATACACGGTATTCTTAATTCTCGGGGCAGTTCAAACTGCCTCGGGTTCATTATCTTGGCAGCTTTAACCAGCACTTCCATCGGAGATAGCTCTTTCTCCGCTTCAGCCTGCCTCTCTGTCTCCTTCTTGACCTCATCGTCGTCCTCTTTACTTTTCTTTTTGGAATTCGTCCGATTATTTCGCAGGGATCTATTAATTGTAAATGAAAATTTATTTTATGGAGACACTATACATTCTCTTAACAAGGGCACATTGCTGGACGAACAGAATGCTGGTCTAAACAAAGAAAGGGAGATGCAAATGTTTTTTTAGAGTACATCAAAGTTAAATCTTTCAAAAGTGCATAATAAAATATAATAGATAAATTGAAATTTCTTTTACAACTATATTTTTATTGTAATTTATGTCTAAACTATTTTCCTTTCTAATATTATTGTTATTAAATATTACATTTAAATGCTCTAATTTATTATTTTTTCAACTAAAATATTTTTACATTTTACAGTTCATTTAGTAAATGATTCTCCTATTTTATAAAACTTTTTTTGGTAGCTATGGGCCGTGAGCTCTGTCATTTAAAATTAGATTTAAATAAGCCAAATTTTAGTTCAATTTTACGTTTATTCGTTTATTTTATTAGGAAAATTAAAATAACAAACAAAAGATTGAAGGTAGTTTCAATGTCCAAGTCTCACCACAAACTTAGTTAATAACTACACATTAGCAGTTCATCAGTGTTGTTTTAAAATAGTATCCTCTGCTTCATTCACTCAATTAAAACAAATTTAAGGAGATCACAGTCAAGCTGCTCTGGCACCTTACCTAGTCTTCTTCTCCCCGTCAGATTTGTCAGCAGGAGACTGAGCACGACTGCTACGTGAACTTGACGGTTTGTTCTCATCAGCTGCATGGCACTCACGACACAACCACAAGCCAGCTGGGATGTCAGTTTCGTCCAGAGGTGGATCACTAAAGATTACAGAAGTCATAGAAAGCTTGGCCAAGATTAACTAAAGGTTGCCAAAAAATAGTAGGATCCTGTTATTACAGGAGGACCAAAATAATATTGCAAAAGATGTTCCATGTTTCCAGATTACACAAAAGGTGTTCGATGTTTCCAGATTACAAAAAACTGTGCTCTTTTTATGATTCACTATTCAGTATTTTCCGTGTGTATTATTATTATTATCCTATTCAGTATTTAAATTACATACTTAACTGAAACAATTACTAAAAATTTTTTATCTAAAAGTGTCTTCAATAAAATTTCAACAAAACTTTCTTTTTATAATTATTATATTTTAAGCCACCTAATATAATTGTAGTACCGTTTTCGGGCAATTTCATGGACTAGTTTCAATTTTAACAACATCACCTCACAGCTACCATGAAGTATTATTTCATGTACTATTATTTTATAACAGTCATGTCTCTAAGCATTAACAATGCCCGTTAAGCCAATACATTTCTCAAAATATGACCGAATTTGTGATATGATAGAATAAATAAAATTATTCATTATTTTTTATAGATGGATGAGCTTACGGCCTTCCTGTTGTTAAGTGATTTCCAGAGCCCACTGACATCTACAACGTAAATACCCACCCTGAGACACAAGTTCTAAGGTCTCAGTTTTTACAGTAACACAGCTGTCCCACCCTTTAAATTAAAATGCATTACTGCTTTATGGCAGAAATAAACAGGGTGGTGGTCCCTTATCATGTGGACTAACTAGATGTCCTGTCTCCAGTAATTAAGTAAAATATAATTTGCAGGTTTGATTTTTATTACACTTTTTCCTACCTAAGCTAATAGCCTTTAGAGGCTGTATCAGCGTAACCTTAACTAGTAGGTGAGCTCACGGGGCTCAAACCTGACGAAGTTGGTAACACGAACCCTAGCAAGAGCCGTGCTTCGCAGAATCTACCACCGAATCGGAAGCGCGACCCACTGAGAAGATCCGGCGAGAAACTCAGTGGGCTGTGTCTGAGGGTTAATTTACTCGTCGAGACCTTCGTCGCAAGTGACGGGTTGGACGAGAACGGTGACCGGTGTTTGAAGTACCTAAAAGCACCGTTAGTGGATCGGGAGGATCCGAGATGACGTGTTTTATTACACAATGTTATTCCTTCACTATGGAAGTAAATTGTGACCATTTGTTAAGAACATATTATATATATATATACATATTTTTTTTATTTTTTATTGCTTAGATGTGTGGACGAGCTCACAGCCCACCTGGTGTTAAGTGGTTACTGGAGCCCATAGACATCTACAACGTAAATGCGCCACACACCTTGAGATATAGTTCTAAGGTCTCAGTATAGTCACAACAGCTGTCCCACCCTTCAAACCGAAACGCATTACTGCTTCACGGCAGAAATAGGCGGGGCGGTGGTACCTACCCGTGCGGACTCACAAGAGGTCCTACTACCAGTAATTACGCAAATTATAATTATATAATTTTGCGGGTTTGATTTTTATTGCACGATGTTATTCCTTCACCGTGGAAGTCAATTGTGAACATTTCTTAAGTACGTATTTCATTAGAAAAATTGGTAGGTACCCGCCTGCGGGATTCAAACACCGCTGCATCGCTCGATACGAATGCACCGGACGTCTTATCCTTTAGGCCACAACGACTTACTATACTTACTATAAATCAATACCTGCCTACAGGATCTGAACATCATTGCATTACTTGATACAAATGCACCGGATGCTTTATCCTTTAGGCCATAACAACTACAACTTGATTTGAGATATTTATGAGCTAGAGCTCCTACAAAGAAAAACATATTGACGCTTGAAAGGCAAAAGTGACTAAGCAACAATAACTGATTTGTACATAAATGATAGGCAATAACCATATTCTATGCGCAAAAAATATATATTTCTAGGTCTATTAAAATCACTTCAATCCTACAGCTACTAGCTAGATTCTACTACAGCTGGATTCGTTAAAATAAATTTTGTTTTCAGGTATTTCAACTTTAAATTAGTCTACTGTACAGTTCACACATTGTCGCTTAGTCATGTTTGCCTTTCAAGCATCGATATGTAACTTTTGTTTCAATCAGAAAAGCTCCTGCCATGCTAATCTAGTAGGCACCTACTACCTAGTCAGTACTTTTGACACCTTTGATATAATAGACACTAAAGCACTTAGGTATTACACACCTATACACCATTACACCTATATCCACACCTTCATTACCATTAATACTACAAAACATTTCCTAATGGGTCGCAGTCCCAGGAGGCCTTTTGTCCAACTACTATAAGTGTAAGATGAGATTTAATCACATACTAGCAACCAAGATGGAAGCTTGCTGGACATCGGTCGCAACAGATAAGATCTCCGCCTTCACCGCAAGCGTCGCACGAATCGTGGTTATGACCCTTTCCAGGCCTCTTGTAATATGGATGCTGAGGCTTCTTAGGCTTCGGGACGTTCAAATCCTCATCCGGAGGCTTAATTAGGGCCTTTATTAACTAAAACATTAACAACATTATTAAAAACATCGCTATTTATTTTAAAATAGAAACAAATGCAGCAACATCCATATAAAATGGCGCCGTAGATCAAAAATTGCTGGGCGTTATACTGTTGGTGGAATTCGTTGTTAAATTCAACTTACCGGCATAAGACCTCCCGATGTATCCATATCATAGCTAACATTAGACATTTTTTCAATCAAAAACCTTCTAAGGAAACTACACAGGAATCACAAAACTCGAATACAAATAAAACAATGTACGTAAGGCTTTAGTGAAATTACACCAAAATCTTGAATGATTTCGATTCCGGCACAAACTCAAATATTGTGAAGTTGTCAACAGAATTTGGTATTGAAATAGTTTATATGGCTCTTGGTAACTTAAGATCTTAAAGACGAAGGAGATAGTTTTCAGGTGCTCTCAGTTAATAAAAAATTTAAATCGATTCGAGTACATACATAACCTATAAGTTACGTTGGCTTTTATCAACTATAACAAGTACTTAATTATCAATCAACAAATCTATGGGTAGCGTATGTAGATGTTATGGAGTTATGGAGGGTAGAACCGTCTGTGTGTGAAAAAGTGTCCGTTAAAATCTGCTAAATAAGGGTGGCGCTACAATAGCAACCGGGTAAATTTAAAAAAAGGGGCTGAAAGTTATTAGAATAAAATAGAGAAATAATAAAAAAAAAAAGTGTGTGTGTCCGCTCCGACGCACGACTGGAGTTTACTGGATAAGGATATAAAAAAAGTGTGTGTGTCCGCTCCGACGCACGACTGGAGTTTACTGGATATAAAAAATTAAACGAAACAATACGAGAAATAGTTCTATATTACGACAACACGATACACTACAGATTATTAACAAATTAACGAGACACAAAACAAACGACTAACAAATATATGAAAATACAATAATGAGAGAAACGCGCGATCAGTACGAGGCTTTGTGGCGGACTGCCGGCGCAGCAGCCCGGCGTCACCTGCGATAACGCATTTCGTGTGACATGCGCAATCAGGCGCATAACGCATTTCGTGTGACATGCTAGTACGATTTTGGTCCCCATAATTTTCATACCCCGGGCCTATATATGTAAATCGATTCTAAAGGAGTAAACTCCAAAAAAGGACGAAAAAACTGTCAGCACTACAAAATCACAAAAAGTATATTATTTAAAGCTGATAAGAAAATGCAATCGATGTCTCCACGTTTTATCACAGCAATAATTTTTAGGTTTTATTGACGAAATTAGTTTGGATTACGTAAACCTGTAAGGTATTGTATATTACACTGTCACTAATTACTCTAGTAATTCAATCAGTTAACAACTTCTCAATTCATATCATTCCCCTGTGCTTATGCTAGCGCCATTCTGGAGGATTTTTGAGCTGTTATTTAGTGCTGAAAGTGGGACACTTTTTCAAGCTTCTCCCATACATAATATTATTTTATGAGACTGTTTCCCGGCTCAGTGAATTTGGACCCCTTTTTTATTTTCGGATTTTTTTATTTTAATTATTTGTCCGTCGTTTGTTCGTTAATGTTCGAGTATAAAAATTGTTTGTTCGTCTTTTATTCATTTATAATTAATTAAACAAATGATCACCCTTAAGTGGGCTCCTTTACTAGATATCTTTATTTTTATTGCTTAAATTAATTCATTTTGATCAATTATCGTTTGTTCGACATTTATTGGTGATTGTTAGATCATAAAAACAATTAAATTCCCAATTATCAATTATTTTATATCTAATAAGCAAGCCATCACCTCACGCCTACATTGCGCATGCGCCGGTTTTGTCAGTCAGCTGGCAATTTACTAGCGTTTTTTTTAACAAGTGCGTTTATACTGTCTAATTATTCCTTATGTAGATCTAAAAAATAAATTGAAAACTTCAACAAACTTCAACAAAAAAGTGCCAGTGAAGACGATCAATTAGTCGTTAAAGTACGATTAGCGCGATTTTAATAAATTCAGTTATTTTTAATGGTATTGAATATGAACTAGCACATTGAAATTTCAGTGATTTCAATTGAACATTAACGAACAAACGACGAACAAATAATTAAAAATAAAAAAATCTGAAAATCAAAAAAGGGGGGCTAAATTCATTGAGCCGTTTTATGATGTACCTATTTTACTCAATTCTACTCTGAGGGTTTTTCTTTGATCTACGCTTGAGGACTTTTTGGCGGGAACGCGAGGAGTGAAGTTGTGTGATTTGTTTTATTTTGTCTATTTCGTGTTTCTTCGGGTTTAAATGTGTAATAATGGTGGTTTATTAACTGTTTAATATCTGTAATAGTGCACAAATGTGGGAAAATGAAATAAAGCTGCTGGACGTAACTTCTCGGGATCCTCCAAAAAGTCCACTGAAAAAATCTTAGTAANGGACTTTTTGGCGGGAACGCGAGGAGTGAAGTTGTGTGATTTGTTTTATTTTGTCTATTTCGTGTTTCTTCGGGTTTAAATGTGTAATAATGGTGGTTTATTAACTGTTTAATATCTGTAATAGTGCACAAATGTGGGAAAATGAAATAAAGCTGCTGGACGTAACTTCTCGGGATCCTCCAAAAAGTCCACTGAAAAAATCTTAGTAAATGACCACCATTTTACTGAGATTGTACTTCATCCCGTATCATCTCATTTAATTTCATCCCAGTTGATTGATGTCTCAAATTAATCATCTTCATTTCATTTCACTCCATAATATCATTTTTCATAAAAATATGAATATAAATTAAAGTAAGACATGACTTAAAGGTCTCAGATACCAGGTCATGAAATCCCTTAAAAAAAATCTACGCTTGACATTTGACATTTTGATAAAGTGAGATCACGGAAAACGGAAATTTAAGTATTACCGGCCTATAAAAAGATTAATTTTCTAATTTGGTAATTTAAAAGCTGAGTCTAACAACACGTTAATTAGAGAAAAAAGTTGACCTTATTTAATAGAAGGAACATAAATTACAGGTGGCAACGGACCAGTTGCAATGGAGATCAATTGGAGAGGCCTATGTTTAGCAGTGGACAGCGGCTGAGATGATGAAAAAAAAAATTTTTTATTTCAGGAGTTATGTATAGCTAGTTCAGTCAATTTTTTTTCGGTAGGCAGCGGTTTGGCGTTGCTGAAGTCCCTGGGCGACAGTAACCACTCATCATAAGGTGGGCCATATGCTCGTCTGCATATATATTTTTTTTAAATTACAGTTTTTATTTGTTTTTTTGCCTGAACTTTCATGAATCTAAGCTTATTAGAATAACTTTATTTTATATTGGTCAAAGTAGAATAGTAGTAATAAAAATGTAATTTAACCTTCTTTATTTTTTTCATTTCAGTTAAATCAGTAGTTAAATTACTTTTTATCTGGCAGCAAATGTAGAACGGAAGCTGCCTAGTCTATGACGTCATGGGCGGAGTTTAGTTGAAGATCGAATTTGGATTCGGTTGGCGGGCGCGGCCATCTTGGTGAATAAGTGACCTGGCGATTCGGATTTAGTTAGTGTAAAATCATTTGTCATCCACAATGTCGGAAAGGGAAGATAATGTGTATAAAGCAAAGTTAGCTGAGCAGGCTGAGCGCTATGACGGTAAGCATATATTTTTACTGTAATGCTATCATTCAGTCGAAGATTCTATCTTATTTTCGCCGACAATTGAAAAACGATTTTAAGATTCTTTAGAGAATATCCTATGTCCAAGACGTAATTATCATTTCATTTATTTCAATTTTCTATTGCAAATAGCCTTGTAGGTCGCAGTTTGTATATTTGATAATAGAAAAACGAGTCAATGGTATTCATTAGGCTTGGCCTGCGATCGATGCGTCATCCACCGGTGGGATGTCTTAGGTTTTTTACATTAACAAAAACGCTGAATCCATTCTCAACCTGAAATAGAACCTTCATGGTTCAGTTACGATAGTTTTTTCAGTTGTAGAATCGCAACTTTATGACTGAAAGTTTCCAATAAAAGTGATTTTCAAGAATTTGTAGTACCGTTGACCGGGTGTCAGAGGATCTGGATCGATGCGCCACTGGTTTTCTTGTATGTCTGCTATTGTGATCCAGACACATTAGAAACATCTTAGTTACGACGTAGTTTTATGGCGCCTTAGATTTCACCTATTGTTCACAATTTGATGCCACGGGAACCGTCTCCTTAGGGTTTTACGACGATTTCGTCTAACTATATCGCTCTCTGTTAAAGTATTATCATAGTTTTCTGTCATCTTCCTCATGAAAAACTCTGGAGTAATCATTGAAAGTCTGTGAAGGTCCACGGTTCAATGACCTTAGTTACCATTATCATTGAAGAATATCATTGTCAATCTTATCAATGCACAACATGGATGAAATATGAATGACTTGTTACACAACTGTTACACTTCATTTTATTGAGTGCATAAAGATTTTTCATCTTCATCTATCTTTCATCTGCAAAAAACATGGGTGGTATTAGATATGACATTCAATTCTAATTTTTAAAAAAGAAGCCCTATGCCATCCTTATCCATTTCATCATGGGTTCTAAGTATTGAATATTGCTCTACATACATAGTGTGACATAGAGAAAATTGTAACAGGTTGGTCTGCAATCAGTACATTATTGATTATTTTTATGAACCACTAAAAGTATTGTCAGTGGGACTAAAGTTGACCACACCCTGTTATGGCTTGACCTTCAGCCAATATTTTGCAAGTGTCTTTATTTCATATGAAATTTATTGTAATTTAATTTTAAATATAATTGTGCTAATTTGCAAGTGAATGTCAAACTTAAATGGATTCATAAATTAGAAAGTCTCATTATGTTAGTCACACATATTAAAAGTATGACTTCATTGGAACTTGCCGCATGATGCTATGACTAATATTAATAAAATAAACTTTCAAAAAATTTGAAATATCTATGTTGAAAATAATTTTTGTAGTGTACACTGAATGAGGTTGTAAATTAGAGGATGTTGTATCAGTTCGTACTCATCACATGTGACTGCTGACTGTAATTATTGGCTAATATTTAATAGTGCTACATTGGAAGCAGTGTCTAAAAATTGTAGATTGTAGTTAAAACAAGCCTCACCACGATTGGTCCTGCACTATCTGCATCATTTTGGTGAGGCTTGGGGGAGGTCTATGTCCAGCAGTTGGTGTCTGTGGGCTGAAAGATAGAAGATAGACATGGTTAAACCAATAGTATAATTCTCATATTTATTTTTAATTCAACTTTTATTTATTTATTACTTAGATGGGTGTACGAGCTCACAGCCCACCTGGTGTTAAGTGTTTACTAAAGCCCATAGACATCTACAACGTAAATACCGCCACTCACCTTGAAATATGAGTTCTAAGGTATAGTAGGTAGTAAGGTATAGTTACAACGGCTGCCCCACCCTTCAAACCGAAACGCATGACTGCTTCACAGCATAAATATAGGCAGGGTGGTGGTACCTACCCGTGTAAACTCACAAGAAGTCCTACCACCAGTAAAACATTACAACATTATTTTTAATTAGGAGTTTTTAAAATAATAAATTCTAATAAACTACATGGCTATATACGTTGGTAGAAAGTAGTGCAAGAAAACAATGTGTGTTGTTGTGTTATAAATCAAGTTTTTTCTTGAACACGACAGGATAGGATGGCCTTCTATTTTGAGGTGATTTTTCAGTAGTTTAGTATGTAACTTTCATGTCCTACTGCACTTTTTAGATTTTTTGGGTCGTACATAATTATTGACTCATGCAACAAACACTTGAAGAACACATCACACACATGCTCTGGTTAATAATTGTGTTAACCAACAAACATGCAGAGGAACCAACTATTTCTGGGAGATTAAAATTGCATTGCAACAAATGCAAATTAACATATAACTTTCTGCATGGGTAACAAAAAGATAAATAAATTGGAATTTTAAGAAAGTGTTATCCCCTTACACTGTCTTTTCAAATTACCATTACATCACATTCATTAACTTGACTGACAAATTCAATTCAAACCTCTTTAGAAATATTATATTTGTATTAAACAGTGCTTACTGAGCAAATGAGTTGATTTGTCTAATTTATTTCCCCTCTTTATGATCGTTCTTAAGTATCCTATATAATTGTAAACAAAACAATGATATGTTTATTTTCCTTAATAATCTAAACACCTTAAAATGTAGAATAGACTCAGTTCCAACTGCATTAGAAGAACTAATGTAATTAAAATGAATATTATACATTCAGAGACATTTAGCATACTTTGATGATGCTTTAGGGAGGAAAAAATCTTATGTTGATTGGTCTGATGGCTCAGACCAAGATGCCTATAGGCTATGTAACGGCCGTCTGGTGTAGTGGTAAGTGACATGGTCACTACACAAGGGGGTCGCGGGTTCGAATCCCGCCAAGGGAAGATATTTGTATGATAAATATAAATGTCTTTTCCAGGGTTATGGATGTATATTAAATATGTGTATGTGTATAATAAAAATCTTATATTTATTTCCGTTCTCTGGTACCTGTAACACAAGTTCTTTACGAACTTATCACGGGACCAGTTAACGTGGCGTGACTGTTAGTAAAAATTTATTATTTATTTATTTATTTATGTAACGAACACAAAAGAGCTGCCACCTGATGATAAAGGGTTACTGTTGCCAAGGTCCCCATCGGAAGGGTCATAGCTCTTAGCGGCAAAGCCCTTTTGTCCCTTATCAATCCAACTTGTATGGACATTGTTTTGAGATAATGAGTTGAAGTTTGAGGAAAATACTAGATTATCAAAAGTCGAAATGTTGAGCAAATATCTGCCCAATCTCCTAAATAACAATAATAAAAAGAAAAATAAATATCTGTAAATATGGCGAGCTCACAGCCCACCTGGTGCTAAGTGGTTACTGATGTCAATAGACATCTACGACGTAAATGCGCCACCCACCTTGAGATGTAAGTTCTAAGGTCTCAAGTATAGTTACAACGGCTGCCCCATCCTTCAAACCGAAATGCATTACTGCTTCACGGCAGAAATAGACAGGGTGGTGGTACCTACCCGTGCGGACTCACAAGAGGTCCTACCACCAGTAAAGTACCAGATATGGTAGAAATGTACTAAAACGAATAATATATCCTATTTTTCAGAAATGGTGGAGGCGATGAAGAATGTAGCATCACGCAACGTGTCCGACAATGAGCTGACAGTGGAGGAGAGGAACCTGCTGTCGGTCGCCTACAAGAACGTGATCGGCGCCCGCCGCGCCTCCTGGCGGATCATCTCCTCCATCGAACAGAAGGAAGAAACAAAAGTGAGTCTCGTGTAACACTTACTTGTCTGCTGATGTAACTTGTCATAATCAGAGCTTAGCCCGGATAAATAAATTGGATGATTGTGTTTTAGTATCACCCAAGCATTGAGAGTTTAGAAGAAGAAAAACCTCATATTTTGGTATCCAGACTTGTTTTGTTAATCTAATGCATCTAGAGGGCCTCATAACTTTTATCATGAGATTGATTCATGATAAAAGTTTACATATGTTCTGCGTGTATGTTTTTAGTGTTTCATGATACAGAGAATTCCTGAATTTTACCTGTCTTAGCTATAGATTCATTATAAATTGAGAGAAATCTGAGTACAGCAATGTTGATCATTTGGTGGTAGCCCCTTAACCAAATGTCATTGTTGAACATGTTTACATTATATAATTGAATGTTGAAAAATGAGAGATCGCTTCCCCAATACATATGTAGTATCAAACTACTTTTTGATTGATTCAACTGTTTATGTTTGGAGAAAACGGTGCGCGTGCAACTTGGTGCACGTGAAAGAAGTGAGACTTCTTTTGCGGTGTTTAGTATTTCGGTTTTCTTCATTTTTCATCGTTAAATGAAATTTCTCTTGTAATAGGTAATGCTGTGTATATCTTTTCACCATTTATATATATTATATATAGAAAAATATTACTATTTTTTCAAATCCTTCTTTAAAAATAAGATAGTATTTACAGGAGCAGTGAGAAACTAATAACAAGCCATCTAGTGGCGGACGCCCGTAAACAGAATGTGTATAAGGGAAACGAGCCGACTCGTTCCCTTCCTCTCCACGGTCGAGCTGTTCGCGAGACGGTGTCTTGTTTCTCACTCTCGCTCTTCCTAAATTGTATGTTTTCTCTCTAGTCGCAACGAATCTGTCGCGAGTTCAATTTTATTCTCAACGTGCCTAAAGAAGTTTCACTTAAAAAACATTTTTAAGTAAAATGACTAATAATGGGAAATGATAAAATTAATAGCTCAGCAGCTAATTTGCTTTACTCTGTATTCATTGATCTGTGTGTTATTGTAGCTAGCAATGAGTTGATCATGCTTTCTTCTTTATTACTAGGCAAAAGTACAGAATTTGTTATTTAAACGCTGCTCCATTGCTGCGAGAAAGTAACACGCTAAAAAACACGACGCATTTAAATGTAGTGAAGAAATAAAATAAGTGTTGTTTTTTTCCGATATGTAATATCGGAATATGTATATTTCCGATATGTAATATGTATGTACCTTTCGACAAACATTTTTTTAGAATGAATACTTTTGTTAAATTAGCCTTTTCACAATTTGCGGTGAATCAATTTAAACCTGACATCGCCAGCCGACGTCTGTACCGCGTCTGTACGCGCCGCTTCAGTTATTGATCCGCAGCGCCGTCGGGGCTCCTGGTTGTTTCCAAGCTAATCGAGAGTTAGCCAACTAAATGTTAACTTCATAAACGCAATTTGAATCTTATCGACAAGTGTAATGCAAGTCGCTGGCTTGTTTTTTTGTGAATTTCTATTACATATTTAAATATATCCGACCGTCTGACCTTATAAAATTATCGAACCCGCACCGAGCTCAGGCACTCTTATTATCTAACGACAGCGAGCTTTGTAATTTGTTCTTAACGACGAAAAGATTAGTTAAATCATTAATTTCTTTAACAAAATTCCGCAGTTAACATAACTTCAAAAATGTTACAAATTACTTCGATATTCTAAAAAATTAACTTATTTATGGAATTAAGGAATAGGAATTAGTACGTACCCAAAAACTGACAACAAATAATTGTAGGAATAATTACATTAAGCATCTAAATCACACGCAAAGCATTCCCCGGTGATCGATATCAGTCGCTCGGCTCACTTGGTGTCCATGAATAGTCGCAACTAAAGTTACAATTGCATTGCCAGGACACACGAATAGTGAATCATTTTGTCTGATTCATGCGTGAATCTAGAGTTTGAGACGAATCGTAATCCAAAAATATTACTCTTTATGGTTTTGTTCTATTTAACTTAGGTACGTCATATTCCAAGTTAGACATTCTGTTATACGAAATATAACATTGAGGTAAAAGTTCCATGGAAGTGTTAATAAAGGTGCTGACTCGACTGCTATTTCATGAGATTTGTATCGAAACATCCGTTCGGATTCCTGTGGCGACATGAAACAACATCAGAATAAATGCGCATCTTGAAGCGAATAAGAAAAGTTATTAACATATTACATTAGAATTAATAATAATAAAAAAAAACCCAAAAATGTCATTGTAACCATTGTTAAGAAATCACCACGTTCAAATCGACAGAAACCGTTAGAAACATAACATTTTTTATCACTGACTGCGACAGACAAAAAACTGGAATTGGAGAGTTTGTAACTCGGCGTGTAATGAGGAAAGTGAGTCATAGTCAGTTGTTTCATCAGCGGTACGCCCAGTACTCTCTTAGGAGTCGCACGGACTGAATCATCTCATTTCAAATGTTAAAATATCCTTACACACTTAATATCATTAAATAATAATTGTTGAAAAATGTGGTCATAATATTATTATATACGTTTATAAATTTTATGACACAGAATAGGGAAACTCAGATGTGGATTCGACTTTAATATCTTTTTTAAAGTAAATTCAATAGCCGGTTTAAAAAAGTTACAATGGACCTTTCAACCTTTCAACTTTCAACAGCGTTGTTGACGAATTGCCTAAAAAAGTGTCAAGGACGCACTTTGTCTGACTACTTAGTTTTGTGAACAGCCGCTCCATTTCTTATTTTATTTAAAAAATATATGTGTTAGTACATATAAATATATACATACTAAATTTTTGGACGCCTTTTGACAGTTTGCATCATAATGAATCGATTCACGAAATAATCGAAGATTTCGAAAAAACCGATTGTTTTCAAGTTTGCATTTACAATGTAAACATAAATTAATTTTATTAAAAACAAGTAAGATACAATAATAAACGATTTATTATTAATAAAATCAGGTAATTCGATAATAACAATTATTTTTATTACCATATCAGAAGAAAAGAAAAAAAATGTTTTCTAAAAGTATTTGGTTCATTAAAAAGTTAAAAAAAATAATAACAATGTAGCTTATAGTTCCCAACGCTTAATACACTTAAACAGTCTGTGAAGTCTACTGGGATCCAAGCGGCTCCGCTCATGACTTGTGAGGTTGCCGGCAATTGAAAGAAGGTTCTCACAAGGAGCAGATGATCCCACGATACTCATACACATCATGGGGCTGTTGAGTGAACATGTCGATCAATAGTTTTTTTTTTGCCGGTAAAGTATAGGGTCATACTTCAGGTAAACAACTGCCTGCAATATATAGTGTTTAATTTCTTCGTTTAAGTCTTGATTTCCCAGTGTATGTGATCAATATGTAGAGTTGATTTCCACAAGCAAGTTATGAAAATCCCCATTTCCTTTTTCCATATCAGTCGCTTCTGTTCCGTCGACTTCTTCACTATTCTTTTGTGGGAGTTGTTGTTATGATCTAAAATTAAATCATTTATGTTCGATAACAGGCTAATTGCATATAATTGAACGGTTTTTACCAAAACAGAAAAAAAAAATGTTCATACGTAACGGCGAAATATAGATTCCAGTAAATTGAAAATTAAATAAAAAAATTGAAATGCCCGAAAAATCGATTATTTCATTAATTAATCTCATATCACCATCCCTAAATTGCATTATTTTTTAAATCTTTTCATCTTATTTATTTTTGACAAAGGACTGATAACCTGGAAAAACCTGGTTAAAAATTCTAGGTTCTCAAACTTGCGACTTTGCCTTACCCAAGTTACTTATTTGTAATAGGTCCAGATTATCATTAAAATTGAGTACTTTAGTGATATTTCTAAATTGAGTCTTATTAAACCATAGAATTTAAGTTATTTTTAAACGGTTTTATTTAGCTCGACTTGTACGGAATTTGTTTTTTATTTATTTGGGTCAAAATTAGAAATTGAAATTTAAGCACTTTCCCGTTGTCAGATTGATCTGAAATTTGGTACACACATTTAATTTAGATGACAATACAATATAATAAAATCAATGACATTATAAATCTAAGATGGCCGCCGATACAAAATGGCGGATTACATATNGTGTTAGTGTTCTTTCATGAACTGCCTTTCGGCCGCTGACATGGTTCATGTTATGACAACCACTACCATCAGAGATATTAATGACCGAGATGACCTACGTAGGTTGATAGATAAGTAACTATTTATTTATTTTGTAGTTTTCAGTGCACATAAAATAAAACCGTTTAACTTAAAAGTTTTTTTACCGATTTTTATTTTATATAGGCAAAAAGAGGACTTTGTAAAACTAACTTGTAATGTGTGCTCCGCTTGCAGGGCGCAGAGGACAAATTGAACATGATCAGAGCGTACCGCAGCCAGGTTGAGAAGGAGCTCCGTGACATCTGCTCCGACATCCTCGGTGTCCTCGACAAATACCTCATCCCCAGCTCACAGACCGGAGAATCAAAAGTTTTTTATTACAAAATGAAGGTCAGATTCATAACCATACAATGTTTTATTTTCCAAGAGGAAAAAAGTTATTTAATTCATTTATTTCGAAAAGGCATGTATGATTATTTTAAAGTATTTATGAAATTAAAATTTATCAAAATGTCACTGATTATTGAAAACTTTTCATATCATTATATATGTAATGTCATATATCCTAAGCATTTTATAGATTACTGAAGAAAAACAAAACTACATGTAACAAAAATGTGTGATAATTTGGCATTTTTTAATTGTGGTGTGTAATATCTAAGTAAACTAAAGTTATATTTGTATGAAAATTAATTCAAAATAAATATCATGATCACCACTATGATTGATTTGGTGGTGCAGTAGGTTCGTAGGTGGGTTCGATTCACATCGGGCAAACATTTCTGTGAAGAACAGGTTTGTTTGCTTGTTTGCTCTGTTGGGGTGTTTATTATTATATCTATATATCGAAGGGTGAAAGGCTATTTGGTTTAACCGACGGTTGTGCAACTTTACAGGAGAGCCATTTAAAGTTTAAAATTTGGAAAAAAAATTCATAAAAAATTTCAACTTTTCGAATGGAGTAAAAAACTTAAATGAAGTTTAATTAAAAATATCGAACTGTTAGTGCTAATACCAAATAAAACGCATCTTTAATTACAAAGATAAATGTCCCGTTTTAGTGAAATGTTGCTTAAAACATTTCTTGCTTGTTGCTTTTCACCCTTCGATATATACATATGTGAACGTATATATGTATGCATGTATGAACGTATGTATGTCAGTGATAATTTGGAGCTGCATGATTTGTTCTCTGTTATTTATATTCATTTATTTATCACTGACATTTTCGTGTAGTTACTAACTTTTTATTTCATACGAAAATTGTGAAGATAATAACGAGCACACCGAAAAAGGAATCGACAAAATCACAGCCGCAGTAATGTTAGTAGATGTAATTGTACATGTGGGTGCGTTTGTTGCAGGGCGACTACCACCGGTACCTGGCCGAGTTCGCGACCGGCAACGACCGCAAGGAGGCTGCCGAGAACTCGCTGGTCGCGTACAAGGCAGCCTCCGACATCGCCATGACCGAACTGCCCCCCACCCACCCCATCCGCCTCGGACTCGCGCTCAACTTCTCGGTGTTCTACTACGAGATCCTGAACAGCCCGGACCGCGCCTGCCGGCTCGCCAAGGCCGCCTTCGACGACGCCATCGCCGAACTGGACACGCTCTCGGAGGAGAGCTACAAGGACTCCACGCTCATCATGCAGCTGCTGCGGGACAACCTCACGCTGTGGACCTCCGACATGCAGGGCGACGGGGAGTCCGCCGACGCCGAGCAGAAGGAGCCGGCGCAGGACGGCGAGGACCAGGACGTCTCGTAATGGCCGCGCCTCCCCCTAATTATATACAAATAACTATAGTATCGTATAAGAGCCAGCCCGCAGTGCCGACCCGCGGGCCCGGGACCGCCCTCTCACTGTTCGTTTTCGATTATGGAAAGTATATCATATGTAATATAATACTTTGGTATTGCATTTTAACTGTTGTTTAGAAAACGTTGTCTAATCTCGGCTCCGGTCCCGCCGACAGGCCCTCCGCGCACTGTCCGGCGATTCCGCTTCTTTCGTATTACAACATTTGGAGTATTCACATTTGAATTGCTTTAATTACTTACGAGTATTGTGATAGAGATTTTTGTATATTTTAATTTATTTTTTTTAATTTCGCAAAGTATCTCTAAAATGAAGTGTAGCGCTCCACCCCCAGGACGATCGGTAGTCGTAACGTTGTGCTAGGTTAAGGTTATGCACTTGAGGAAGTATTTATTGAGCGCGCAGAGGATGTGCGCTCGAACACATTCCACCGGCGGCGCTCAGGTTAGCGTACGTAATATTGCATATATTTGTTAATTTATCCACGGAAATACTGATGCAATTAGCCTTAGTGTTATGCAATATTCATTTATGTCCTACCAACTACATGGAAATTTATTGTAAATGACAGTGTAAATCTAATAATAAAATACAAAAGCCCATTTGTGTAGTTTAATTCTCCCCGCCGCCCCGGCCAGCGGCCTGTGACGTCACTCGGACACCGGGGCAGGCGCTCGCTCCAGAACAAATATTCTCGAGCTCAGTGTTCGGGCTAACGAAGCAAGTAAAACTACGGACCTGCGATTAGATAACTCCGATTAGAAACGTCAACATTATAATCCTCTTGAAAGAGTTAACGTGGGGAATTAAGTCAGCAGAGAGCAACATCGACGTTGTAGGGCAGGGCGAGACGGAGCTTCACTACGCAATCGGCATTCACACCAACATTTCTGATATTATCGTACAAATTTTAGGCCTCAAAATCGGTTGGAATAGCGAAAAAAGTTTTAAAATCGCGGCAAGATATCTACAGTATGTTTATTTAAATTAATATTGAAGTGAAACTTTAGGCGCGTTGAGAATAAAATTGAACTCGCGACAGATTCGTTGCGACTAGAGAGAAAACATACAATTTAGGAAGAGCGAGAGTGAGAAACAAGACACCGTCTCGCGAACAGCTCGACCGTGGAGAGGAAGGGAACGAGCCGGCTCGTTTCCCTTATACACATTCTGTTTACGGGCGTCCGCCACTAGATGGCTTGTTATTAGTTTCTCACTGCTCCTGTAGATGGCAGTAACGTACTCTTTTATCGAGCAGAAGTGAGGAAGTTTAAAAAAAGTTATTTTTTTTATTGTTTAGATGGGTGGATGAGCCCATAGCCCACCTGGTGTTAACTGGTTACTCGAGCCCATAGCCTCCACAACGTAAATGCGCCACCCATCCTGAGATATAAGTTCCAAGGTCTCAGTATAGTTACAACGGCTGCCCCACCCTTCAAACCGAAACGCATTACTGCTTCACGGCAGAAATAGCCAGGGCGGTGGTCCTACCCGTGCGGACTCAAAGAGATCCTACCACCAGTAAACTGGGTGGAGACTGAAAAACTTGTTCATCGCTAGCAGAGACATATTGGTAAAACTAAGTTCGGTGTCGGGCAGCCGCACTCTGCGCATGGCGGTGCCCTGGTACACTTTGCTTACGACTTACGAACAATATCAAATGTACAAAATGAAACAACAAATAGTTATAAAAAGTTCTTTATTGCACCGGGATATTCATTATCTTTATTTATGTACGCAGCAAACATTCGTCCGTGGCTCCGCGCCCGGCGCTCTCCAACGAATATCTAACTACCATTATTTTTTACGAAAATATTCTTTCAAATTGAACATTTACAAAAGCTAATTAATTTTAACAACGGCTTCGTGTACCAGATCGGAACCGCGTGCGCTTACAATTTCGAGACGACATTTTATAATAGTAACTAACAATTACAAATAAAATTCTACTCAAAAGAAATTATAACGAAAATAAGAACTTTGGTATAGAAGGGATGAAAGGATTATAGGATAATATCGATGGCACGAGTTGCATTATGTACACAGACTCCGGGTTCGACCCCGGGCCGGGCGCGCACTGCACCGCCCAGCTCTATATCAAATAACTAAAAACTATAAGTGATTTAGTCGAGCACGCTCGCCGCCGCCTCCGATCGAACTTATGCTAATATCATTCTTAGAACTACAATAATTTAGTTGTAACGCGGTGTTGTGCCCTGAATCCGAAATGCGATATACAAACTACGCCTGCCCGCGACACGCGAGTGTCCCGTGTAGTCCGCGCGTCATGTCCTCGGCTTGCGTCGCTGTGCGAGGGTTGGGAGACCTCGCGTGCTTAATAAGGAAAGCATTCATAAACCTCGAACTTTAAACTTTGCATTCAAATTGTATAAAACTAAATAAAACTCACTTAACAATAAAGCATAAGATATGTATAAGTAAATTATGAACTAATAATATATTACATGTGATTGGCTGCGGAATGCACGCGCGGACAGTGTCCGGGGCGCCGGTCCGGGACGCTGTCGGTGTCAATGACATGGTCCCGGCCGTCTACCAGCTTTTGTACAATGTAAAACATATCAGCACTAATAAAAGCTGCTTATTAATAAATGGATGAATAATTATATGAATATTGACTATGTAGAAAGTATCAATTTGTAGAGAAATGTAATTTTGTATTATAACAATGTAATAACCGCCACACTGCCGATATGCTAACACTAGCTTATAAGTTCATTATTTGAACACACAAAACATAACAATACATACGTGTTTTGTCAAATAAATGTCTTAATAAATCAACATGGAATTTAGAAAATTAATCTTGAGGAATATATTTGTGCTAAGTGTACAGCGCTGCACGCAAGTGTATGGTGTTGTATCCAAGTGTGCAGTGTTGCACGCAAGTGTACAGTGTTGTACCCAAGTGTACAGTGTTGTACCCAAGTGTGCAGTGTTGCACGTAAGTGTACAGTGTTGTACCAAAGTGTACAGTGTTGTACGCAAGTGTACAGTGTTGTACCCAAATGTACAGCGCTGCACGTAAGTGTACAATGTTGTACCCAAGCGTGCAGTGCTGCACGCAATTGTACAGTCTTGTACCCAAGTGTGCAGTGTTGCACGCGTGTGCAGTGTTGTACCCAAGTATGGAGTGTTTTACCCAAGTATGCAGTGTTGCACGCAAGTGTACAGTCTTGTACCCAAGTGTGGAGTGTTGCACGTAAGTGTACAGTGTTGTACCCAAGTGTGCAGTGTTGCACGTAAGTGTACAGTGTTGTACCAAAGTGTACAGTGTTGTACGCAAGTGTACAGTGTTGTACCCAAATGTACAGCGCTGCACGTAAGTGTACAATGTTGTACCCAAGCGTGCAGTGCTGCACGCAATTGTACAGTCTTGTACCCAAGTGTGCAGTGTTGCACGCGTGTGCAGTGTTGTACCCAAGTATGGAGTGTTTTACCCAAGTATGCAGTGTTGCACGCAAGTGTACAGTCTTGTACCCAAGTGTGGAGTGTTGCACGCAAGTTGTCAATGTTGTACCCAAGTGTACAGCGCTGTATTGTTTGTTAATATTTTAGAAACCGCCGCCAACACACACACACTACGATAATTTAAAGACATGTGTTATTTATACAGACAGCCTTAAATTGCTGTTATTATAATAAACCAGCTGAACAAGTGCGCACCACACATTGATCAGGCTTGAGGCACCCGACCGCCGCGCGGGGCTCCGTCGGCCCCCTCCGGCTAGCGGGGACCGTAGTTAAGTCATATCACATATGTATTGGTCAACCGTTGCACCCGCGGCGTGTACTGAACACGTGAGGGTGCTGACGACGAAGACACATCTTAAAAGTACCCGCTGAGAGGTTCGAAGTCTTCACCGACAGCGTCCGCTCCTTCTGTCCCTTGAAGACGAAATGTAAAAGTCAACACCAGTTTATATAATATAACAACAATATAATCTGTCGTTGTGTTACGGCACATACAAGACGCGGGGTCAGCTAGCCGAGCACGCACATCTTCCGGAGGTCGGAGTCGTCCGGGTCGAGCAGGCCGGCGGCGGGGCGGCGGTCGCCTACGTCGGGCAGGTAGCGGTCGTAGTCCAGCCCCTGCCGCTCGTAGAACAGCAGGTAGGCGGTGGCGGGGTCGATGGGCGGCTCGGCAGACGGCGGCAGGGCGCGGCACATGGAGTCGTTGTAGCACAGCCACGTGCCCGACGGGTTGCGCGCGTACGCCACGTAGTGCCCGCCGCTCATCTGGCCCGAGTGCGACTGCGGACGAGAGCGGGCGTCACGTGGCGGCGCGGGGGGCGGGCGTCACGTGGCGCGCGCGGGGGGAGGGGGCCACGTGGCGCGCGCGGGGGGCGGGCGCCACGTGACGGCGAGTAAGGATACGTACCACCACCGCGTAGAGGCTGTACTTGAGGTCGAGCGGATCCTGGTCGTCCTGCAGCAGATGGCGGTGGAAGTCCTGCAGGTTGTCCGCGGTGACGGGCGTGCTGGCCAGGCTGGTGGACTGCAGCCGGCGCCGCGCCGCGCTGTCCGGCGACCTGCTCCTCCGCCGCGCGCAGCCGGTCTGCTCCTGCACACACCCTCGCGTTATGCGGCAAGTCATGCCGCCCGGGGCCGCCTGTGCTGGGCGACACGGGGCCGGCGTGCCCCGAGCGGGTGACGCGGCTCGGTGGGCCGACGCTCCCAATGTTTATCGGAACTTGTTTACAAGTTTTTGTATAATATATATTTCGTTAGCAAAAATTAAATTGTCAGATTTTAGATATGCTAGGAGAGCTAACGTTATGGAATTAGGCTCGAGGATCTGATCTGTATGTCACCAATAGAAAACCAATGTTATTCATAGAAAGATAAAACTGCTGTAGGAGTTATGAAGCGAACAATATAAGTCAGTTGGGACTCACGGGTCCGTCAGCGTCGGTGTCGCTGTCGTCCTCCCCGTCGCTGCCGGACGCGGCGTCGTGGAGGAGCTGGGAGGGCCTGCTCGTGAAGACGTAGTTGATCTCGGCGTGGCGGAGGATGGTCTCCTGCGGCACGGCGGCCAGGAACTCCGTGGGGTCGAAGTCGCGGTACGGGAAGTTAACCACCTTCTGCGACTTTATCCACTTGTCGTTGACGTACTGGAACCGCTTCAAGTGGATGATCTGCGGCACGAGCAGGGCGGCGTGAGCGCGGGCCCGGGCGCGGCTCACTGTACCGCAACTAATGACCCGCAACTTATGTCTGAAGGTGGTGGTGGCATCACATTGTTGACGTATGGGCTCCGGTGACCACTTCACAGCAGGCGAGTTTGTTTACCCAATTAGCAATTAAATTAAAAAAAAAACATTTACAAACATTACATAGTATATGTTAAGTTGGTAATTTTTACTGGTCGTAGGACCCCTAGTGAGTACGCACGGGTAGGTACCACCAACCCGCCTATTTCTGCCGTGAAGCAGTCATAATGCGTTTCGGTTTGAAGGGCGGGGCAGCCGTTGTAACTATACTGAGACCTTAGAATTTATATCTCAAGGTGGGTGATGCATTTGCGTTGTAAATGTCTATGGGCTCCAGTAACCACTTAACAGCAGGTGGGCTGTGAGCT